TGGTGAAGATTATTAAAGAAAATATAGGGTAATTAAATAAAAAAATGTAAGTATTTTCATTAAGGACTCCACATAAATTTTTATGTAGTAAATAAACAATTAAAATTAAAGGCATTTTATAAATTATTTATGGTTTTAAATAATTTTATAATGGTATTAATCATATTTTATTGATTATGAAATAATTAATAAAAATTTTACGTCAAATTAAGAGTTAAGTATTTTAATAATTTCATTTATGTTATTGCTCTTGCTAGACTAGTTAAACCATCTGAAAATATTAAGTTATTACTAATTAATTAATGAATTTCAAAAATAGCTCAATTAAAAAAAACAAATTTAACTAAGTAAAAAGTAAATAAATAAATAAATTGTAAAAAATAAATTTTTTATTAAATAATATATTTTTTATATTACTTAATAAAAAAGTTAAAGTTTTCTAACATTTAATAATTTCCAAGCGCTTCAGATAATTAAATGGCTCCTAATTAAGTAATTTGATTCCCGCTTATAAAATAAAAAATAAATTTAATGTAAAAGCTAACAAATTTTAAAATAGCATAATTAATAAACTTAATAAACACTTAAAAAAAATATGTTTGTTAACCTTATTTTTAGCGATAAATTATTAAGATTTTTCGGAAGATTTTAACATAAATTTGTTGCACCTTCATCTTTCATGTAGTTATCGCTTTTTTTCAATTTAATTTTATTAATTTAAGACTAAATATAATTTATAATAAATTATAAAGTAACTTTACTAAAAGTTAAGAGACAATCTCTATATATTTTTACAATTTCTGAGACCTGTACTGAAGTCTATAGCACCTTAAGTACCAATTGTATTATAGCTATAATTATATTTAAGAGGTTCAGCATTTTTTAACAAAATTATTAGCATTTAATCAAAGTTTAAATTTTAAAAATTTTATTAAAATAATTAAAAATCAATTTAAAGAATTTATTATTTGTAGAGAAAAAAATAAAAATAATTAAAATTTGAACCTTAAATCCAAATCTAAAGTAGTGAGGTTGTTGTAATCTTAAATCTAAAGTCCTAAATCTGTTAAAAACTAATTACTGATATTGTTATTTTGGCTATTAATATGAGAAATTTAGGTTAATAATTAGAAATTATCAATTTAGAAAAGTTAGAAATCTATTTAATATTTATTTAGAATAAAAATATTATATTAACCTAAAATCAAGCTACAAATTCGTCAGATTTTAGCATTATTTTAAGCTTTTGCAAAATTCAGATATGCACAAATTTCCTAAATAGCTATTTCTTTATTTAAATAGAATTGTGTTCAAAATAAAATTTAACCAAAAATTATATTATTTGTGCCAGTAAAATATTATTTAGGTAGTTATTGCTTTCTAAAATAACAGAGGCATTATAATTAATTACTTTATTTATAATATGATTGTTTTAATTTCTGAGCTATTTTCTAAACTCTTTCCTAAATCAGTTAAGTAGGTACCTTCTAAATAGTTATTGCTTAATATATCAAATAATATTTAAATTACAATGACATTTTTTAATTTATAATTATGATTTATGTATTATAAATCTTAAAATCAAAATTGGAAGCTTTATTTACTTAAAATGAACATTTAAATATTCCAATTTTTTGCAGCTTGATAACTATTTAGCGAAATTTAACAAACTTTGATCGTAGGCCTTGTTATTGCTTTTGATATATTTTGTATTGAATAATAATTAATTATATTTAATATCAATTTATATAAAAAAAAACCTAGAAAAATATAAAAATTATAATTATATTAGCTTTAACTAATTACTTAAACATAAATGTTAATTAAGAGAGCTCTTTGCAACTTTTGAACATTTAGTCAAGGCAATCTTGTGATAGAGTTGTTTTACAATTGCTTTTCAATTTATTTTTCATTAATTAATTTATTTGATAAATTAATAAAACAAAAAAATTAATTTCAAAATATTATTTATAACTTTAGAATAAAATAAAATGTTTTATTTATCACCTTAAATTTAGATAGAAAACAGTAAGATTCTAACAATTTGCTAAATTTACCCCTAAGTTTTTCAGATCATTTTCAGAAAAATCAATTTTTCTTTAAATATATATTAAATATAACTTTATTAATTTTTATTGTTTTAATTTACTCAAAATCAAGCTTTAAATTCTTAAGATTTAAACAGTTTCCTATACTTTATACTAAATAGAGGAATTCTTATTCCAATATTTAAGAAATAGAATCTAACTATAAAGTCAAAGTTATAAGTTTAGAACACTTTTAAATTCCTAGAGCTAATTAAGAGAAAAGTTTTTCTTGAGTTAACATATTCCTTTTATAGAAATATAAAAATTATCTACAAAGTAATTTTATAAAAATTTATTTCATATTTTTATATGTTGCTTACATGGAGTAATTTTACTTTAAGTTAAGATCAAAACTGGTCAGATTTTGCAATTTACTTAAAAGATTATTCAAATCTCTAACAATGGTTTTGCCAATTGAATTGGAGCTAAAAAAAATAATTTTTTTTATAAATTAAGAATAAAAAGTTAAGCTTTGTTAAATAAAAATTAAAATAATCTTTTAAAATGAATAAAGTTTTAATTTAATTGATGGTTAATTTAAATAAACAATATGGAAAATTTGGAAGGAATAAAGGAAGATATTTTATCATAAAAGAGAGTTAATTAAATTAATAATATAAAATTTTTAATTTAATTTTTACCTTAAATCCAGAATTAAAGTTTAGAGATTTTAACAGAGAGATAATTTCTGGCATATTTAAGTAACTTCATCAGAACCTATTTATTTTCGACTTTTTATTTTATAAAAATATTTAGATGGATGATTAGATTATCATAAAAAATTTAGATTCTTTTACCTAAATAAAATTTCAATGTGTTAGCTTTCCTATAAGTTAGAATCTTCAAACTTTTGATAAAAAAATATCAATATTAATCATAAGTAATAAATATTTATTAAAACATTTTCTAAGTTTCTAAATGCTTTTATGTTCTCTATTGAGATGTTTTTTTCCATCATAATAAACATATAAATTTAATTAATTTTTTTGTTTAGTATTTAGAATTACAGAATAGATATTTCAAAGTTACATCACCTATTACTATTAAAAGCAGAATAAATTATATTCATTTATTTATTAATAGCACTTTACAATATTAAATGATATTCATCATTGTTATTTATAATTGATGATTTAAATAATATTTAGAATTAAATATAATCAAATTGGAGATTATCTATCAAAAAAATAAAAATTTACTTTCTGATAATTTTTTATTTATTAAATGAAAAATAGTTTATGAGTTATCTAAATATTTATTTAAATATTTTGTGGAAAAATATATATGCTTTAAATATAAAGAATGCTTCCAAATTTTGTTTATATTTTGAGTAGAATTTTTGTAAAAAAAGATAATTAAGACTGATAAATTTTTAATAAGTGGGTTAAAGCAACAATAAAATGTAAAATTTACAAGCTAAAAAATTTTTTAAAAGATATTTTATTTTTTTAATAATTATTTATTTTAGAAATAAAGCCATTCATTTTTATTTCTTCTTCTAATTTTATAGATTCAATCTAATAAGAACAAGTGAAATCTTATCTAATAAATAGACATTGTTGCTATTATATTATCCAGAATTCTTAAGGCCAGAATAGCAGCTTTAAATTTTTAAAGCCTATATTTGTTATGGGCTGAACTAGTCATATTCAAACACTTGCTCATATAATCTCATCGCCTCTTTAAGGTACTAATTACCTTAAGTTATATCTTTGTCTGCATAATGGTAGGAACTTAAATTCAGGAGAATTAGTGCTTTCTCTGGTTTAACCGATTGAGGTAAATACCCTTTGTGGTAAAATTTAATTAATTAGTCTAACATTTTAAGAGAAGTATTTGAGTAGTAAATAGCTTATTTAAAATTTCTAAGGTAAAAATAGCTTCTAGCAATATCTAAAAGAAACATTACTATAGCTGGGTGTTCTTTGTATTCTTTTTGTAAAATTTTCAAGGCCTTTTAACTAAGTACTAGTGATTTTTAATATTTACCTAAATAAGAGTAGCATAATCCTAGATTATTTAGAGACAGAGAGAGGTTATTTTAGTTAGATTATATGCTTTCTTTCATTTTTATGGACATTCTAAAATACTTTATTGCCAATTTTATTTTTCCTTAAAACATTAAGTTGGAGCCTACAGCATGCAGAGAGTTAGCTTTTTCAATGTGATTACCTCTATAGATAGATTACCTTTTATATAATGAAAAGTAGTCTAGAGCTAAAGATTACTAGAGATTTCCTAATGTCCTCTTGCATGTAGCTAGGTATTGCATAGATTCTGCTACATCAGGATGATTAAGATCTCCATAAAGCCTTTTTTTCATTTCTAATGACAGTAAATGATATTCATGACCTTTTTATAAATTTGCTAGCAACATAAAGTAAGAACCTAATTGCATTAAAGACTAGGCAATATCGGTATGATCTCCCTTAAACAATCTCTATCTCATTTCAAGAGACTTTATTAGGTACTTCTCAGCTTCTTTCACTTTAGTTATTCTGTAAAGGCATACTCCGATTTAACAAAGGGAAGTTGCAACTTCGCTATGGTCATTAAAAAATACCTGTAATCTCATTTCTAGACATTATAAATACCTCTCTAGAGCCTATTCATACTTTCCTAATTAAAACAAGCAAGATGCTGTATGAAAAACTGATTAAGCTGTCTCAGGGTGTGTTTCTCTTTCTAATAATTTCTTTTAAATTTCTAATGATTCATTAAGGTAATTTTAAGCTTTCACTTAATCTCCTATTTAGTTATAATACTACCCCAAACTAGAAAGAGATAAGTATATATCTTCTCTTTCTTTATTTGGAAAAGATGTTCTTATTTCATAAGATTAGCTATAATATTACAAGCATTTATCAAATTTTCCTAGCTTAAAGTAGCAATCTCCTATTTTATTTACAGTATTAGCTATATTCACTTGATCATTGTCCAATTCAGGCAATATTTTCTCAGACATTTCATAGGATATTTAGAAATAATTCACAGCTTGACTGTAGTGGCCTTCTGAGAGCAAACAGATTCCTATGTCATAGAGTGATTTACAAATACTCTGAAAGCAACTATAGTATTGATATATTGCATCATAGCTTTAACCCTTTTCTATAGATTTGAAAATCTAACAAATAAAAATAGAATGAAGGAAAACAAAAAATTTAGTAAACTAAGATTTAAGCTCTAATTAACTGGTCAAGTCAAATTCTTGAATAATGAAATCTATGATTTAGAGTAAATCTGAATTCATCAAATTAGATTAAGTATATTTCTTTTCAAGGTATATTTATAGAGCAAGCAAAAGCTAGACTAATTTGGATTCTTAGAGATCAAAAATATTTTTAGTAGTTTCAAATCTTCGTTACTTAACAATCTATTTAATATTTTTAGCATAGCTCTCAATTGCGCTATCACTATATTATTTAATTATATCATAAAATTTTTTAAGTAAAACTAAACTATCGCTTCGTTTATTTTAGTCTTCTTATAACATTTCAGAATTAATAATATTCTATAATTTTTCTATGCATTCTTTTTAATTATTATTTATAACTTCATTTGAGGTGTATTTGAAGTATTTTGTTAATAAATCAAATGTTTTACCCAGGTTAAAGATGTCTGTACTATGATCAACATCTTATCCTTGTATTTATTCTGGTGCAGCATAATATTATGTATGCCCACGACTTTTTTTGGATTAATTAGTAGAGAGGATAGAAACACCAAAATCTGTTAAGATACATCTTTTTTCTGAGTTAATTAAAATATTTGCAGGTTTTATATCAGAGTGGGTAATCCTGCATATTTTTAGTTCAATAATCATATCTAGTAAATCTAGTATTTTTGAGCATAAATCATCAAATTCTATGCCATTATTTCTAATAATTTCTTTTTGTAAATCAGTTTCGCAAAGATCAAGTATTTACACAAGGATATTTAAATCCCCAATTTCAAATACTTTTTAAAAAACGCAATTTATAATTTATATGGAATTTTTTACAAAATTGAATACTTCAAATTCATTAAAATTTTCATCTGAGTTACTTTCTTTATCTATATCTTATATCCTAATCGCGAATTCTTCATAATTATTAGAGTACCCTTTCTTATAAACACCTCTAAAAACTATTGATTGACCTCCATTTCCCAATTGCTATAAAAGAATGCAATTTATTTCTTTTAAATTTTCAAGCAATTAATCAGCTATTTATAAATTACAGTTACCACATTTAATTTTTAATTTATCTTAAAAGAATTTATCAATTTGATTATTTATATTATCATTTAGTTATTCTTGGTTATTAAACTAGATTTAATCATCAGAAATACTGTTTTATTTGAATTTATTTGAAGGGTTGTTTATTTTACATTTTGAAGAATAATTTTTTTCTAGCTATTAATTAGGTTATTTCAAGTTTTTCCTTTCTATAGTGTTGAAACAATCGATAATATCATTTAGATTTTCTAAGATAATAGAAAGATTCTAATTTTACTCTTTAGAAGAACTCTAAATTTGTGGTGCAAGATACTAATTCAACAATTCTTGCTAGTAAGAGTCTTATACTTAATTAAAGTGTATATTTTGGTCATATTCAGAATCTTGTGTTGAATCTGATACTTTTCTTATTTGGTATTGATCTAAGATTTAATCAGAAAAATATAAACTTTTATTGAGAGTCAATTAAGAATTCTGATCTTCTAATTTTGTAATTATCTCTTCTAAAGATTTTAATTCATCTTCTTTGCTGTATTTAATTAAAAACTCATCAATTTTTATATCATCTTTCTATGAAAATTTTTAATCATAAAACTCTTTCTAATTTAAATAATTGTAAGTTGATTTATTTATAAATGATTATTATTATTAATCATTTTCCTTTAGCTTCTGGAAGTATTTTATTAAGAGTTTGCACAAATTTAAGTAATGTTCATAATCAACTTATTCTTGACATTTTCCAACTAAGTTGAATGTTACTTAGAAAAGATCTCTTACTTCAACTTTCTTCATATTATTACTGAGTTAATTTACTTATTTTTCTTTTTCTTTTTTAAAATGAATAAAATAATTGAAAAAATATTCATAGTTACCTCAAATATGGTTTTTAATTATTCTCCTCAAATTAATTATTTACTTTTTTTATTAATTATTAATATTTACTTTGAAATTTTACTTTTTAAATATTTTTTTTACAATAACTTCTATTATACAATAATTCATTGAATAAAAGTTATTTTTAATTAACCACCCATCAACTCTATTTTAATAAATGATAGGGGTAAGATATTTATTTTTTAACTCTCAAATTAATTTTGAGATATTTAAAATTCATAAATTTTATATAAATGGTTTTAAAAATTAAAATAATGTGTTTTTACAAGTTAGTGATTAGCTTAAAGTAAGAATAAAATGTAAAATTTATAAGTTAATAAAACGTTAAAAACATATTTTAATTTTAAAACAATTATTATTTTAAAGAAATAAATCATTCATTCATTCATTCATTTTTATTTCTGCTTCAAATTTGATATATTCAATCTAATAAGAATAAGTGAGATCTTATCTAATAAATAGACATTATTGCTATTATATTATCCAGAATTCTTAAGATCAGAATAGCATTTTTAAAGTTTTAAAGCCTATATTTGTTATGGGTTGAGTTAATCAGACTCAAACACTTGCTCATAAAATTTCATCGCTTCTTTAAGATAAAAGTTACCTTGAGCTATATCTTTGTCTGCATAATGATAAGAGCTTAAATTCAAGAGAATTAATGCTCTCTCAGGTTTTACCCATTATGGTAAAAAGCCTTTGTAGTGAAATTTAATTAATTAATCTAACATTATAAGAGAATTATTTGAGTAATTAATAGCTTATTTAAAATTTCCAAGGTAAAAATAGCTTCTAGCAACATCCAAAAGGAATAATACTATAGTTGGATGTGCTTTGAATTATTTTTATTAAATTTCCAATGCCTTTTAACTATGTTCTAGTGCTAATTAATATTTACCTTAATAAGAGTAGCATAATCCTAGGTTATTTATAGAGAGAGAGAGATTATTTTAGTTAGATTATATACTTTCTTTCATTTTTATTGACATTTTAAAGTAATTTATTGCCATTTTTATTTTTCCTTAAAACATTAAACCTGATCCAACAGCATGTAGAGAGTTAGCCTTATCAATGTGATTACCTCTATATATAGATTACCTTTTATATAAAGATAAGTAATCAAGAGCTAAAGATTATTAGAGATTTCCTAATGCTCTATTACATGTAGCTAGGTACTGCATAGATTCTGCTACATCAGGATGATTAAGATCTCCATAAAGCCTTTTTTTCATTTCTAATGAAAGCGTGTGATATTCATAACCTTTTTATAAATTTGCTAAAAACATAAAGTAAGAACCTAATTGCATTAAAGACTATGCAGTATCAGTATGGTCTCCTTTAAATAATCTCTATCTCATTTCAAGTGATTCAATTAGGTACTTCTTAGCTTCTTCCGTTTTAGTTAATCTAAAAAGGCATACTCCGATTTAGCAAAGAGAAGTTGCAACTTCGCTATGGTCATTAAAAAATACCTATAATCTCATTTCTAGACATTATAAATACCTCTCTAGAGCCTATTCATACTTTCCTAATTAAAACAAGCAAGATGCTGTATGAAAAACTGACTAAGCTGTCTCAGGGTGTGTTTCTCTTTCTAACAATTTCTTTTAAATTTCTAATGATTCATTAAGGTAATTTTAAGCTTTCTACTAATCTCCTATTTAATTATAATATTATCCTAAACTTGAAAGAGATAAATATATATCTTCGCTTTCTTTATTTGAAAAAGATGTTCTTATTTCGTGCGATTAGTTATAATATTATAAGCATTTATCAAATTGTCCTAGCTTAAAGTAACAATCTCCTATTTTATTTACAGTATTAGCTATATTCACTTGATCTCTATTCGATTCAGGTAATATTTTGCCATATATTTCGTAGGATATTTAGAAATAATTCACAGCTTGACTGTAGTGGCCTTCTGAGAGCAAACAGATTCCTATGTCATAGAGTGATTTACAAATACTCTGAAAGCAACTAAAGTATTGATATATTGCATCATAGCTTTAACCCTTTTCTATAGATTTGAAAATCTAACAAATAAAAATAGAATGAAGGAAAACAAAAAATTTAGTAAACTAAGATTTAAGCTCTAATTAACTGGTCAAGTCAAATTCTTGAATAATGAAATCTATGGTTTAGAGTAAATCTGAATTCATCAAATTAAATTAAGAATATTTCTTTTCAAGGTTTATTTGGAGAGCAAGCAAAAGCTGCACTAATTTGGATTCTTAGAGTTCAAAAATATTTTTAGTAGTTTCAAATCTTCTTTACTTAACAATCTATTTAATGTTTTTAGCATAGCTCTCAATTGCGCTATCACTATATTATTTAATTATATCATAAAATTTTTTAAGTAAAACTAAACTTTCGCTTCGTTTATTTTAGTCTTTTTCTAACATTTCAGAATTAATAATATTCTATAATTTTTTTATGCATTCTTTTTAATTATTATGAATAATCTCATCAGAGGAATATTTGATCTTATTTATTAACACTTCAAATGTTTTACCCAGGTTAAAGATGTCTGTACTATGATCAATATATTATTTTTGTTCTTATTCTGGTGCAGCATAATATAATGTATGCCCACGACTCTTTTAGGATTAATTAGTAGAGAGAATAGATATTCCAAAATCTGTTATGATACATTTTTTTTCTGAGTTAATTAAAATGTTTGCTGGTTTTATATCAGAGTGGGTAATTCTGTATATTTTTAGTTCAATTATCACATCTAGCAATTCTAGTATTTTTGAGCATAAATCATCAAATTCTATGCCATTAACAATTTCTTTTTGTAAATCAGTTTCGCAAAGATCAAGTATTTATACAAGGATATTTAAATCCCCAATTTAAAATACTTTTTGAAAAACACAATTTATAATTTTTGTGGAATTTTTTACAAAATTGAACACTTCAATTTCATTAAAATCTTAATCTGAATTATTTTCTTTATCTATATCTTGTATCCTAATTGCATATTCTTCATAATTATTAGAGTTCTCTTTCTTATAAATACCTCTAAAAACTATTGATTCGCCTCCATTTCCTAATTTCTATTGAAGTGTGCAATTTATTTCTTTTAAGTTTTCAATCAATTAATCAGCTATTTAAAGGCTAGAATAAAAACAATAACTACAATTAACATAATCACCACAATTACCATTATTAACACATTCATAAAATTATTTTAATTTATCTTAAAAGAATTAATCAATTATATTACTTATGTTATCCTAAGGTTATTCTTGATTATTAAACTATCTTTAATCATCAGAAAGGCAGTTTTATTTTAATTTATTTGAGTGGCTGTTAATTGAATTTTTTGAAGAATTTTTTTCTAACTATTTATTGCCTTATTTCAAATTTTTCCTTTCTATAGTATTGAAACAATCGATAATATCGTTTATACTTTCTAAGATAATACTATGATTCTAATTAGACTCTTTAGAAGAACTCTAACTTTGTGGTGCAAGATATCCATCCAACAAGTCTTGCTAGTAAGCGTCTTACTCTTAATTAAAGCGTATATTTTGGTCTTATTCAGAATCTTGTGTTGAATCTGATGCTTTTCTTATTTGGTATTGATCTAAGATTTAATCAGAAAAAGAATAACTTTTATTGAGATTCAATTAATAGTTCTAATCTTCTAATTTTGTAATTGTCTCTTCTAAAGTTTTTAAATCATCTTCTTTGCTGTATTTAATTAAAAATTGATGAATTGTTTTATCATCCTTCTATGAAAATTCTTAATCATAAAACTATTTCTGATTTAAATAATTGAAAGTTGATTTATTTAGGAATTATTATTATTAGTCATTTTCTTTCAGTTTCTCAAATTATTTTATTAAGAGTTTGCACTAATTTAAGTAACATTCGTAATTAACTTATTCTTGACATTAACCAACTAAGTTAAAAGTTGATTAGAAAAGATCCTTCACTTCAACTTTCTTCATATTATTAAGGACTGAGCTGAGTAATATAATTTATTTACTTATTTTTCTTTTTCTATATTTAAAATGATAAAATAATTGAAAAAATGTTCAAAGTTACCTAAAATATGGTTTTTAATGATTCTTCTCTAATTATTTAGTATTTTTTATTTATTTATTTATTAATACTATTATTAATATATACTTTGTATTTTTACTATTTAAATATTTTTTTTACTATTACTTCTATTCAAAAGTGATTTATAAGAATTCATAAGAACATTCGGTGGGAGTTTGTTTTTTCTACAAAAATTGTTAATGAGATAATAAAAAAAAGGTTTGTTTGAAAAGTAACAGAATTTTACTTAAAAATTTAAAAGCAAAATATTGATTGAATTTATTTAATTCATTTAATAAGTTTATCAAAATATGCAGGTAAGATATAAATATTCTATTATTGATTGACATGAATTACAGGAAGTATTTACATATAGGAGTTCTATGAAAAGTACAATTTTTACACAAACTAACTTGTTTTTAAAAATACCTAAAGCTGTAAAAATTTAAATCAGCATTTAAAAGATCAAAATTTATAATCAAAAAAGAAATTAATTAGACGAGAAATAATCTTTTTTTTTAAATTGATTATTTTATTATATTGCGTAATATTCCTAAATGTAGATTACATCATAAACAAAAATTATTATAAGTATTATTGATTCGTATTATATTTATAAGCATGAATAGATTACTATTTAACTTAAATAACTGAATTAATTCTTTGAATATATAGCCTAAATTAACTAAATCAAATAAACAAATAAAAAGATTAAAATAAAATTATTTTTTATCTATCAAAATTTATTTAATATTTTTAATGGGGTTTGCAAATAAATATATTTTGTTTTAAAAATTGTTGTTTGGTTTAAAAAAATGATAGTTTTTAAAACTCAAATATTTAATCTAATCTAACCCTATCTAATATACATCAAAAGCAAATTTGTTTTGTAAATTAATTATGTTTCAAAAAGAAATTTCTGAAGGAATATTAGAGTGAAATAGCTAGATTCTGGTTTATAGTCCGTCAGTTATTAGTTTTTGATTAGTTTATTATATTATTTTACTTACAATAATCTATTTTTCTATTTCTATTTCAATTTCAATAATTTTCAAATTTTTTTTTTAAAATAGAGACTTACTTGATAGGTATATTTTCCTCTAAAAATAAAACGTGAAATCAGTTAAAATTTAAACTAATATATTCATATATTTATTTAATTATTATAGATCTAACAACAGTAAAAAATTGGATTTAATTCAAGTTTGATTGAAATGATAAATAGTATTTAGAGCAAAATTTAGTATAAAATAAATCTACATTTTTTGCTTTATTATTTTTAAATTTAGAGAAATCAAAGTCCTTATTTTTCAAAAATATTGTTCTGTATATTTTGTTATAAAAACATAATTTTTTACTGCTTAACTTATTTATTTAATTGAGTTTGTATTAAAAATTTAAATTTTGAGAGCAGATAGATTATAATCTTATCTTTTTATTTTCTAAGTTGAAGATTCCAGCTATTATTTTAGAACATTTTAAAAAATATAAATTATAATTCAAGCATATAAAAAACAAATTCAGATCAATCTCATCAGCTATAGCAGTATAAATCGTCATAGGTGCTATTATAAGCTTGTAATTAACGTAAATATAGTAATCAAATTAGAATCAGAATTAATTGGTTTAATTGTAATGTCATGGAAATTCGTAATAAAGATGTTAAAAATTACACAATTATAAAAAATAAAAACTGTCTGCTTGTCTAAATTATCTTGTAAATTTGATGATATTAAAATTAAATAAAGTTTTTATTATATCTACTTTAAATTAACAGATAATAACTAAAATTTGACACATCTTACATCTTCTATCAATAAGAAAATCTTCTTTTTTTACTAAATAAATTTCGTAATAATTTGAAAATCTTCTGATTAAATATTATAATTAGAAAGATAATTAAAACACTTTTCTATATTATTAATATTTTTATTGTAATAAATATATAGGTTTAATATAATTATATAAAGTTTTTAAAATGATATGAAAAACGAAATAAAATTTTGTATTATTTTCAAAAATTTTAATAAATGAATGACAGTCTTTAAAAATTTTATATTTCAAAAAATCTAACCCTATTATATATCAAAAACAAATTCATTTTGTAAATTAATTATGTTTCAAAAAGAAAATTTGGAAGGAATATTAGACTGAGATAAGAATGTAAGCTTCTTTCTGATTTATAGTGAGTTATTAGCTTTTGATTAGTTTATTTTATTAATTTACTTCTTTTCTATTTCAATTTTCATAATTTTCAAATTTTTTTTTGAAAAAAGAGACTTATTGATAGATATATTTCGCTCAAAGAATAAAATATGAAATAAGTTAAAAATTCAACTAAACTAACTACCCATCCACACATTTATTTAGTATTATAGACCTTATTACAGTAAAAATTCGATTTAATACAAATTTAATTTAGATAAATGACAAATAGTATTTAAAATTTAAATTATTTGAATTTTATAAAATAAATGCATACAAATAAAATTTACTTATATTCATACATATAGATGCTTCGTTATTTTTAAATTTACAGAAAAAGTAAGTATTTTTTGTTAGAAAAACTTAATTTTTTAAGGCTTAACTTATTTATTTATTGAATTGAGTGAAGATTCTACCTCTAGTTTTAGAACATTTTTAAAAAAATAAATAATAATTCAAGCATATAAAAAATTAATTGATCAATCTCATCACCTATAAAAGTATAAATCATCATAGTTAGTTGCTCTTATAAATTTGTAATTAAGGTTCATACATAGTAATTACATTATAATCATTGTTTAGGATTACACAATTATAAAAAATAAAAGCTGTTTGTTTGTGTGTCTAAAAAATTTTGTAAATTTGGTGCCAAATACTCTATTTATTTTTAAATTGAATACATGCTTTTTTATAATATCTACTTAAATTAAAAAACAATAAATGAAATTTGACTCATCTTACTTACATCTTCTATCAATGAAATTTAAGAAAATCTTCTTTTTTCAATAAATTTTGTAATTAATTTAAAATTTCTCTTAAAACACTATTCAAAATTATTAATAATTTTTTTGTAATAAATATATATGTTGGATTTAGCTAAATAAAGTTAAAAGGAAATAAAAAATTGTAAAATTAATAATTTTATAGATCAAAAATTAGAGAGCGTTCTACTTGTTCATAATTTGATTCGAAATCAAATGAAAATTTTTATAAAATAAATCCAATAATTCATTTAAAGATTAAAAAATAAAAACCAAAAATACTCTTTTTAAAAATTATAAACTATTTAACGATTATTTCAGAAAAAATAAATAGAAATTAGAAGAAAATAAATAAATAAATGAATTATATTTAATCTTAATTGTTTTTACATTAATATAAAATCAAAAAATATTTAAAAGTTAAATATTTTATTTATTATCTAATTTATAGGATTAAATATTCTTATTACAAGAGTGTTAATTTATTTTAATAAACTACAAACAAATTCACTTAATTAGCTTAACAAAAAATTTTTCAATCATTAATGATTATAAAAGCAGGTTCATTTTTATGATATATACTATAACTAATTGTATTGCTTTTGCAATTTTATTATATTTTATTCATATTTTATTATTATTATTATTATTATTATTATTGTTCAATGAGCTTTATTTATTGATCTTTGCTTTATTTGTCTTATCGTTTTACATAATTAAGTCTTAAAATTTATTATTTTTCGAAACATTTTTAAAAACCATTTTAATTATCTTCATGATTAATATTTTATTTTTTTAAGCTAATTTTTTGTTCACTATTTTAATGTGTTTAGTTCTTATCTGCTTTTGAATTATATTAAAGCTGAAAATAACTTTTATTCTATTGCTCTATTTCAGTTAATTTATCTTAATCATTGTCATCTAGAATCATTATTACTTCTTTATTATTATTTAATTATATATTGTTCTTATCTTCAATTAAATTCTTCCCTTATCTTTATTCAACCTAATTGATATTCTATTTTTCTTTTTTTTTAAATTAATATTTTAATCTCTAAAATTAGTTTTTAATTTACAATTTTTTTAAAGATCTCTTTTGCTTGATGGATTGTGTCTTTTTTTGTTTGATGAGTCAAAAATTGTTGTTGTTGAATCATAAAATTCTATGTCATCGTCTTAAATTTAGTGTTAATTAAAGAACTAAGGAGTCATTTGCCTTTCCTCACTTTGTATATCATCTTCTTATGTGATATCTTCATTTTCAAATGAAGAACAACTCTACTCAGGAGTAATAAATTTTTGATTTTGGATATCTATGTTTTTAAAAATAATTTAAATTAAATTTGATATTATTATTAAGTTTTTATGCGATTAAAACGCAATTTTTTTATTTACTTTTTTATATTTTGATTGCTTTTGCTAGTTGGAATTTTTGTTAGCTCTTTTAGGAAAAGAAGTGAAAAAGACTAAATTATTCCTTTTACTCTTTAGAATTAAATTTAACTATTCTCAAACTCAAAGAAGATCCTCTAACTTTATTCTCTTAGAATCTTATATTATTAAGCTTAATCTGCTTTTGCTTACCATAACAATTTATATGCTTAAACTACATTATATAATTCTATCCTTCTTTGTTACTATTCGTTTGTAACCAAAAACAGTTGTTTTCTATAATTTAACTAAAATCAAACTCTTTAATACTGTTTAGCACTTTGTACTTTTCTTTGTTTAAAATGTATTTTTAGAGTTGCGCCAAATAAAATTCTTCTAAATTATTATAATAATCCTGAAGAGATTCAATATAATCTAGCTCTTCTTATTTAATTTTATTTTAGTAAGCTCTATCATTCATTAATTTAAAATGTTTTAAAGGCTAAATAAACGGTTTCCTTGGTGCCTTTATCGTGTAATCTACTATAAAATATTTACTTTTAATTGCTTTATTATCCATTTTTAATTAACTAGACTTATTAATTTGTTATGTATAATAAATTATTGATTAATATCAGATTTGCTTTTCTGATCAATTTAACAAATCAGCTTTTTTATATATAGTGTGACAGGCTTAAATCAAATAAAAATGGTAACAAATAAATTAGTTCTTGTTTTTTATACACATTTAACTTTCTATGCCTAGATTCAGTAAACAAATGTATTTTTTAAAGTGTAATTTAGTTAAAATTTAGTATTTATCATTTAGAGAGAAGTGCAATATTCCGCATAAAGTAGAGGTATTTAAAATAAGCTTAATTTTGATATTAAATAAACTTTAGCTTTAAATTTTAATCTAATTAATTATAACTAAGCGCTAAATTTTGAAAAAATAGTGGTAATAGCGCCTAAATTTATGAAATTAACTTTGAATTTTAATAAATTTGGAAGTAAAGAATTACTCAAAAAAAATGTCAAAGTTGAACCTGTAATGAGTCCATACATAATTTTAATAAAAGAAGGAAAGAAATATTTTCAAAAATTTAAAATTAACACAATAATTTAAAATTAATAATTTTTTTAATTAATTAAATTTAATTTAAAAGTGTGCTTTCAAATTCAAATAAAGTTTTTAAAAATATTTAAATATTCAATAACTCAAATCAATTTACTTAGTAAAAAGATTAAACAAAGCAAGCATAAAAGTTGACAAATGATAAATATTGAAATAAACTGATAACAAACAGATAAATAAACTGAGGAAGGAATATTCTTTAATTTAATTATTTGGATTGATTGATTGATGAGTTACATAGACAGTCAATAATATTGAAATTAATTAAACTGAATGTAAATAAACAAACAAGCAAGTATTATTTTTGATAAGCTTCTTATTAACATTGAATAGATTTATAAATATATTTGGATGTTATAAACATAAATATAGCAATATTTTTTTATTTATTTATTGATTGATTGATGGAGAAGTATTTTGAAAAATAAGATATATTTATTTATTTATTTATTTATTGATAAATTTAATTGTGTTTTTTGTTGAATGATATAGTTTTTTGGATCGATAAATAGTAAGTAGGTAGTGATTATCTATATTTTTATAGAATTTAAAGTACTTTTTTTAATAAAATTTGATGGTTCTTCTTTAAATCATTTATTTTTGTTTTGTTTTCTGGGTTGCTTTTTTTTTAATTTACTGTTTGTTTTAATTTAATTTAATTTTTATTTTATTTTATTTACGTTTTTTCTACAAATATTTTAATAAGAAAATTAATTAATCGTTGTGAATCAATAATTTTTGGTTATAATATTTTATTTTGATCTTGCTTCCTTAGAGTTATAACTTTCAAATTGAGATTCAGAGTAATCATCAATATTAATAGAATCAATATGCCTGGTCAAGTCATTGTAGGGAGAATTGTTGTTATTATTGTTATTGTTTTCGTTGTTGTGGCTATTTTATTTTTATTACATGTACTAGTTTATTATGTGCTAGTCGATAGAACTTGTTTTGTAATCGTCATTCCTACTTCTTTACCCCTACCCAAAATATTTACTATATTCTTTAACTTGTTCTTATTTTAATGATCCTATTTTATTTTTATTAGTGTTGTCTGTTATTACAGTTTTATTATCGATAGCTATTTGATCAAAGCTATTATTGTTGAAGTTAGTTCCGGAGACTTAAGTATTTAATTGCTTTGGAGAAGTTGGTTTAGAAAATCGTAATTTACCAAATTTATCTCTGTTAAATGAATCTGCAGTGGTATCTACCAGCTGACTAGGCTGCTACTAAGAGTCGACTGTTTTTCTTGCATTTCGATTATATTCTGAATTTGTTTTATTTGTATATGTTTGTGTATTATTGTTATTGATATTTTAATTGCCTTAGTGGCGCATTATTGAATCAACAGCAGTCTAATCAAAGTGAAATTAAACTTCTTCCTCTTCGTCTTCATCTTCATCGTCATAGCAATCAATGTAAATTAGCTATTTTTATGCTGCTTCTTATTTTTTTTATTCAATTGCACTTTTATCAATGCTTGCATTTTTACTTTATGAATTTTTAGATAAATTAGGAAGGTTATTTTGATTTGGTTAAGGAGACTTGCTTGCTGGTCGTGAAGAGGAAGATGAAGAAGAATCGTTTAACTCTCTTAGTTTTTATGATTTTCTATCTGCTTATTTTTAGCCAAGAGTTATTTACTATTAGCTTTATGTTAAAATTAAATTATGGTTTTAACTATTATTATTGCTTGCAATGTTTTGCACGTAAATAGGAGCCTCTTGTTTTTTTTAGTTGTTCTCATTTTATTTATTAGAGCTATTGCTGCTATTCGAGTCATAATTTCTTATCAAGTTTGCTCCATCATTGTTGTTGTCATTGTTATTATTGGCTGAGCTGGTTACTCCATTAGAAAAATGGCTCATACCGTTTTTGTTAATATTACTTTATTGATTATTATTTGCATTGCCGTTTTATGTTTTAAATGGTGAATTAACTCTTTCTTAACTCTTAATGCCATTAGTGGGAAGTTAATTTTAGTTATTTTCTAAAAGCTTATTATTTTGTCTTCCACCTTCACTAGAGTTCTAGCTTGTATAAGATTACTATTTAGTAATGATTGAGCTCTTGTCTCTGTCTATTTCAGATGTATAGACTGACTTAGTACCAGAGTACTCGCTAGGCTATTGTATTTAAAGACTTTAAGGTTATTGCCTTTACTGTTAGTTTAATGACGATTGCTTATGACTTAGACTAAAGGGAGTTACTTATTTCTTTCTTATTGGCATAGCATCAGTTCCTGTGTAGCTTATTTAAGTGTTGTTTTTTGTCCTTTCTTGACTATTAGAGCTATTGCTGCTACTTCTGCTACTATCACTACTTTTACTGCTATTATCATTATTATCTTTATTTTTATCAATGCTATTAGAAAATTTTTCTCCTGAATAATTAAGATTTTTATTGTTTGAGCTATTTATTTTACAAATTATAAAAAAATAAAACTAAATTTTTAATTAAATAAATAAAAACTACTAATTCTATTATTATTAAGAAGACCTAGGTTAAATCATTTTAGGTTAAGGATTCAATGGTCTAGGATTATTCATATTTTTAGATTTTCCTAAATCTATGCTATCTTAACTATTTTCACCATCACTTTCACGAAGTCTGATACTTTTTCTGCTTTTTTAGCTTTTATGAGTTTTTGTCTTCACACTAAATACTAATGTTTTCTCTGTTAGTGTATCTTTCATGCTATTCTCTTCATGAAATAAAGTATTTCCCCTGCTTTCTCCTCTCCTATTTATTATTCAGTTAAAAAATTTATTCAATTCATTTCAAAACAAAAGGAAATTAATTAATTAATTACAAACAAAATGTTTTATAAAAATAAAAAAAAGTTTCTTAATAAAATAATATTTTGTAATAAATTTAACGTTTAGATTATTTATCATGGTGAAATTTTGAAATAATAAAATAATTGAATTCTATTGAGATATTTTTTTTAAACAATTTAATCTTTAAAAAAAAGCGATATTATGATTGATTTTCTTTAAGCTATTGAATTCTCTTTGAAATTTTTAGATATATTAGGCATAAATTTTAGTAGTTTTTACTTTCTAATTTTTTTAATAATAACTTTATTTCTTCAATTTTGTATTTTCCTTTATTTGAAATTATAAGCATATCATATAAATATTTACGTTAAAAATTCTTTTCTTTTATCTGGAGAAGAAGTTTGATAGTCTACTGTAGCTTCTTCTGTAATTAGTGGTAATTGTCTACCTGGTTAGCTTACATGAGTTAATCTTTTTCCTAAAATGAAAGGATGATTGAGCAACTATCTTACATTGTATCTATCATTAGGGTTTATTCTAAATTATAAAAATAAAATTTATTGAGTTTTAGTTAAGTCAACAAGTTCAATTTGATTTTAATACTTTAAGCACTTAGAGATGAAATCCTTACAAACGGGAGAGAGATGTTCTGGGATTGGTGGAGGTTATTAAGCATTTGCTATATAAAACATTGCCTAGATTGGACTTTTATCAGCCCATGGAGGTTTTGCTGTAGCCATTTCTATCACAGTACAACCTATGCTCCATATATCAGCAAACCTTTTTTTTTTTGCGAATGTTAAATTAAATTTAAAATTGCTTGATACTTTTAAATATTAGAATGAATTGAATTGTTATTTAAAATATTAATTAGGATTGATTTAAAAATAGAATGTTTGATTTCATAATATTTCATTTAATTGTTAATAAAAATTTAAATTTAAGATTTTAAGGATTTATTGGTATAAATAAAATTAATACCTTCCAGAACCTAATTATTTAATGGTTTCAGGAGCCATCCAATAAGGAGTACCTCTAATTGAATCGTTATGCCCCTTTTCTTCCACAATTTTTTTAGCGCTACCAAAATCTTTTGATAAATTACAAAGTTATTTAGCAAAAATAAAAAAGTCAACTAATTGTAGAATTTTATAGAAATGTAAATTGAGATCTATCTATCTATTTATTTTTTATTTGCTTAATAAGAAGTTCGCACTGATTAATTTTCAGTAAAATTTCGACAACAAAGATGATGCCATAATAAATAAATGAATATTAATTAACCTGCTAATTTGCAATTTCCATCTTTATCTACCAAAACATTAGCACCCTTTATATCTCTATGAATAATTTCATGTGCATGAAGATATTCTAATCCTTTGAGTATCTATTAAGTAAATTTTCTGATGAGAGTTTCATTAAATTTTCCATATCTGTATAAAAGTGATGAGATTGAACCGCCTTTTAAATTTTTATGATAAAAATTAAACTCATATCTTGTAATTTTGTGGAAAGTTTAAGAATAATTAATATTTGCTTTTCAAAGCTGATCATTTATGCTATTTATTTGTTTATTTTTGCAACTAAAAGTATAAAAAATGCATTGCTATTTATATGTCTATTTATTTATTCTACTTTACAAATTTTTAAATTAATACCTGGAACATACTCCAAGAATATATTAATGGATGTCTCGCTTTTTTTGATTCCTATGTATCTAACTATATTTTTGTCAGAAAAGTTCCTCAGAGCTTCTATTTCGCTTTAAATTTATTGTATTTTCTTTTTAGTTAAAAATTCATAATTATAATGCATCAATCAGTGAGTGTATGTATAAATGGAAATGAACACTTTACTTCTTATCTATCCTTTTAATTATAACCGCCTATATGAACTTATTTGACAGCCATAAATTCTCCTGTATCTATATTCATTCCAAGTATAACTTAACCAAATGAACCTGTACCCAAAACTTCGCCTGATTGCCATCTGTTTTTTTAATATCAAAATTAGATTAAACTAAATTAATTTTTCAACTTAAAAAGCCTTCCATAAATGATAAAAAACAATAATTATACCTAATATTTTTATCTTTTGGAGGCTGTACTTTTTTTTCATTGTAATATTTTTTTTCATAATATTCTTAATCTTCCTTAGTGAAGTATTTATCATTGTTATTTTTTAACTATCTTATTTCTTCAACCTATATCACATTTTTAAAATAAAAGTAAGTTATTTAAAGCTATAAATTAGACTAGCAATGCAAATAAATTTTAAATTTCTCTTCTATTATTAAATGTAAAGCCTATTCACAAAATCTAAGTTTAGATAATTGCTTTGTTTTAAAGTATCTTACTCTAATACATTTAAGATACTTTTATGTTACAATGCTATCAGTAAGGCTTTAGTTTGTTAGTAATTTATATTATTTGCTTTTTCAAAAGATTAATTTCTTTGTGGTTTGTTTTTATGTATGTATGTATGTATGTATGTATATAAATATGCATGTAAGAATGAATGTTTGTTTGTTTGTATATTTTTAGTGTGCAAATTTTTTATTTACGGAATCTGCTTCTTTTTCTGCATTTTCTCCACCTTATTTGGGAGATGGATGCTCACTCTCTGAGTGTGAGAATTTATCCTCCTCTTTTTGCTGATTCTAACCATTTACTAAATTATTCACTATATGTCTATTTTTTTTAGAGTATTTATTGTGCTGAGACTTCCTCATTTTATTAAGATGATTTTCTGAACCCTAATTATATGTTGAGTTGATTTCATTGCTTTGGTAAGATTGTCCATCAAATCCATTCATTTGCTAGCTCGAAGAATCTGATTATTCCTCCTACCGTGGAATTTCCTTTTTTTCTATAATATCCTCTGCGTGCACTGAACCAAAGTCGCTTTTATTCCTTTGATTCTTCTTTCTTTCTAGCTTTCTTTTTTCTTGTTTCTCTTTTTGAGTTTGATCATTGTCGCCATCGTTTTAATCAGTTGGTGCGCTAGTGTTTTTACATGCATTGAGAAGATTATTTCCCATTCAACTTCTCCCTTAAAACTAGTCTCGAATTCTATTTTTCAATCTGGTTCTTTGCCTGGTACTTATTACTTGCTTTATTACTTTTCGTTGACCTATTTATTAATATTTGTTTGTTTGTTTGTTTGATTGTTTCCTAATCTATAGTTCTTTGTAAATTTCTTACTTACTTACTTAATTAATTTTATAAATAGATACCTTTATTAAATGAACGATCAAATTGTTTGCTTGTATGAATCTATGTATGTATATATGTATATATGCTATTATGTATTTTTTGCTTTTTGTTTGTAATTTTCTTTATTTTTATTTGATTGTTTATTTTTTTGTTCTCTTGTCTTTTGTTAGAAGCTCCTTTAGCTAATTTGTTAGGTATATATTATTTATTAATTGAATGTCCATCCTTACTCTCTCTATCAAAAAAATTAGAACACTTTATAGATATTTGATAAAACAATAATTTACTGTTTGAGTTGTGCTTGTTAGCTTTTTTTGATTTGTATTACAAAAATCAAGATAGTAAAAAATAATGTAATAATAATGAAGATAATAAATATATTCACCCAATAAGCTTAGCATTTTTTAATTTTCTTTAAATCAAAATTAAAAATCTATTAACTTAATAAATACCTTTCAATTTCCTTTATTTAAATTTATTGACTCCTAACAAACCTTTTGTATAGATTTCCAGACTGATTGACTGACTGAATAGTTCATTTGTAATTACAATTTCTGCGATAGTAAAAAATTAATCAAACACAAATTTTTTATTTGTTTATTTATTTATTCGTTTGAAAATCCATTCCATTTTATTTTACACTCTAATTAATTTTCAGATTTATTTTTACAAAATTGATTTAAAAAATATGTAAATAAACAATTCAATATTGATCTCTAATTTTCGCTACAAATTTATCAATTTATCAAATAAATATTCTTATTAGCTACAATCATAAAAATTACCATATCTTACAAATTTTAAAATTAAAATTAATTTTACCTTTATTCAAATTGTTTAATTACTTTTTTATAAATTAGCTCAAAAAATACTTTAATCTTATCAATAGCTGCCATAATTATCCATTATCATATTACTATCACTTAAAAAATATAGGAATAATAAAATAAAAAATAATCATTTATAATTCTTTTAAAATACATAATTTTATTTGCTATTACCACTTTAAAATAAATAATTCAATCAATCATTTTTACTGAAATAAAACTTATCTAATATTAATAATTTGACCGTTCATTCATTTACTAGACATATTTTTTAATATTTTTTTATTAAAAAACATCTAAAATTAATTTTCATAAACTAAAAATAGAATTTTAAATTTTGACTTTCTTTTTTTATCATATATGAAAAAGAGAAATTAATACAATTAATTTATAAAAAGAAAACTTATTATATTATCTAGCTTTTAAACTGCTATATAACGCTATATTTGGTTAATCATACAGCGCCTGCTAGTAGTGCAGCGCACGAATCGAATAGTATATTTTCTCAAAAATTAATTACTCATTTCTAAGTTTGGAAAAATATTTTTAGAGTCATGTAACTAAATTAATTACATTCCATTTTACTTTTTTGGTAAAATTATTCTAAAATTCTTAAATATAGTTAGCTTTCTAAATCTTTTATAAGTTAAATGTTTTAATCTTAATCTAAATTTTTAAACTATACCTCCCCCAATTTTTTATTTAAATATTTAGATGCATATATATTTATCATTATTGAAAAAAAAATATTCATTAAATATTTAGATTTTGAACAAATTAAATTTGACCATGATAATATATAGTAATTCGTAGTGCTGAGAACTCTAAATTTGTAGTTAAAAATGTAAAATTCTTTAAAATCATGCATTTTTACAAAAATTTAAAATAATTAATGAAAATTATTTGATTTTCAAACAATTTAAATTTATTTGTTTGATGGTTTGTTTATTTATTACTAATCATTGTTTTTTTAATTGCAAATATCTTTAATTGATTAATAATTTTTCGAATTTAATATTGTATTTTATTACTTCATCAATATTATATGTTACGCAGTGCATATCGAGGATTTACGGTATGATAGATTCTAATTAATAATAATGTTAATTTTAATTCAATTTAGGACATTCGGTTTTTTATTTAATTTTAGCTTTCAAAAAATTTTTATGCTTCCAAATTCTAAATTTTGAAAGTGAATTTGCAAAAAAAGTAAATGAATTTTTGCTTTTTGGACTATTTCTCAAATTCTTTTATTTTGAACTATTGTGGAAAAATACAAAAAATGCTTAAAGTATATTTTATACGTCAAGAAGCGCAGTGCACGCACGGACAGACAATACATGAAAGATATATTATCTATTTATTATTTGAAAATAAAATTAAGTATTCAATATTTTATTTAATTTTTAAAACAAAAATGTAGAATTTTTTTGAAACATTTAAAAATATAATAAATTTTGTTTTTAAAAACAAACTGCATTTTACAAATAAATTCAACAGCAAGCAAATCCATCATGAGGTCTTCCTTCCATATATAATTTAACTTTTTATTCATTGTAAAACTTGTCATGTTAATTAGGTAGAAATAAGGGATTTTTAATCTAATACTTTTCTGCATAGTAATATCTATATTTAGCAAACGCTTCTTTGTATTTTGATTTGGCAGTATGCGAGTAGAGTTAGTCATCTAGCTGATTAATTTTGTCTTCAACATTTACACATTTTTCTAAAGTTCCAAGAGGTGTAAGAATAAGGCCAATGCCAACACTTATGCTAATCACAGAGTATATTGTAATATGATAGAGCCCTGGATTAAGGATATATTGAAACATTGTATTTGATATAGCGTATATTGGAACTATGCATTTAATTACTTATAATATTGTAAAAGGCATCAAAGAGCTAACTTTTAAGGTTTTTCTTCTGTGGTAAATAATTTTGTAAAGGTGAATTGGGTAAAGCAAGAGTAAACCAATAAATGATATAACCAAACACATTGGTATAAGAGGAGCATAAAATGCAGTAAAAAGCATAGTTTTAGCCATCTCACTAAACATCTAAGATAAATTATTTTCAGGCTCTTACCATTCATTGTTTTTTATATCTTTTTTGAGGAAAGCAATTAAAATTTTAATGTTTCTTCCTGGATCTAGAATCATGATAATGATATACAAAACTGTAGTAAAAATGAAATTATTATATTAATTTATGATAAGTCCGTTAGTTTTATAGATGTCACTCTGCATTCTCTAAGGTAAAAAAAGTGCATCAAAGCCAACTAAAACAAAAAATGGTATTAATGCTATATTAACGAATCTACTTAGAGCCAGCTTGATTGAGAAAGAGCACTATTCTCCTGTCTTATCATAATAGCTTTCGAATGCAGATAATTTAGATAATATAGTACTAAATATCCCGTTTGATATGAAAATAAAAAAGAAAATCACATAAGCTATCTATTATGCATCTTTTGTGTTAACTTAAATAATTACTAAATTTCCTTTATTATCGTAAACCTACACACTTTCTGTGAAGTTTTTTTGGAAGGTAATTAGAATCATGTTAACTATTAAACATAAGCCAATGAAAAAAATTGTTAAAAAGAATGAGATCACCTTGTAAAAAATTTATTTAGTTTTTGATATCTCAAGGTTTTACCAGTTGATATCATCAGGTTCAGGAGCTTTTGAAACAGTTGCATCTTCATACTGTTATTCTTCTATATGCTTTATACTTATTATATTATCAAAAAGAAGAAATTTATGACCTTTATATTCTTCATTCACTCCACAATGTTTCATATTTTTTTAAATTTCAATAATATCAGAATTTTCTGAGTATTAAATCCATATTGCAAAATCACTTGGAGAAATAAACTAATAATCTATTTTATTATTAAGAACTTTAAGTCTTCTATGCTTGTAAGCCATATACAAAGCAAGAACAATAGTTGTAATCATAACTAAAATGTCTTGCTAAATAATCTAGCTCGATTGACCTACTATGTTTGCTTATGAGTACTCTGTTTCTGTGCTAATAATGCATACTTCGTAAGACTTCTTGCCATTCATGACTTATTTTTTTATCTCTTCAATATTCTTACAATAATCTCCTTGCTTATTTGTATAAATACTGAATAAACCGCTAATCAAAAATATAAGCAATAAAATTAAAAGACAGTCTATTAGCACAAGAAAGTACATGCTATACCCAATACCATAGTCAGCTAAGTGTTTAGGTCTCAAATGCCTCAAACTTGCTAGTCGCTTGAAAAAAGATTTCTATGTTTTGAATTATTCAACCTTTAATTCATCAATAGATTTAGTAGAATAAGTATATTCTTATTATTCTTGAGACTATTTTTTTTATTCTTTTGTAAGAATTATGTTGCTATCGTCGTCATCATCATCATCTTATTTCGAGTTGTGTGTAGCCTCTTCATTTTATTTGCTAACTTTGCTTGACATTAGTTGAGATTTATATGCACGTGAGTCAACAAGACTAAACTATTCTTTAATTTTTAATTACTCATCTATATTTTTTTTAATATGCTAATTATTTGATTTGTAAGTAATTGTTGATTGATGCTACTCATAGATACTAGGATACATATTCTTAAATTCCTCCTGTTATGATGAAGAAGATACCATCAAATTGTTTTTTTGGTTTTAATTATAACTCCTATTTAAGTTTGGATATTTTTATTGCTGATGATCCTATTAACTAAAACTGCCTTAATTTTAAAAATTATTCACCTAATACGGCTAACTATAATGGAAGTTAGACATGGGATTTTACAAATTCTAAGGCTAGTAAATCCTTTGGTTCATACTATGATGCTGATTCATTATCTTATATGATAAAACCTTAGTATTTTTATCTAATAATATTTTAATTGATTCCAAGCTAAAATATAAAATATAATTTATTTCCTTTTTATTTTAAAAATAAATAAATTATACAGTAATCTCTTTGATTTTTTAGATAGAAAAAATGTAAATATTTTTCAATTATCTATGATTTATTATTTGTTATCTTAAAAAAAACGTAAACCATTAAAAAATAAATTATAAAATTTGTTATTATTCCAAATACATAAAATTTTAAAAAAATCCACCACAATAAATAAATTACATTATTCGTTCACTCAAATAAGATTTTTATAATATTTTTAAACATTCTCATTGTATATTAAAAAAATATAATATATATATAAATAAGCATATCTTTAGTAATAATTTTCCCTAGTCAAATATTTATTATGAATATTAATGCAAATAAATAATCAATAATTAATATATTTATTTTATTCAGATCTTAATAGAAATCAAAACAAAAATTCTTCATTTTAAAAATTTTTCTTTTAAGCTATGATATATGAACCAATTGAATTTGACTAAACCTATTCATATATAATTGTTGTAATAAATAAATAGATATAATAAGTATTAAGCTATTGAAAATATTAACTATTAGTTTGTTTAAAATATGCCTTATTTAAATTAAAATATTTGAAATTAACAATTAAAATTAATATTTTCAAGAGATAACATGAAAATTATATATTTTTTAATCGTTTACTCTTATTAAAGGTTAATCTCCAAAATTATCAGTTTTTTGTATTTCACAAAATCAGATCCGAATCTAATAATTTCCGAAGATTCTATTGTATAATAGTATTCCTTTTTAATGCACATTTTTAGTTATTAATAAAAAAATTTACTTATAAAATTAATAAAATTTAAAGTAAATTAATTTTAAAATCTAAATTTTTTTATTTGAAATTGTAAGTAAAAGTAAAATAAATATATTAATTCTAAATGACCCAAAAATATTTGAACAAAAGTAATCTTTATTTAATACTTAAGATTAATAGCTAAGGCTTAAAGGCTAGTACAATTTGATAAAGCAGAAACTAAACTTCCTTAATTTTTCATTCTATTATTACTTTTAATATGTTTTTAATTAATTATTAAAATAATTTAATTTGGTAATTTTTGTTTAATAATTAATTTTTTAATGTAATTAAATTATTTTAGTAACATAATTTTTTTGAAAAATTAACAATCTTTACTTAAGTATTAGGGTTAAATCCTTAAGATTAGTACAGTTAGACAAAGTTTAACCTAGGCCTGAAGGATCACTAATATGGTTAGATCTTTATTTAAATTTATAAATTAATTAAATTTATGAAAAGAATTAAGATAACTTTGAATTATAAATAAATTTAAATATTTTCTTTAATCTTAGTAAAAAAAATTCAATTTATAATAAAGCATTATTAAATGAATAAAGAAAATTATATTTACACAACACTTAAAATAAGCTTTGTTAAACTTTTGCATTTCGTTAAAATAGATCCAAGATTTAATACTCCTTCATCACTGATCATATTTTACCTTTTATTATTTATGTTAATCATAGTTCATATTTTAATTATTACTTATTTTCATTTATATAAATAAAACTGTGACTTCTCATTTATTAGAGTCCTCATCTCCTCAGCTATTTTAAATATAGCTAACCATATTTTTTTTTTAAATTTTAAATAAACTTTAATTAAGTGAGGTATTAATTATCAAGTATCTCAGTATATGAATTTGCTTTTATTATAGTATGTAATGAAAAAGTAAATAATTTTTTTTTACGAGAGCTCTAATCTCAAAAAGCTCATTTTAGAGTAATTTGCTAATCCAGATAATAGACTTTCCACTTAGTTGTCTTAGATGTTATTGCTTCTTTAATAATAATTATATTTTTAATACATAAAATTAATAAGAAATCAACTCTATTTAATTTTTAAAAGAAAGAAAAGCTAAATAAAATAAATTATTAAAAATGAATTTATGATTTTTTTATTTTGTTTTATTTTTAAATTTTTAATCGATTTATTTAATATTTATATTTCTTATTTAAAAATAAATTTATAGTTTTACGCTAAATTGAGTGATAAACTTGTCAAGCTCCTAAGTTTATCAACAGCCTAACTAAAAGAATCAACATATTCTGATCCAATAATATTTTTGCTTTAAATTAATAGATTAAATATCAAATTTTAAAAATTAATTAAAAATAAAATATGAAAGATTAAATAAATTTTTGTTGAAAAAAAAATATTTTTTTATTAAGAATTTTCTAAGTGTTATTTTTTTTATAAAGCATCTTAAAATTTTATAATTTCTTTATTATGAATTCAAATCTACTCCAAATAAAGCGTCATATCTGCGAGATTTAGACAATTTCCTAAAGAATTACATATGTATGCTGCATCCTAAGCTCTTACTTAGCTCTCTCTATCAAAAAATAGTAAATTTTAAATAAATATTTTAGCATTTTAATAAGAAGTGATAAAATAATATTTGATAAATAAAGCGCTTTGGCATGTTAACTAAAACAATTTGGTTTAATTGATATTTTTAGAAAATAGATTAAGCTAAACAATTTAAATTATTTATTTATTTATTACGATATGTAAAGGTTAATTTTTTATAGTTGTAAGAGTTTTCCTAAATTATGAGCAAAAGTTTACAATAGATTGCCTGTACTAACTCTGTATTAAATACAAAAGTTTTTAATTTGAGGTTTAAAGTAATAATTTTTAGAATAAACAATTTATAAATAAAACAATTTTACTGAAGAAATAGTATTAAAGTTTATATACTTCTACAGTTTTCTAAATAATTTCCAAATTATAATAACCCTTCATTAGCAATCACATTACCACTTTTATAAATTTAAAAATCAAATTAATTACTTCCATTTTTTAAATATTTTATTTTATTATTATAAAAAAAATTAATTAGTGCAAATAAATTAAAAATTTCATACTTAAAATCAAGTGTCAAAGTTTAAAGCTTTTATAACTTTTATAAACCTTACCCAATAGCTGAAATACCTTAATCAAGAAGTATATTTTAGCTAATATTCCAATAAATAAAAAGATTTATTTAGATATTTATAAAAGTAAATAAATAAATTTATCAAAAATTAATTAGCATAAAAATCGCTTTCATCTTTAATTTGTTAGTAAAATATTAGTTTTTAGAAAAGAGATATTATCCTTGTTTTCTTTTGAAAATACAATTTAATGATAAAAAATGTATCTTACCTTAGATTGAGTCTCAAAATAGACAGATTATTATAGCTTTCTATAATTTTACTCAAAGTAGTTGCACCATCAGGTCCGATTTTATTTTAACTTTAAGGTTTTTTAGAAGTAAATGAATATGAAATTTAGCAAAAAATTAAACAAAATTTATTTGTTTTAAAATAAATAATTTTTTTTTTTTTTTAATTCTTAGTTAATTAATATGGTCAAATCATTTTAAATCTATCTTAAATATTTATAAAAAATTGATTTTTTTGATTGATTTAAAAATATTAATAAAGATGTAAATAATTATTAAATGTTTGAATTTTTAAATATTTTATGCTAAATAAAATACCAAATAAATTTTTTACGCTAGCTGAAGATTCAATTGTTAGATTTTATTACATTTCTCTAATCCCTTAAATAGATTTATAGCAATTTTATCATCAAGCTAACACTACCTTTTTATTTAAAGCAAATGAAAATAAATAAAAAAGAAAAATAAAGAATTTTTAAATGAATAAAAATCAAAGTATTTACAAAATATAAAAATAATAAATATTTTTATTTACTTAAAACTCATTACTAATTTTGAAAGATTCTAACAATTTGCTAAAGCAAGACTTAGATTAGATGCAAATTTTTCTTCAATTTAAGTATATCTTGAAATAAATTAAATTATTTCAGTTTAGAATTAAAAGCATGTTGAAAAATAATTAATGTTAATTTATTTATTAATAAGAATATCGTACTTAGTAAAAAATTAAATTGTAACAAATTTATTTTTTGTAAAAAGAATAATTATATTAATTTTTATATTAATACGATGAATCTAGTGTTAAAGACTATAAACTTGTATATGTTGCTAATTAAGAGCAAAAACTCTATCCCTATTTATCATCAATTTAATTTTACCTTTTTAATAATATTTTGTTATTATTTATGTGCTCTCTCTTGATATTTAAAAATCGACAAAATCGAACAAATAAATGAAAATTTTTAATAGAAGCTTGAAAAACAATTCTATTGTTTTGAGTTTATTTATATTTTTTTGAAAGTAAACTAAGAATATCTATTTAATAAATAATTAATTATTGGTTGGTTATATTTGACAAAAAATAATTTTTAGATTATTATTTATGTTCAATCATTTATTACATTATATCAACATAAAGTTCAGTATGCTATGATAAAAAGGAATTAGCAACCTTTTTTTATAAAAAAATTATATTTTAATATTTTTTATATCAATTTATTACTTCCTCTTTATTATCTAAATGATTTTTCTTATCAATTGTTTGCATTTTTTTTTACTAAACACAACCCATCAGTTATTTGATAAATTTTATTTAGACAAAAGTTAGTTTTTTACTTAAATAAATTATTTATTTACTTTTTGTATCTATACCGTATATATTAATTCTATCTATGAATTGTCTAAATAATTTTAAAAAGCATCCAAATAAATGAAGATAATTTATTTATTTATCTTTATTATTTGAAATAATTTTATTAAATAATAAAATAAAATTTAGGCTATTTATTTATTTGCTTATTTGAATTAAATATTATGTTTGTATCTTGTAGCATTTTTTAGTAAATTGAAAATTAAAATAATTATTTTAGATTTAAAATTAAGAATTTACAAAATGGAATTAAAATAAATTTATTTATTTATTTATATTTGAAAAATATATCTTTTTAATTAAAGATTTTGATAGAAATTTTGAATTAGAGAAAGATACCAAACTTTGGTTGGTTTTTGATTAATTTTTTATAATTATAGAAACCGATATTATTGATTTATTCATGTTTCTAACTAAATAAGTTTCTTTTATAAATAAAAGTAATAATAAATAATAAAGAATTCATCGGTTTAATGATTAAAGAGTCGATAATGTACATAGATTAGATTAAAGGAGTAGAAAAAAGTTAAAGAGCGTCTCCTTTTATTGATAGAGCTTAAAAGAATATTAGAAATTCACCAGAATACATGCAAATAAATAAATAGAAGGGTAAATAGGCCTTTATATATTTAAGATTTGCAAAATAGGTAAATTTTAATTAATATAATTGAAAAAAAAGAGATTAGTCAGTCGTCTATAATAAAAAGAAAGCATACACTTACATAAAACAAACAATATATTATTTTAGGAACAATTAAAGGGAGATTAAAATGGAGGAGAAAACCAATTTTTAAATTAACTATAATTCTTACTTGTTTTAGATAGAACTTCTTGATGATAACAAGATTAACATTTCTGCTTCTAATTCTATTGAAGGTGAACTTTATGAACTCTTCAACCACAAGTTAGAAAAAATTCAATCTAAATGTATTATCCCTGCATTGGAAGAAAAAGCCCCATAAACTTTATTAGCAAAGATAACTTACGGCTAAAACCACTCTTTGATATTAGAAATTATAGTCAAGTATGATTTTATCCCTGAAATGAGAGAAACCATTGAAATTAACAGAAAAGAAGTCGACAACGATGAAAAATTAAAGCTACTTTTGAAGTAATCATAAAAAAACCTTTATGATTTGTAAGTTAAGTTGGAGGAGACAAAATCAGGCAAGAAGTTAGCTCACCACAAGGATGTCTAGTAGTATAAAAACTAAGCAACTCTCTTAAAGCTAGATCTTGCTCCTGGTGATTATGAAGTTACTTTCAATTTCTTTGTCAAATCAGATACAAATAATGTTGACGTCCAGTTCTACATAGATAACAAACCTACAGATGCAGTCCCCAATAATGGATTTTACTTTAATAAAGCTTAAGGAAACAATTTTTACCCATTTACCCTTAAGGCAGTGGTATAGCTTGATAAGAAATCAATAGTTTCTGTTCAAACTTTAGGTAAAAATAAACTTGAAACTAAAGAAATGGTTCTTTTAGCTGAAAAAATTACAAAATTATCCAAGTAAGACTGACTATCTAACTTCTTTAAAAAAAATCAACAAAAAATAATGTTTGCTGTATTAGGACTTCTCATATCATCTTTGATTCTGTTTATCTGATAAGTTATCTTAATAAATCTTTTGAATCATCCATAAAAAATGAAATTATAATTGTAACTAATCCTTATGATTGTTAAAGTTATCATATATCTTAATGTTTGTTTGTCTTTCTTTATCCTTTAATTAAAATTCAAACAAATATTCTTAAACTAAAAGCAAAATTTCATTTTTTAATGATAATTAGAATGACGTTTTTTTGATTATTTATTTTGGAATGCAGTCCTGTTTATATAAACAAAAATTTTATATGACTTTTAGATAATTCAAAACATTTATATAAATATTTAATATATAAATATTTTAAATTAAAAGTTAAAAGTTTAACTTTACAACAAATTGATTAGATTTTTATTTTAGATTATTTTGTATTTTAGATTTTTTTTAAAAAATTTTGATTAATACGATTAAAAATAAAGCAAAAGTATTTTTGAATATCAAAGTTAAAGTTATAAGAAAATTTAAAAATAAATATTTTAAATTGTATAAAAGACTTAAAATATTAAAAATACTGCTGATCTCTTACTAAAAGAATAGAAATATTTTAATACTAATTTATTTTAACATAAATATTTTGGATACTATAATTACTCAATTAAAAAAGAATTTTACAATAGTAATAAAAATTTAAAGTGAAAATTTTTCACTAAATTTGTCAACCTTCTCTCTGAATTCGGTCATATGGTTTGGCAGAAAGATTATGGTTTATATTTAATAATTCAAACTAATATTTCCCAACTTTAGATTACTAATATTACATTTTATAAAAATTAGAATATTATTAAATTTTTTTAAAAATGAATTTTTAACTATATTTGATTTTATACAAATTAATTATGAAATAATTGTTTTTATTTTTTTAAATTTTAGATAAATAAAGTAATTTAAAATTGCTTGAATTTGAATGAGACATACATAGTATAAAATAAAATATAATTTTTGAAATTAACATTTAATAATTTTTAATTATTAATTAATAATTATTTTAATACAGTATAATATTATATTTTTTTTAAAGGAACTAAATATTTATTTAATTTATGGCTTGATAAATCACTAAAAATAAATATTCTTGTTGATTTTTTTTATAGATTATATTATAGTTTTCATTGATAACTTATTTTATAGCGATAATTAAGATATTATAAGACAGTAATAAATATAAATTATATTTTTTAAACTAAATTGCAGATTACTTTTTAGCTCAAATTAATAATTAATTTCAATATTTAGAATTATAAAATGATTTTGACTATTTATGCTTCACTTGATGAGAGTTTATAGCAAAGTTTTAGCTATCTTGATTATTTTAATTTTATTAATTTTAAATGTTTACTAGTTTTTTATACTCATTTAAGTACAAATCATAAAGATTATTGTTACCTTACTACTTATCTATGTAGTCTTAAGAAAGTGGAATTGCATTTTTTTAATTTAATTCTTGTTATTATTCATTTTTTGGTGAGTTTTATCTTGTATTATTTAATGTGTTTACCAATTTAGCTTATGAGAGATTTGAGAGAGACCTTGTATCAGAATGCAAATAGTGTTTAGAAGATATGCTCTGATTGCTATTTCTTTGTCTTTAAGTGTTGTGAAAATTAGAGCTGGAAAGTGGTTAAGCTAAAGTATTGTGTGTGGAATGTGAGTGCTTATGTTGATACATTGTATTCATCAAAGATTCATTTTTATTTTCCAATCTTCTTGTAATTAAATTATCAATATCTGTTTCATCTAAATTCAATTTAGGCATTTTATTGTATTACTACTAAAGTCTTATTGTTTCATTAAGTACATTTTCAACATCTTAATCTATATTATGTAAGCTTTTCTCCCAGTAATCTTGCATGTCATCGTTTTAGTAATCTTTAAAAATATTTCAGTTTTTAATTTATTATTATTAATTAGATAATAAAATATACTTGAGTTTTTATAATTTTCCTGCTAAACTTCGTTTTGTTGTTAGTAGCCTTCATTTTATTTTTAATCTAAATACATTTATTTAAGTACTTATGAGTCTTCATTCAAATCCTCATCAATCTAGTGGCTCATTTTTGCATGTCTATTAAAATGTTTTAAACATGATTAAATAAAAATAATTTAATGAAAATATTTAATTTATATTTAAATTTATTTATTTATTTACTTTCTTTAGTCTTCTTATTTAGGCTAAAATGTAGCTTCAATATTTTAGATTTAGGATTAAGCTTAAGAATGGTTAGGTGCTTGCTCAATAATAGCAGGAGGTTGTAACCTTTTATTATGTAAATTTTAAGATAATGAATAAAATTAAATAATTACTATTGTTCATTTGTTCCATCTCTATTTGTAAATACTCCATTAGATTAATTGAATGACTATTTTCTACTCAAAAATGCACTATGGTTTTTAACAATTATTGACTAAGAATCAGGTGAATTAAACTAACTTTGAGAATATTGACTAAAAGGATTTTATGAATGATCTCCCCCAATATAAGACCTCTCCCCAAATTTTGTGGTTGTGTACAATAATTTGATATTTTAGTAAGAGTCTCTTATGGGATCTAAATACTACTATATCTAATAAGGATTAATTCTATCATTTTCTTCTATTTGAAGCATTCGTAAAATTAATTCTATTAAACTCTCACTATATTTATCCTCTTTCATTTAATAAATTATCTTTTCCACTTTTTCTTCTTATATTTAAAATGTTTCTGGATCATAAATTCCCTATTATATATTTTTTTAAGTAAAAAATCAATATTAAATAAATATCTTCAAACCAAACACAGAAAAAATAATTCATTTATTTAATTATTTAATATAAACCAAAAGTATCTAAAGAAATAAAGTATGATATGCCTATTAAATACTATTGATTTGATAGTTTATACATCTTATAACAATATCAACACTATTAACACTTTAATTGCATAAATAAATAATTGATTGATTTATAAAATTTATGATAAAATTAATTTGATTGATAATTTTAGTTTATTTATTTTACCTAAATACTACGCATTGAAGCCATTTCTAAACAAATTAAACCTAATGAAAAGATATCGCTAATTGTTTCATTATGTTCTGGATTAGCTATCCTTAATAATTTATTAAAATAAAACTTATTCGTATTTGCATAAATTATTTTTTAAATTTAAAATTATTATTTGAAAGAATTTGATCTTTAACATTAAATGAATAAATACCTATGTTCCATTTGATAGAATAGCTAGGGAGATAGATAGTTAGTATCAGAAACTCCTATTAGTAGCCTTTTGTATTAAGAAAATTGAGTGAGGAATTTTACATCAGTAAGCTTAAATTTATTATCTTGAGATATTAATATGGTTTGAGGTCTTATATCCCCATGCCTCAATTCAAAAGAGTCAAATACAAGCAAAGCAGATGAAACACAATCAATTAGCAAGAATAGTTCTTATTCAGTGAATCTTTTCCTAAGTTTTTTTCTTTTCTCAATTAATTGAAACAAATTTTCTGGATGATATTGGTATACAAGAGAAAGTTTAAAGAAATTTGAGCAGAAATCTTCAGCTTTGTCAGCTTCAACATCAATCAATTCTACTATGTAAGGACTTATAAGTTACTTTCTTTTTTCAGTCCTCTTTATGAAATTATCAAGTCTATCTCTATCTTAAAATGAGTACTACTTAACTGCTAAGATTTCCTATTTGAAATTATTTAATTGATTTAACTAATCTAAGAAAAAGCATTAAAAATTTTCATTTATTTATTTATTTTTCATCTTTGTTTTCAAAGATTAAAAATATTAATTATTGCAATGCTAGAAAAAATAAAAATTAAAAAAATATGTTTGTTTTGTTTGTTTGTTTATATATACTTGGCATTGACAATAATAATTCTATGAAAAATTTAAAGAATAATTTTTATTGAAGAAACTTACCTGGTTGAGTTCATTTTTCATAATTTTAACTTCTCCATATGCATCATTTTCAACTTATTTTACAAAATGCAAATTTTATTATATATATGATTTCTTTTCTTCAGCGTTTATAGATTAATTATTTCCCATTACAATATTGGATCTTTTAACCTATGCTATGACTTAAGTGGGTTATTATAACTTTTAATATGATTTTAATAATTATTTATCTATCTATGTATAAATATTTTAAAGTTTTAAAGCTTGATTTAATGTTAATATATAAAGTAAAAGTAAATGATTCTTTTATTTATTAATTATTAACTATTTTGATAATTCAAATTTTAATATATTTTTAAATAAATGCTCACTAACAGATACTTCTTGTTAATTTTTTAAACAATAACAAAAACTTTGATTAAAAAATGTTGATAATTAATCAAAAAATGTAATGCTTTGATGAAGTAATCAAAAAATGATATTCTTCATTCTTGATGAAAAAAATTACTTTTATTTTATATTTTAAAAACAAAAATAAATTATTTTTATAATTTTTTGGTTATTTTTTGATAAAAAACAATAAAATATTTTGACTAAATAAAAATTTGAATATTTTTATTTTATTTAAAAAGAAAAGATTATTTTTTAGTACTTTGATTGATTTTGAAAATTAAACAATTTTCTTAAAAATTAAAAAAGTGTTTTATTATTTTAATTTAAAAAAACTAATTTGAAATAGGGATATCAATAAGTATTCATTAAAAGAACAATTAGAAAAATTTAATATATTTAAGAGCAAAAAAATAAAGAAATAGAGAATGTATGTATGTATATTAAGTAGGTTAGTTAATAAAAAGATTAAAATGTTTGAGAATTTTGTTAGTATGTTCAAAAGCTTTTTTGTTTATAAAATATAAATTCTGCTAATTTGGAATGATTATTATTAGAAAGCTTTTTAGATAGGTGGTTGTTATTACATTTTTATATATTAATTGAATGGTTAATTGATTGATTGATTGATAAATTATTGTATCGATTAGAGTTTAGAAGAATTTTGTCATTACTAATTATCTATTTATCTATTTATTTGTTCTTTCTGTTTATTGATTTTTATAAAATATTTTATTCTTATATTTTAGTAGCTGCCTCTCATCAAGTAAACCAATTCATAATTACTAAATAATCATTATTTGACTTGGTTATCATAAATTAATTACTTGATTCACATTTAGTTTTTGGTTACTAAAATATTAATTTAAGCTTTTCATTTTTGATTAATAATAATATTGATGCTTTGAGAATATTTTTAGACCCTAATTGAAGATAGTTTACTGCTTAGAGAAAAATCCTACACTAACTTATTAATTTATTTATTTATTATAAACATAATTTCAGGGATTAAATAACTAGTTAGAAACAAGGGAACTACCAAGAGCAAAGAATGAAAAGTTAAGTAGGAAAAACATAGAATAATGAATGAATGAATGAATTAAGGAAGAAAAGCAATCCTAATTTAAACTTAATGACAATTGTTATGTTTTATTTGCCTTTGTCAGAATATTTAGCATCCAGAGCACATATTTTTTTTCTTTTTTTAGGATTGATCTTTATTATTTTCATTATTTTTTTCTTATTTCATTATTTCCTCTAATCTATTAAAAGCATCCTCAGCTTCTTAATTTCCATTTTCTCCTCCTTTTCTGTAATACTCTAAAGCCATTTACAAATCTTTTTTGACTCCTTTCCCCTCTTCGTAGAGACAGCCCAAATTAAACTATGCTATATCTAAACCTAAATCAGCTGCTTTTTTGAAGTATTTGGCTGCTTCTTCATAACTTTGATTGACTCCTTTTATTTTAAATAAATATTTAATTGAATTTAATCTCTACCAAATTTTTCTAATATGAGGAAATGTTTTCTATTCTAATTTCACTTAAATGTTCTTTCTTTTTTTGAAATATTTCATTCATTAACAATTAACTAATTTAACTAACTGTTTATTGATGAAAAATATTATTTATAACTTAAATCTTTTTTTATTCAAAATGAAAAAAATTTGAATCCCTTTTTATCTCTAAAATGTGATTTAGTTTAATCGCTATTAATTAATTCAAGTCTTTATATAAAGGATACATAAAATAAGCCTCATATTTTATCAAAGTGAATGTCTGTTAGTAATATATTACCTAGACCTTAAATATACAAAGTAGCAAGATTGGCCATAGCGGCGGCACATTCACCTTCACAAGCCATTAAATAATACTTAACAGCTTCCTCATAATTTACCTTGACGCCTATTGATAATGAAATAAAATATAATTATTTCCTGTACTTTATAAATTAAAGTTTTCATTTATTTTAGCCTGGGCATAGAGTAGGAATTATTTAATAAATTCAATGATATAATTTTAATTTTTAGCAAAAAAAATTGAAAAGAAGTTTGTTTACCCGTTCCTTCACGATACATGTTACCCAAATTATTATATGCATCTTAATTTCCTCTTTCACCTGATTTTTTAAAGTAGTCAATTCCCTTTTGAAAATCTTATTTAAAACCCTAACCAAATATCTGCATCAATCCTAATTAGAATAATGCTTTGTCATGTCCCTATTTAGAAGCGAGATTATACCACTTAATGGCTTCTTGAAAATTTTGTTAGACAGCAGCTCCCTAATAGTATAAGTTGCCTAGACAATATTAAGATTTTGCCTCTCCTTTTTCTGCGCTTTTTGTATACCACTCTATAGCTTTTTCTAAATCCTATTCAATACCTTTACCCTCTTCTAATAATAACCCTATTACGTACTAAGCATATGGATCACCTTTATTAGCTAAAGTGTAATAGTATCTTGCTGCTGCTTCATCGCTCTTGAATTTTTAAGTTTTCAAAGCCTCATCAAGATCCATACAATTAACGCTAACGCGCTTATTTGTCAACGGCTGAACCAACGAAGTCGTCAATTTATCACACTCCTTTCTATCTTTTTATACTTATAATCTTTGTCAACCTTAGGTTTATTTATTTATTTATCCCTTTGATTTTGTTTACTTTTTCTTTTTGATCTTAATAATGTTGGATAAACTAAATAAATTATAGATTGACTGGCTCGATGATTATTTCTTTGAGTGGATTTACTAAAGCATTTATAAGTCGTTTAACTAAAAAAATACTCAGACACACATACATACACACATAAACATAATTAAATAAATGTGTGATCATACATACACACATTAACTTAATAATCTTAACTAATTTTTGTTATTATTTTATAGCTAGTTTATTAGTTATACATCCTCAAACATTTAAGACAAATTATTCAATTAGCTATTAATAGATAAATTCCAGCAATTTTTTACAAAAACTCTTGGTTTTTATTAGTTTTTCTAAATTTACACTCAATGTTCCATGTTCTTTCTTTCACTGTTTCTTTTTTATGGATTAGATTTTATTTTTTATATTTACATTTACGCTGACTGAAATGAGAAATTCAAGCAAATTATTACATCAATTTCTTAAATGTAATTTCTATATTTTTCTATCATACATGCATACATAATTGAATTCTTACTAAATAATTTTTTTAATTTGTATAATATGATTAAATTAATTTCATTTTACCCTACTCACAAGAAAGAGATTTTAATACTTAATTGGGTTGCATAAATTCAAAAAGTTAAACATAATGATCATACTTAAATTATTCAAGTAAAATTATTTAAAAAAATGTTATTTATGTATTGATTTAATTCTCAAATTAAGCAAAAATAAATACAAAATTTTTAAATAAAATCCATTATTTATTTGAACAAATATGAAGGAGAAGTGCATTTAGATGTTTAATTTATTGTTTTAATTTGATTTTAAAGAAAACATATTACTTGTTGCAATTGTACAAAACAAAATAAAAAAAATTTTGTAAAAATTAAATCTAAATTAGTGAATTATGCACAAAAATCACACATTTTCTAATTTTTACAAGTATAAAAATTGTTGACAATTTTAAATAAACAATATAAAGAATACAGTTTAAATAATAAAAATAAAAATCAAGTTAGAAATAAAAAGACATTTATTTCTTAAAATTTAAAATAGGTTTACAATTTATTGAATTAATTATTAATTTATAAAAAATTATTAAAAAGTTTTTATTTAATTAACAATAAATTCGTTGTTATAAAGCTATTTATTTGTTTATTAATTATTCTTATAAGTAAAGCAAGTGAAATAAATAAACTTACAAACAAACAAGCATACATATAAATAGATACATACACAAAGACGAACATAAGCACATAATAATATTTATTTAGATTATTTCGATTAAGTACTTACTGATTATAAAAATGAATATAATCTAAGAAAAGCTGAATGGATTTGTGCAAAAAACCTTCTTTAAGAAGAAATATATTTAAATGTCCCAGATGCTCTATATAAAAAACGTAGAAAAAGCCATAAAATAATTAAATGAGTAGAATATAAATGATTAGCAAAATAAATATACAGTTTTAGTGCTAGATTTTCATCTTAAAAAAGACATAGAGGATTCTCTTAATTAGTATCTTAAATTTATGGAAGAAAAGGCATAGATCTTTACAAATATTAGCAGTCTTTACTTAAATCTAGGTCAAACAGGATGCAACTTTACACTTTTGATGGAATTTCTTAAACCATTTTGTAATCATCATGCTTAACAAAAAATAAAATATTTAAACATAGAATTCAGCGAAAACAATACTTTTAAAGATACACCAGAAGTATACAATAAATTCATTAACTTTTTAGCTAATTGCGTTAATTTAGAGGGAGCTTGCCTTAATTTTAACAACTCCCAACTTCCAATTTGTCAAATATTTGAAGGTATTACTCTCTTAGCAGTCAAGACATTGCATTATAACATATGCTAAAATAACTTAAATTTTTTTCGCACAATGTTTTCAAGGCGATTCTATTTTGAAAACTTACAAGAACTCATGATTAACTTGAATAGCTCTAAGTAATTATATTGAAATTAAATGCAACTTAGCAAAATAAATTTTAATATTAAAATAGCGAAAGCCAATCTATTGATAAGCAATTACTATTAAACATTCAGTAGAGCCTGCTAAAAGCACATAAATTAAGATAACTATACCTTAATTTAGAGTAATTTATTTAATGCAAATAAAACAAAAATACTGTTTTTTCCAAAAATAAGTTGTTTTAAATGTTAAAAATAACAGAAAAAACTCAATCAAAGATAGAGACTTGCTCCTCATTTAGGATATTTTTGCAAATTTACCATAGCTGCAAAACATCTAACTTTATTTAGCTTACAATTAAATTTCTGATGAAGGAGTTGAATTTCTACTTGAGAAATTTACTTGTACTTCTTAGATCTAGTACATAGTTTTGGACTTTAGGTATTTTGTTTAGATGCTTTTGTAATTTCAAATACTAAATATGAAAATAATAAAATTAGATAAAATAATATTTCTAATCTTGGATATCTCAACATTGTCAACACTCTTAATAAAATGCCATCACTGACACATGTTTCTTTGAATTTCAAGTAAATTATAAAATTGATTGAACAAAAGAGCATTTAAACAATTTATAACGATTAAAAAAATTTTGAGAATGAAAATTAATCTTGCATATTTGACTGATTTTTTTACAAATAATTTAGTGGAAATTCAATTGAGTAAGAAGGTATTCAGAACTTCTTCCAAAACGCTAGTTACTTATCTAATCTGACACACTTGAATCTAGACTTCTCTAACTGCTAAATTTCATTCAAAAGTGACGATTTTATAGAAAATACTCTGAAATTACTCTCACAAAAACTCACATACTTGACTCTTAATTTTTGGTAATAAATGAAGCATGTTCTTAATAATAAAAAATAATTCTACCTCAATATTAAGAAAAGCATTATGATTAATTAATTTTATTTTTTATAATAGCAACAATTATTTAGAAGCACAAGGAATGTAAAAAATATTGTCATCAATAAAGAATGCACAATCACTTAAGCATATTGATATCAATTTTAAGTAAAATTTACTAAAATTAAGAAATTTGTTTTAAAGAAATATATATTAAAAAATGCTAGTTGGAATATTTGCAATATAAGAGATGAACTTTCTAATAAATAAGGCAACAATAATGGAAGCTAAGATGAAATTAAAGAGTATAAATTCCTCTTAATAAATTTAATAATTAAAAATTTAACTATATTTTAATTAGTGTGATAGAAAAGAGTGTCCACTGGTTAAGTGATATTTAGTTTCTGCTAAGTAATAATAGATATGAACTTAAATATTTCAGTCTTCAATTAGCGTAAAAAAAATTTTTTTTTTCCCTCTCATCTTACTTTAATTAAAATTATATAGGAATTGCATAATCGAATCGTTGGGTGTAGAGTACTTAAGTAAAGGATTATCTAATTGCGAGAATTTATAAGTTTTAAGTTTAAATTTAATGAATAATTCAATTGATTCTGAAGGCTATCTAAATCTTTTTAGCGTATTCAAGCAAATGTCTCTGACTCAACTAAAACTAATAATTGAGTAATTCATAAATTTTTATTCAGTATTATTTTTAACTTTTATGTTAATATTTAAAGTGATAATAGTGCTTTAAATGCCAAAGAATTGACAGAATTTGAGAGAAATATGAAAGCCTAAAAGAATTTAAGAGAGTTTCACTTCAGTTCAAGAAAAGTAGAATTTTAAGGCGACTCTTTTAAAACGTTTGCTAAAGGCTTCAGTAACTTGCAGAAGCTGACTTTTTTGCACTTAGATTTGAAGCTTTCAAAAATTTAAGTAAAATACACAAGTGACATCTGCAACATTCTAGTTTGCAGCAAGCATTTGAATAGGATTCACTTTGACATATCGTATTATTATTTCTTTATTCTTTTTGCTTGAGGATTAATTTTTTAAATTAATAATTTAGAGAAAATGGGTTTGATTCTGATGTGATTGGAGAGATATTTAAAAGCATTCAAAAAAACAAGAACTTGAAATACCTCACTTTTTATGCTCAGTAATAATTTTTTTATTGAATTATTTCTTGTTCTTACTATGAATCAATATAGAAATAATAGGGTTTAATATAAAGGAGTGCAGAGCTTAGTAAAAAATTCAAATATTAAGAAACTTAGATATCTCGACTTGAATTTGTTGAATTGTGAGATAGAGAACAAAGGAATTTAGGAATTAGCTACTTTTTTATAATAATTTAAAGATCTCCACAGCTTAAAAATAAATCTCTGGAATAATTCAATTAATAACACTTAAACTGGAAGTATTATCTAAGTGATTAATTAGCTTCCTAATTTGGATTATCTCTCACTAAATATTGGGTAAAGCTCATTTTACATTAATTTTTAATAAAGTAATAATAATATAATATTTAAGTGAAAACGAATTCAATGATGATGACCTAGTCAAAATATACCAAGCACTCGAAAAAAAGATTAAAATGAGTTACTTAGAGTTGAACTTGATTAACATCTCTAAAGGACAGGAAAGTAAAAGTTAACTAAGAAAATCTTTAGAGAAAATGAATAACATTAAATATTGCAATGTTATCCCTTTCCAATCAAATCTAAGACAAGAACTCATCTTTCATGATATTAAGTTAAGTCCTCTAAATGAATCCCAAATATGTTATTTTAATTTTCATAGTGTAGGATAGTACTACGCATGTGGTCATGGATAGTACAATCTAATAAGGTAGTTTTATTTTTAATTATTAAACAATTAAATTTTAATTTTTAAATTGTCTTTTTTTGGATGTATTTTAATGAATAATATTTCATTTATTTATTTACACTAAAATGAAAATATAAAAAAACTATTAAATTAATTCATTATAAAATAAATACAGTTTTTTAATTTAGATTTGCAGTTTAAATTTATTTAAATTGTCATTTTTCATTCAAATTTTTTGAAAAAAATTATTTGTTATGTATAATTTTTGATTTAATTTTAATAATTTTTATTAACAATTTAATTCCAAAGATTTTTAAAGAATCCAGAATAATTCGAAGAAAACTTGATAATAGAGAGAATTGTAGATGGTGAAATGTTAGATAATTTGTTTTAGCACTTACCTAAGAATATCTAAACGATTCATCTGATGAATATGAATTAAAAGATAGTAGCTCATTTACAGTAAAGACTATAGACTGTAAATCCAAAGATAAAAATATCTTCTTCGGGTATTAATGGATCGGGAGTTTATCCATAAAAGGTAATTTAGAATTTTAATTCAATTCAATAGTAATTTTTGGTTCTGATTGTTAATTTAAAATTATTTTTTTTAATAATTAAACATTTTTTTAAAATTGAAGTAAGTTGATTAAAATCAAAGCGAATATATCAAGATAAAAGAGAATGAAAAATCTACAATGAAAAAGCAACAAGCAGTTTTTAATTTTGATATAGAAGATCAAAATTCGTAATTGAGAGAACATGATTCAAGTGCTTAGAATCTTGATTTGTGTGAAGAACAAACAAATAATATTTAACCTGATCGTAAAGTAAATGAGTTTTAGCAACTTGTGAAAGTGTAACTAACTAACTTGTAATTGTAAGATGTTTAGATTATAAAATCTAGATTTGTAAAAAATAATAATTGCTATGACATAAATGGACCAAATTATTCAGTTTATTATGATACTTTGACAGCTAGTTATGTAGCAATTAAATACCTCGAACTCAATAACTTCATTTAAAATCAGATTGATGCACATAATTAATTATTTAACATTTTCCAAATGCATATGAAAAATTTTACTCAAATACTACAGCTTAAACACTACTTTATAGATTAGAATCACTGCTATTATATAACAAAGGCTCCAAATGTCACTTTAAAAAGTAATTTAATTATAAACAATAAATAAATCATTTTATTTTAAACATTTTATTATTTTTATTCTAGATTTCATTGCAGTTCAATAACAAAATTTCAAGGAAGAATAATGTCTGAAATGGTTTATATAGATAGTTGATGGTTTAGTCATGCTAGATGGGATTGTCTCTTTGTAAAATTTATCAATTGAGGTTTGTAATTTAGCTCTCGATGAAAACCAATAGATAGTTTTTATGGATATAGGAAATACAGTAAATATATTAGAGAAGTAAATGGACATATTCCTTAAATAATATAAACAAAAAACAATTGACCTAGCTATAATCTTATTTGATTTTAAGAGAAATGACTTTAATTACCTAATATTTTCCATAGGAATAATCTTTTTACAAATATTATCACTGGACACTGATATTAAGCTAATTGAAAAGCAATTCTATGCAGCTAAAATTGAAGATCTTCTATTCATTCAATACAATTAAGCTGTTGATAATGCTATTAGCTAATAAATTCTTTATCAGTAAAACTAAATTGATGATAAAAACATGAGTTTAAATCAATAAATTGCAAAATAAAATAATAAAAAAACTCATTACTCTAGTGTTTTGATTTAGTTAGTCCAAGATTGCATTTTCCATTAAGATGTCTAAAAGTTTAAGTCTGTACCAATAAATCTTTAATATGTTTAATCTCAACTAAATCTAGCTACCTCTCTTTTAAGTAAATGAAATAAAATATTACATACATATAAATTTAAGTTAGTTTACTTTAAATAAGCAATTATTTATTTAATAAAATTATTATTTATTCTTAGTCTATTTGCTTTATTATTCTTGTTTGTTGTTTATAATATAAATAATTCCTTAAAAATTATTAATAATTTTACATCATGCATCTTTTTAAGAAAGACTTACTTCTATCTTAATAACATTAATTATTTCATTAAATTTAGTTTTATTGCTTGCTAAAAAACATCATAAAAAATTTAAACTTAAATTTTAAGATATAGATATGAATTTTGAGATATATTTATTATATATAGTTAGTTATATTAATTTTATTTAAAATTTTATGAAGTTGAATAAAAAATAAATTGAAAATAAATTCTTTATAAAATTGAAGTATTCTAAAGTATGTAATTAGTGATAAATATTTAACAAATAAAGAATAAAAAAAAACAATATTAAAAGTATTTATATTTTAGCTAATTTATATATGAAATAATATTTTGATCATATAATTCTAAATAACTATCTAAGTTAGTCTATCAATATATTAAAGAATCTTTATATTCAAAATATTTTCTATACATTTTTTAGAAATCTTTCAACAAGAAAAAGAGGAATTAGTTATAACCATAATTGATTGTTTTTTCAAAAAGAAAAATTTAATTTGAAATTTCAAATAATTCTTCATGAGATGAAAAATCTTTGTATTAAGCAAGAAATTCTTCTTAATTTAAGTTTTTTTCATTAAAAGATACCAAAAACTAAAGAAAAAAATAATAGATCCAATAGTGATAGTTTTTAATATGCTTTAAATATTTAATCTTAAAGGAATTAAGAATAGATTTAATAGACTAAACTTAAATTTCATTTAGCTTAAAATTTATTTGGTCGTCAATAATTAAAAATATATCTTCTATTCTCATAAAAGATAAAACTTTTGTTAATTCAAATAATAATATAGATTAAGTAAATGAAAAACTAGCTATAAATGTCTCTCCATATTAATCAGTATTCCTATATATATCAAAAACAAAGTAATTAAGTAATTCAGGTAAAATATCATCTCTAATATGATATTTTTAGAGCATATTTTATCTTTGCTCTTTTAAAATGGATACTTGCTCAGTGATGTAATTGTCAATTATTACTTTTAAGTTTCTAGATACATTTCTCATATTAAAAAGCTCTTCAAAACTAAGAAAAGAAAATATAAGATAAAACTAATTTTTTCCGATTTAAACAAAATCCTATTTAATATTTTTTATAACTTTATTTTTAAACAAATAAAAAAACTGTTTATCAGTAGCGATATATTGTTTTTTAACAATTTCTTTAAATTTTTCTAAATTTTTTTAGAATTATATTCTATAAATCATCGACTACAAAATAACTGAATAAATAAAATTGCTTCTCAAATAATCAAAGCAGCAAAGTCTCTTTAAACTAATCTAGGCACATGAAGATGGCAGACTTGTGATATCATATAAATAAGAAAAGCATTTTTCTATTCCAATTTTCTTGATCTTTTCATAAGTTTTTTTTAACTCAACTTTATATCCTTAAAATTACAGAGCAATGTTAAAAAAATTAATTACATCATTATTAAAATCACTAATATGTTTTTTTACAATCTCTTAGTCAATCTATTTTTATAGGAACTATTTTAAATTCGTATTAATCCAAAATTTATTATTAACGTAATCAACTAAACATTAATCGCAGTATTTATTTTAGTAGTCTTCTTCGCTTTGTGAATATTCAAAATTATGTTCAAGAAAATATTATTTTATCAACTGGTGAGCCTTTCTACAGACATTTCTGAATGAATAAAATAATTCATGTGAATTAAGGTACTTAAAAATACAATTAAAAATATTTTAATTGTTGATGAATTCAAATATACTCCTTAGACTTTTTTTGTATATTGTTATTTTCTTTTTACTAACTCTATTGTTTTAATTTGATTTAATCAATATAATTACATTATCACTCTATGAAGTTTTATTGAAGGCATTATTAGTGTTATTCATTTATATTTTTTATTATGTGTTTTTGTTATTGAAAATATTTTTCTTAAGTGAAAACTACATCTGCTATTAAATTGATTACCTTATATGTCTTTAAATTTAAAATATATTTTTTTACTCTATCTTTGAGTACTGAATATATTATTTCTAACTGGCTTCTGAGGCTTTGCACTATTTATTTGGAACAATAAATTAATCTTAGCTTTGATAACAGAAATTATTTTTTATGATCTACTTTTTTAATTTTGAGATCAGAAAACTATCTTTATATGGCTAAAATTAAAAACTCATAATATTCTCCCCTTTTTTGTTTTTGTTATTATTAATATTTTTAATATTATTAATTTATTGCTTAATTTTACTATGCCTCAAAGATAGTTTAATTGCATTAAATAATCTTATATGTGCTTTACCTATATATAAAAAATGGAGTTTATCAATAATTAGTAGTTAAATGTTTTAATTTTAGCATAGTCAAACGATTAAATATCTATATGCAAACAAAAAGCTAACATTTGTTTGAAATAGATTCTTAAAAAAAAAGTTTTTAGATGTAATTAAATTTGAACATTTTCTATTTAAAATAGCCAAAATAGCTATAAGGATTTGTCATACCTTCTTATTTATATTATTTAAAATCAATATATTTGAAAATTTTAATGATGAAATAAACTTATTTTAAATTTTATTAACTTACTGGGAATACTATATAATAACAAGAATTATTCCCACCAAAAGATTATAAAAAATGATTAACAGAATATAATTTATGTTTTTGTTTTTAAATTTAAAAAAAAATTTTGCTATTAATCTTTTAAAAATTATTTCAATTTATTGAAGAAGGTTTTATTAAAAGTTTAATTAATCTTTATCTTTTAATTATTATGATATCAATTATTTACAAAATTTTAAGATTTTAGATAAAATATTTTTTATTTTAAGTATAAAAACAAGAAAATATAAAATAGTAATATTAAACTTTATATCAATAAATACCATAAAAAAATATAAATTATATTTTAGCTAATAAAAATAAATCAATTATTTATATTTTTTAAATCTATATTTTATAAATTTTGTGATTTATTTGAAAAAAGCAATTCTTTAGGCTAACTAAATGGGAATGAATCATTTTTTGTAAATTCAAAAATATCATTTTAATCATCTTCAAATATTAATTATTTGTTAGCAGCAGATTTGGCTGCTTTTTCTTCAGTTTATAAGATATTTTAATATAATGATTAAGAATTCTAAACTTATCTATTTAATTTTTCATTCAGCAAATTTGCTGATTTTTAAAGTAAAGATTAAATATTAACTGTCTTTCTTTTATGTGCTATAGCTCTGACAGTTAATTTATCTGTTTCAGTTTACTATTTTTCATATGATTTTTAATAGTTTAATAAACCATTTTTAGCTTTAGATTCCAAAACTTCAATATCAAATTTTTTTACTACATAATTTGATATGTCAGAAATTCTAATCTGAAAAATTTCAATATCATTTTCTGTAATATTAAGAACTTAAAATTTTATATAACATAAACTCTTAAGCTTTGAAGAGTGAAGTTTTAAGAAATGTAAAATATTGTATTGGTATTGTATGTAATTAAAGATGAATATTTAGCATATAAACACAAATATAAAATTTTATTAAAAATATTTTTTATTTTAATTGATTAATAAATATCTCAAATAATATATTACTATTCTAAATAGCTATCTTAGTTACTCTATTAACTTATCAAGTGATCTTAATATTTGTAATATTTTCTTTACATTTTATAAAAATCTTTTGATAAGAAAAAGAGGAATTAGTCATTACCTAAATTGATTGTTTTTTCAAGAAGTAAAATTTTATTTGAAATTTCAAATAATTCTTCATGAGATGTAAATTCTTTGTAATAAGCAAGAAATCTTCTCTAATTTAATTTTTTTTCGTTAAAAGATACCAAAAACTAAAAAATAAAAAATAATATCCAAGAGTAAAAGCTTTTAATAAGCTTTATATCTTCAATCTTATAGGATTTAAGAAAAGATTAAATAGACTATACTTAAATTTCATTTAACTAAAAATTTATTTTGGAGTCAAAAAAGAAAGATATGTTACCTATTCTCATAAAAGAAACAACTTTTTTTATTTCAAATAATAATTAAAACTAAGGATATGATAAATAATTTGTAAATATCTCTCTATTTGGATGAGTTTTCATAAATATATCAAAAGCAAAATAATTAAGTAATTCAGATAAAATATCATCTCTAATGTGATATTTTTTTAACATGTTTTATCTTTTCTCATTTAAAACCGATATTTGTTCAGTGATGTAATTGTCAATTATTACTTTTAAGTTTCTAGATACATTTCTCATTTTTATAAGCTATTCAAAAGTAAGAAAAGAAAATATAAGATAAAACTAATTTTTTCCAACATAGTCAAAAACTCTTTTATTCTTTTTTAGATTAATCATTTTAATGTTTTTTATTACTTTATTTTTAAAATTAGAAAAATACCATCTATCAGAAACGATATATTCTTATTTAACAATTTCTTTAAATTTTTCTAAATTTTTTTAGAATTATATTCTATATATCATCGACTACAAAATTATTGAATAAGTATTAGAATAGCTTCTCAAGTAATCAAAGCAATAAAGATCCTTTAAAGTTATCTAAGCACAAGAGTTTGGCAGACTTGTGATATCATATAAATAAGAAAAGCATTTTTCTATTCCAATTTTCTTGATCGTTTCATAAGTCTTGTTTAATTCTACTTAATATCCTTAAAATTACAGAGCAATGTTAAAAAGATGAATTATTTAATTATGAAAAGTATTAACTGGTTTTCTTACAACCCCATAATCAATGCTTTCTTATAGGAACTATTTTAAATTTGTATTAATCCATAATTTATTGTTAATGTATGTTATTAAACGCTAATCGTAGTATTTATTTTAGTAGTCTTCTTCGTTTTGTGAATATTCAAAATTATGTTCAAGAAAATAATATTTTATCAACTGGCGAGCCTTTCTACAGACATTTCTGAATGAATAAAATAATTCATATGAATTAAGATACTAAAAAATGCAATTAAAAATATTTTAATCGTTGATGACTTCAAATATACTCCTTAGACTTTCTTTGTGTATTTTTATAATCTATTTACTAACTCTAATATTTTAGTTTGATTTAATCAATACACTTACATTATTATACTATGAAACTTTATTGAAGACATTATTATTATTATTATTTAATTTAGATTTTTCTTCACAATAGCTAGGCTTTTAGAGCTGCTATTATATATTTTATTATACATTTTTGTTATTAAAAATATTTTTCTTAACGGAAAAAGATTTCTGCTATTAAACTGATTAGGTTCTATGTCTTTGAATTTAAAATATGTTTTTTTCCTCCATCTTAGAGAACTGAATTTATTATTTTTAACTGGATTCTGAGGTTTTGCACTATTTATTTGTGTCAATAAATAAATCTTAGTTTTGATAACTAAAATCATTTTTTATGATCTACTTTTTTAATTTTTAGGTCAAAAAACTATATTTATATGATTAAAAAGAAACACTCATAATATTTTCCCTCTTTTACTTTTATTATTATCAATATTTTTAAATTATTAATTTATTTAATTTTGTTTTGCCTTAGAGCTAATTAAAGTCACCAAATCACCTTATTTGTTCTTTATCTAAATATAAAAAATGGAGCCTATCAATATTTCTTAGTTAATTGCTTTTATCCTTAGCATAATCAAATGATTAAATATTAGCAAAAAAAATAGTAAAATGTATTTTTAATTAACACCAAGAAAATAAGTATTTAGAGATATTTTGATTAGAAAAATTTATATTTTAGCAACTAAAAGAGCTATCGGAATTTATCATTCTTTCTTTTCTATATTATTTAAAACTAAGATATTAGAAAAAGTTAATGACGAAATTCACTTATTTTTAATTTTATTATCTTACTGTGAATTCTTAATAATATTAGAGTCATCCTCACCAAAACATTATAAAAAAATGATTATTTCATAAATATATTCCATAAAAATCATTTTAAAATTTTTCATACAATAGTAAAGTTTTATATTGCATTTTAGTATTAATATTATAAAAAAACAATTAATTAATTACTTCCAATATTACTATCCTTGAGCTACCACAAGAATTTTAATCATGGAAGTGTAATAATTGCTAAAGTTTAAAAATTATTTTATACTTCTACATTAGTAAAAATTGATAGAAAATTAAAATTATTTGATTCTATAAGCATTTAGATATTGTTTATTAAATATATTTAAAATAAGAATTTTATAATAAGATTTTATCAAATAAATTTATAAAGTCACACTTCTAAAAAGAAATAGTTTATTCATTATACAGTGCTTAATTTTTTTTATTTCTTAAAAAAATTTGATATTTGTAGTGAATAAGTTTTTTGAAATGTAAAAAGAAGATAAGTAAAAAATAGTAGTATGAAGTTCTACATCAATAAATACCATAAATAAATACAAATTATATTTAAGTAAATAAAATTAAATTCATATATTTTAATTTTTTAGATCTAAATTATATAAATTTTGTGATTTATTTGAAAAAAACAATTCTCTAGGTTAACTACATGGGGAAGCATCACCTTTTGTAAATTCAATAGTATCATGCTATTCGTCATCAATTATTTATTATTTGTTAAATACAGATTTGGCTGGTTTTTCTTCAGTTTAATGAGCATTCTGATTTTATGATTATAAATTCTAAGCTTATTTATTTGATTTATCACTCATCTACATTGCTGATTTTTAAAGTAATGCCTAGATATTCATTGTATTTCTTTTATTTGTTAAAGCGCTCACAGTTAACCTATCTGTTTCAGTTTTCTATTTTTCAAACTACTTTTAAAAGCTTAATAAACCATTTTTAGCTTGAGATGGCAAAACTTCAATATCAAATTTTTTTACTACATAATTTGTTATGTCAGAAACTCTAATTTGGAAAATTTCTGAATCACTTTCTGTTGGAGTCCCCTTTAAGATTATAAGACCATTTTTATGAACAAAGCTTAACCAATTTGGCAATTTCATGTTATTTTGCAAGCCATAAGGTAAAAAATCACAGTTCATACATTTTTTTATAGGAAGGATACAGCTATCAATATCTCTAATATGAGCCTAGATACCCATGATGTTTTGCATTCCCAACCATAAAGATTCTCCTACACACTTTTTAAAAAATTAGGGATCTTGGTCAACAATTCCAATTGCATCTCCTATCAAAACATCTTTTAATAAATTTAAATTATTTTCTTCAAGTATCACAAGTTAATTTTTTTCTTTAGTTGTATTCTTGTAGAGCTTAAACTAATCCAAAACGGACTCTTCCTTTACACTAAAGCATTAGAAAACTTCCCTTAATGTTATATCATCAGCAGATGATTTTTCTTTTAAATGATAATTTTCACTCATTCCAATATCTACATATTCTCTATACCAATCATTTTCACTGAATACTCCAGTTTTTTTTGCTTCGCTTTACAGGAATTAGTAGAAATCCATCAGCTATTTATTTTTACTAAGTAAATATCTTTGCATCAGAATTTTGATACTCTCAAAAATCAAACTTTCGTTTCTTTGCAAAATTTGTTGTCTATCACTACTAAAAAATCTCTATACACCAAAGAATTTATATGTAAGATTTATTTTCTCCATACCGTCTAAAAGTTTGACCATATCAATTTTACCATCTGGCATTTAAAATTAATATTTTCCATTTTGTACTTCTTCTTACTCCTTAATACAGTCAAATTAATTTTCATTCTGTTATGATAAATTTACACCTTTTTCATTTCCTATTTTTTTAGGATTAAAAGAAGTAGCAACTCCTGTATAGTCTTTACTTATAGCAATAGGGGAACTATCTGATCTACTAATTTGTGATTTCATGTCTCCTTAGCTTACTTCTATTTGTTAGTTATTTTTTTCAAGCTCTTTTATATACTATTTAACAATGTATTAACCAAGTAATACATTTTAATCAAGTAATGGAATGCACTTTATAAATAAATTATCAGGTTTTATATGCTCTCTTGAGTATGTTACTTATTTACTGTAAATAGAATTGATGATAATGTATCTATATTTATAAACACCAAGCATACTAATTATAGGAGTTAGTATTTATAGTAATAGGTTTATTATGTATGTTAAAGGAAGTTTATAAAGCTTTATAGTAAATTAATCAATACAAGTTGAGTATCCATCAGTTGCAGTCATCTTTATAGTTACTTATGAGTTTAGTAAAGATAATTGAGCTATTCCATTAAAAGACAATGAAACTGGTTAGAATTTAAGCCAATAGTCACTAGAAAGCGCAACAAAAGTGTTTTATTTATTAGTTAATATTTCTACTTCATAGCTTATAGGGAACCTGTCTTAATCTTAGAAAGTGTTAGCTAAAAATGTTATTGTTGTTTGTTCGAGGACAGTTATTTCTGCACTATCATATTATTCATTTATTTAACTTTATAGAGGCATTGTTTGAACCAAATAAGATTTTAAATGTATGAAAGTTGTGATCACATCAGAAAGAGAATAATTAACTATAAGATTTGGATTCAAATTATCAGTGATTATCATACTTACCTAAAAATTGTTATTTTAAGCTAAATTTTTATCTATGTAGAAATAGATCTTTTATTTTAATATGGAATTTACAGAAGCGATATTTCCATAAATTAAAATAGTTGCGCCATTATTTGAAATCGATACAATAACTCCTGGATACTGCTTCTAAACAAATGTACCATCAGAAGGTTTTTGAACATCTATTGTTATTTAAACTGTAACATCTTAAGAATAGGTTTAAACCATTTGATCACTAGTTGGATCAAATGACAGAGAATTTGAAACTTTAAAGGCAATAGGATTATAATAGATACCACGTTATAAAGTGAGAGTAACCAAATCTAGTAAGCGTTGTACCTATGGAACTGATAAAGAAGATAAGTTAATTGGAGTATTAGGATCAAAGGTTGAGGATACTAAATTATTACTTGAAATAATTCCACTCTCTTTAAGGAATATATATATTTACTGACTTGCATTTGCATCTGTAGGTATTTCAGGGTATATAAAGCTTTGGCTAGTTATAGGAATTCCTGTTTTGACGAGGAGTAAATTTTGAGTAGAAGTTGTTGAGGACTAAGATCCTTACTTGTCAACTAAAATTTCTATAGAATTATTTATCTATATGAATTGGATCCAGCTTGGCAGAGCGTTTCTTTAGTAGTTATTATAGTAGAACACATCCATAATTTGCATTCCATCAACAACATATATAAGCAGTAGTTGTATTAAAACTTTTTAACCTATTTTAAGATTATTCGATATTGCTTTAAGCTGATTATTTGGTTGAATTTCAAAAAATGAAGAATGAATAGCAACTTAACTCTTGAGAGGGAAAATTCTTAAACCTTTATTGCTTGTAGAAAAAGCATATTCCAAATTATTAAGCGCACAAGTAGCAATAGATTATTCATTAAATTCAGTATATTTGCTTAATACAAAAGGATTGTTCAAGTCACTAAGGTCTATGATATTAATCATTCCATTGTAGTCCATTGAAGATACTATTGTATACTTTTCATTTTGGATCAAAGTCATATGATTACACCATCCATCAACTGCAATTCTGCTTATAAACTTAAATTAGGGCAAAGCTGATAAATCAAGAATTGCAAAACCTGAAGTACCATCGCATACATATGCAATGTTTGTGTAAATTGAAGATTTGACAACTAACTCAGCTCCGTTTGTATAAGTTTAATTAACAAGATTCGGTTTTGTAGGATCAGAAATATCAACTAAAAAAAACATTCCTATCGTTCTTGATGCTATTATGCAGTATTTGTTATCATCAGTTAAAGCAATCGCAGAAGTGTATCCATTCAATTATAAGGGAATGTTCCAGTAACTTAAGATTTTCAAATTGAATTTGTCTGTTGAATCGAAAATAACAACTCCTTAGTTGTAATTGACAACTAACAGATTTTCATCCTTCGAAAATTAAAGATCTTCTCCTCTTGGTGGATTACTATCTTTAACACTTCCAACAATAGGGAAATCAGTCTTTGCATAATTAGCGATATTTTGAATGTCATAAATATACATGAAAGCTCCATTTTCTCTAACTGGTCTGTACATGTAGCGGTTATTATCATAGAAAGCCAAAGTACAAGTTCTAGTATTTTGGACTGCGCTCATTCTCTTAAATAATGAGATATTGTAAGGATCTCCACCTTTCAGTTAAAGGAAATCTAAATCACTACACTATGAAGCTATAATAAAGGTTTACTCTTAAGAAACATAGCATCTCCATTGAGCAAACTAAGAGGAATAAGAAAACAGCTTTGATTAATGGCCATTAAAAATGTTTGGAAAGTTATTATTCATATTAGGTTAGACTTTCTAAAAAGCCAAGAGTTATATGCCGTCAGTATAAAAAAGTAGATTCTAAGTATTAACCATTTCTATTCTGGTTGGGCAACCTGGGATTTTAATTTAGTAGTATTAAACTGGATTAGAAGGTTGGCTAACGTCAAAGATCATGATTCCTTAAGAGCGAATTGCTGTTATTAAGTACTTAGAATCCTTAGAGAGATATGATCCATAAAAAACAGGTTATTGAAGCAAATTATACCACCAAAGGTCTCGATTTGGTAAAGTAATTGGATAGGTAGAGGGATCTGCTGCAAATAAAGTATCCAAAGAAATGGATCTTAGTCCTCTCCAAGACTCAAGGATAATCATCCATTTAAGATCTTTGGTAACTTCAACTTAATTAGTATAACGAGCGTAGGCCCAAGCAGCTTAAGGCATAGTTACCGCAGTGACCTTTTAGTTTGAATCAAGAGTAATTGTTAACTTAAGTACATAGACACCAGCAGATAAGTCAGCAACAAAAATCCATTTTAAGTCATCAGTGATTCTTATGAATGCCTAAATATTTTTAGATTTAGCAAAAAAGGTTGCTAAAATGGGCATGGGATCAGATGAGGCCTTAGACTAAATATCGTAAGCAACGATAGCGCCTTTATCACCTAGAATAATTGCTATTTTGTCATTTTAGATGAGATAGATATTTGTGATGACACCATATTGTTCTGAACTCTGCTTTATCAAAGCTAAATTGAAATTTTAATTAGCAGAAACAGAATACATAGAAAGCCTATTATCATTTGAGGTGAAAAGATACTAGCTGTCTTAGGTAATAGCAACTGCGCTAATAGTTGTTCCTGCCAAAGAGACAATAGCATTATTAATTGGTTATTAATTGTTATTGTCGATCCACTTAATTCCACTAGTGAGATAAGAGATGACTGTGTAATCTTTGTTGGATGCTGTGGAAGAAATCTATTATTTGGTAGCGAAGAGGTAGGTTGGGAATTAAATTTACTAGAATAAGAAGTCATATGAACTTGCTGTAGTTGAATATGTCTACTTTACACATAGTAGAAGTATGATTAAAAAATATTAATAAAAAAATTTATTAATCATTTAAATGAAAAGTGTTTTTTTTTAATTTTTGTTTTTTTAAAGTTTTTTTTCTTTTCAAATGATTTTTTTCTTTTGATAAATAATTAATTAATAATATGTTCGATAACTTTAGTACTTCTTAAGCTGAAGAATTTACTTTCTCACAAGGTGTTATTTTATTTTGGATAATTACACTTATTATGAAATTAAAACGATTGATATTTCTTACAAAAAAGAAAATTGAGAGAAATTTTCTAAACAATTTTAGATATAAAATGTTAAGCAAATTAGTAAAAAAAATATAAACAAGTTTATTATTTGAAATACAAATATTTAAGCAATGAATCATCTAACAAAACCAAAAAAAAATATATTTAATTGTAGAAAAAATTATTAATTTCTAAAAAGAAAATTGATAGGTTAAAAGAGTTATAATTTTAAAAATTTATTACATGTCAGTGTAAGCAAAAATAGCCCAGTTATAACATATTATAGCTCTATTTATTCTGTTAGTTTTAATAAACTTAAAAAATAAAGTAAAAACACCTAAAGAAATTAGTTTTACCCATAAATAAGCATAATAAGGCAAACATCTTGTAAAACACCAAAAAAGCAAAACAAACCTGAGAATTATCTCATTTTACTATGTATAAAAGAATATATTTTTCAAAAAGGTTTTTATTAGAATATATTACTATTTTAGATATTCATATTTAATGTTTTAACTTTTATCTCTCATTAAGTAAAATGTTATGTATCATAATAGAGTATAACTCCATCATACTTTGTCGCTGGTACATAGATCTGCATATTTGACTCATTTTCATATTGATCTTTTTAAAATAATTTTTATCATACATATCTTAAATTCTCAGCATAGATAGCTTGACTCAATTATTATTTGAACTCAGACAAAATTTTAGTATCAAATTTTGTAAAAAATACTATCCCACCATTTAGCATTTTTTAAAAAAGAAGAATTTATATTATATATATTTTGATAAAACTGCTTGAAATAAGCAAAATTTCCCACAAAAACAATAAATTGTACTTTTTGATTTTATTTTACTAAGAACAAAAGAAAGATAGATCGATAATACAAATTTCATAATAAAATCAAAAGGTTTAAAAAATATGTGTTAACATCTAATAATAATATTAATCTGAGAAAAAGCAAAAGATAATTTAATCATAGTATATTTTATTTTCTAAAATTTATTCTTTTCACAAGATTAATCAATAGAAGAGAGAATTAAAATTCATTAATTATGGCTAGTAAAGTGCTAGTTCTTGCAAAAAATATATCTTTATAGATTAAAATTTTTTATATAAACTCAAGCTGATCAAAGTAAGTCACTTAACAAATAAATTCAAGCTTTACCTATAAAAAATTTGCAAAAAATACACCTTTTTAACATCACTTGAATTTATTCATATTTAAACATTCTATTTAGTTAGTTATAAATAAAATTTATTATCCGATAAAAACTAATCTAATAAAGTAAAGTAAATACTGGTTAAATTTTAAATTACATTAATCTAATACATCAATCAATCAAACCAAGCTACCTAAAAAATAATAAGTAAAATCTCCTTCTTAGATGAACTAGATTAAACACTGATTAAGGATCTCAACTTTTTTAATAACCTTCTAACAAATAAAAAGAGTTTTCATTAAAAGGATTGATTATATATTATAAGTCTACTTCTCTTAAAATTAATAAAGAAAGAATTATTAATTTTTTTGTATTGCTATTCCAACTATTTGGAATAGAATAAAACAAATATAAAAATAATTTAACTCTATTATACATAAAATCTAATATGAACCATATTAAGAATAGTTAAATAAAGTAAATTTTTATTAACATCATGGATAGAAACTTTACATTAATCATCATATTTTTTGATTATAATAATTAATAATAAAACATTATTACAATTACTTTTATTATTTGAAGCGGTAGTATTAGTAGATAGCATACAAAAAAATATAAATGAATTTAATGATTTTAATATGTTAAATTACTATCTTGTTTTAAACTTAAAATTATTGATATTAAATTTTTCAAGTTTAACTCACTTTTTTAACAAAATAATTTATTAGATTCAATGAGTTTCAATCGCGCGCGAGAGATTATTTTCTTTTTATTTAGAGATAAATTCTTGTAGTTAAAAATCTAAAATCTATTGATTAATTTATTCCTTATTTTTGTTTAAAGCTTATTTTTTTCATGAATAGCTTTTAATCTCAACATTCAATCAATCCTAATAAATTTCATTATTTGTTTTTTTCTTTAGCTTTTTTTTGTTTTATTTATTTTCAATTCCAAACAATTCGAAAAAACTCTGCAATTTTTCCTTCAATTTTCGAACATTTATTTATATTTTTCATTTGATAAGAAATCTCTTAGATTTAGCACATTCTTATTTAAGTTAAAATCATGATTAATTTTTAATCAATTTTCATCTAAATTTTTCAATTATATTTTCTTAATTTTAATATTTTTTCAACCACTCATTTTAAGCTTTTTGTTTATACTTTTATTCAATTTCTTTATACTTATATTTAAAATTTGTTTTTACCTAAGAGTCTGTCTAAATTCATCATATTTAATCATCAAATGCTTCACAAAAAACCTAAAAACTGAAAAAGTCGATATTAAAAAATTGTAAGAAACAGTCAAATTTTGAAATAGAATTTTCTCAATCTTAACATTTCATTAAATAGCTTTTTAAATAATTTAAAAATATTGTAACAAATTGATTATGAAATATTTCATAAAAATTAAAAATTTTAAAAATTGAAATTGATTTTCTTCTTCTTTTTAAAAATTTTTTATATTTGATAAACATTCAAATAAGTACATACTGCAATATATATTACCTCAACCTCAATTATTGAGTTTTATTCCTTAATGTATAAATAATTTAGTTAAAAGAATATATATATTATTAATCTTAATAATTTAATTTATTCACAAAATGACTAACTATCTTTTAAATTTTTAGCATAAATTAGATAAGAAAATAGACCACTAAAAAACAATAAAAAAATAATTACTACAAGGCATTCAAATTTAATCTAAATAAATTAAATTATTCAAAATAAAGTCTTTTGTTTTTTTAAATGTTTAGCATAAATTTTATTAGAAAATAACAAACAAAGAAACTTTGAATAATAAAGGAGAGCTATATAAATTTTAATCAATCAAATTATATAATATATTTATGATCATCTTTAAAACTATTATCATAATTTTATAAGATAATAGAAAACTAAAAAATTTGAATTATAAAATAGAATAATATTTTTAAAGAATACATTTATAAAAGAAATCAATTATTGAGATTTTTAAAATCTATTAATTATAAATTATTTGATTTATTAGAAAATATAGCTTTTATTGGTTGAAATTAAGGAGATGACTCATATTAGGTATATTCAGTTAAATCATTCTAATCTTGAGAATCAAATATCGATTACTTAACAAAAGGAGACTTATTTAATTTTTCTTCTGTTTTAAAAATATTTTGATATTTTTAATTTTTTATAATTCTATCAAAATTATTTGACAAATCATTTATCTGGATAATTGATTTTTGCAGTAGAGATTGAATATTGATTGTATTTCTTTTCTACACAGAAGTGCTGGCAGTTAATTGGCTTTTTTACTTTTCAAATGATTTTTATTTTAACTATGCTTCTTCTATTTCCTTCAAATTTTGAAGAACTTCTATGTTAAATATTTTTACTACATAATTTGATATATCAGAAATTCTAATCTAAAAAACTTCAATGTCATCTTCAGTTGGAGTTCCCTTTAGAATAATTAATCCATTTTTATGGATAAAATTTAACCAATTTGGTAGCTTCATATTGTTTTGTAAACCATAATGTAAATAGTCGCAGTTCATGCATTTCTTGAGAGGGAGAATACAACTGTCTATATCTCTTACATGCGCCTAAATTCCTACTATGTTTTGCATGCCTAGCCACAAAGATTCTCCAACGCATTTTTTAAAGTAGCCTAGTTCATAATCAACAATTCCAATACCATCACCAATCAAAACATCTTTCAAGATATTTAAATGAACAGTATTAAGTTCAGTAAGCTTGTTTTTTCTTTTGATTTTTTCTTTATATTATTAAAATGCATCAATAACTTGTTATTCTTTTACACTGAAACTTTAGAACACCTCATTTAATGTAATAGCTTCAATAACTACTTTATTTTATAGTTCTTCACATTCACTTATTCCAATACGTATATATACTCTATACCAATCATTTGCAGAATATTTCTAAGATTAAATTGCTTCATTTTGCAAGAACTAATAGAAGTCCATCAATTATTTATTTTCTTTTAAAATAAACTTTTACATGAGAATTTTAATGCTTTCAAAAATTAAAGTTTCATTTTTTTATAAAATCTTTTACCTGTCTTTACTGAAAAATCTTTAAATGCCAAAAAATTTGTAAGTTAAATTAATCTTATCCATATCATCGATTAATTTTACCATATCAATTCTACCATCTTACATTTGAAATTAATATAGATTATCATTCTATTCTTCAATGATATCATGCTCTTATTTATTTTAGTGTTAATCATGGTTTTTTTTTATTTTTATTTTTTTTTTAAGTTTAGAAGCAAAAATTTCTTTTGAGCTATCTTTGCTTACTTCTTATGGCTATTAAGCTTCTCTTACGCTTAACGGTTTCAAGTCTTTATTTAAAACTTAGCTAACATTTTTTTTTTTTTCTAGCTATTTTATGTATTAATTAACAATATATTAAGCAAGTAATACATTTTAGTCAAGTAATGGAATACATTTAACAAAGAGTTTATTATAATTTACCTTTTCTTAAGAATATATTACTTGCTTGTGGTAAATAGAGTTGATGAATAAGTATTTATATTTATATATACCAAAAAAACTAAGTAGAGGAGTGGCTATTTAAAATAAGAGGTTTAAAATATAGCTTAAGGGAAGTTTATTAAGCTTGATTATAAATTAGTCAGAAAATGTTGAATATCCATCTGTTGCACTCACTTTGATAGTTATTTGTGTGTTTAGCAAAGATATTGGAGCAATACCATTAAATGTAAATGATACAGGTTGAAATTTAAGCCAATAATCGCTAGAAAGTGCAACAAAAGTGTTTTAAAATTAACTAGATTTTATTTCTACTTCGTAGTTTATTGGGAACCCATCTACATCTTTGAAAGTATTTGCTAAAAAAGTTATTGTAGTTTATTCGAGGACAGTTAACTCTGCACTGCTAAATTATTCATTTATTTATTATTAAAGAGGAGCTGTCTAAGATATTAGAGATTTTAAATGGATGTAACAATCTACTGCATCTGATAGAGATTAATTTATTACTAAATTTGGATTCAAATTATCAATAATAAGTAAATTCACATTGAAGTTATTGATTTAGTTAAGATTTGGATTTAAATAGTAAAATATCTTTTATTTCATAACTGAATTAACTGCTTCAACTGTACCATAAATTAAAATTGAAGCGCCATTATTTGAGATTGATACAACTACCCCTTAGTACTACTTCTAAACGAATGTACCATTAGTAGATTTTTCCAAATCTATCGTTATTTAAACTGTCACTTCTGAGGAATATGTTTCAATCATCTAATTTCTAGTTGGGTCAAAAGTGAGTGAATTCGAAACAGTAAAGGCAATAGGATTGTAATAGATACCGCGCTATAAAGTTAGAATGACTAAATCATTTAAGCGTTGACTCTAAGGAACTTACAACGAAGATAAGTTAAGAGGAGTATTAGGATCAAAGGCTGAGGATACTAAATTATTACTTGAAATTATACCACTTTCTTTAAGGAATAGGTATATTTGCTGACTTCCATTTGCATCTGTAGGAATTTCCGGATAGATAAAGCTCTAACTAGTTATGGGAATTCCTGTTTTAATAATTAGTAAATTTTAAGTAGGAGTTGTTAAGGACTATGATCCTTGCTTGTCAACTAAAATTTGTATAGAGTTATTTATCTATATGAATTAGATCCAGCTTGGTAGAGCGTTTCTTTGGTAATTATTATAATAGAACACGTCCATAATTTACATTCCATCAACGATATAAATAAGCAGAAGCTGAATTAAAATGTTTTGACCTATTTTAAGATTATTTGATATTGCTTTAAGCTGGTTGTTGGGTTGAATTTCATAAAATGAAGAGTGAATAGCAACTTAACTCTTGAGAGGAAAAATTCTCAAACCTTTATTACTTGTAGAAAAAGCGTACTACAAATTGTTTAAGACACAATTAGAAATAGATTATTCATTATTTTCAATGTATTTGCTTAAAACATAAGGATTGTTTAAGTCATTAAGGTCTATAACATTAATCATACCGCTGTAATCCATTGAAGAAATAATTGCATATTTTTCATTTTAAATCAATGTGATATGATTAGCCCATCCATCAATGGTAATTCTGCTAATAAATTTAAATTAGGGCAAAGCTGATAAATCAAGAATTGCAAAACCCGAAGTACCATCACATACATATGCGATGTTTTAGTAAATTGAAGATTTGACAATTAATTCAGCTCCATTTGTGTAAATTTAATTAATAAGATTTGGTTTTGTAGAATCAGAAATATCAATTAAAAAAAACATTCCTATTGTCCTTGAGGCTACAATACAGTATTTGTTATCATCAGTTAAGGCGATCGCAGAAGTATATCCATTCAATTATAATGGAATGTTCCAGTAGCTTAAGATTTTCAAATTGAATTTGTCTGTTGAATCTAAAATAACAATTCCTTAGTTGTAATTGACAATCAACAGATTTTCGTCCTTCGAAAAGACAAGATCTTCTCCTCTTGGTGGATTACTATCTTTAACAGTTCCAACAATAGGGAAATCAGTCTTTGCATAATTAGCGATATTTTGGATGTCATAAATGTACATGAAAGCTCCATTTTCTCTAACTGGTCTGTACATGTAGCGGTTATTATCATAAAAAACCATAGTACAAGTTCTAGTATTTTGGATTGCACTCATTCTCTTAAATAATGATATATTATAAGGATCTCCGCCTTTCAGTTAAAGAAAATCTAAATCTCCGCATTGTGCAGCAATAATAAATGTTTACTCTTAAGAAACATAGCATCTCCACTGAGCAAATGATGATGAATAAGAAAACAATTTCGATTAATGACCATTAAAAATATTAGGAAAATTGTCATTCATATTTGGTTACACTCTCTAAAAAGCTAGAAGTTATATGCCGTCAGTATAAAAAAGTAGATTCTAAGTATTAACCATTTCTATTCTGGTTGGGCAGCCTGGGATTTTAATTTAGTAGTATTAAACTGGATTAGAAGGCTGGCTAACATCAAAAATTATGAGTCCTTATGAACGAATTGCTGTTATTAAATACTTAGAATCTTAAGATAGATATGACCCATAAAATACTGGTTATTGTAGCAAATTATACCACCAAAGATCTTGATTTGGCAAAGTTATTGGATAGGTCGAGGGATCTGCAGTAAATAAATTAGCTAAAGGAATAACTCTAAGTCCCCTCCACGATTCAAGAATAATCATCCATTTAAGATCTTTGGTAACTTCAACTTAATTAGTGTAACGAGCATAAGCCCAAGCAGCTTAAGGCATAGTTACTGCCGTGACCTATTAGTTTGAATCAAGAGTAATTGTTAATTTTAGCACATAAACACCAGCAGATAAATCAGCAACAAAAATCCACTTAAAGTCATCAGTAATCCTAATAAATCCCATAATATTATTAGATTTAGCAAAATATGTGGCTAAAATTGGCATCGAATCAGATTATAACTTCGATTAAATATCATAAGCAATAATTGCTCCTTTATCTCCTAGTAATATAGCTATTTTATCATTTTAGACCAGATAAATATTTGTAATTACACCATATTACTCTTTACTCTATTTAATTTATATTAGATTGAAATTTTACTTAAGTAAGACAGAATACATTGATAGCCTGTTATCACATGAGGTAAATAGAAACTAACTATCCTATGTTATAGCAATTGCACTTATACTTTTACCAATTAAAGTGTTAATGGCATTGTCTATTGGCTATTATTTGTTGTTGTCAATCCATTTAATTCCGTTTGTTAAAAAAGATACAACTGTATAATCTTTGTTAGAGGAAGTAGAAGAAATCTGTTATTTAGTAGAGAAAAGCTGTGGAGGAAATTGAATCTATTGAAAAATGAAGTCATAAGAGCTTGAGGTAATTCCAAACACTAACTTAGCAGATAGTAGAAGTATGATTAAAATATAGTTCTAATATTAATTAATCATTGCTTAAAATGCGTCTTTTTCAATAAAGTAATGTTAATTTTTATGTTGAAAAATTTATTAAAACTAAAAGATAATATAATTAAAAATTGTAATTTATATTTAAAAAAAAACTTTTTTTATTAAAAAATGATAAAAATTTTTAAATGATTATGCTTTTATTGAAAATAAGTAATGAATTTTTTTATTTTTAAACATCAGAGAGAAGATTGCTATTTTAAAACTCTTAATACCAATTGCTTAAATTATCAAACAAACAATTTAAATGGAAACTATTGACTGAAAATTAAAAAAAAAGCTCATTTGATTTTTAATTGATTATTTAAAAAATATATAATTACTTTTTTAATCTTTCAAATAAAACTTTAACTGTCTAAATTAAAATATTTTTTAATTATTTTTGTTAAATATAAAAGTGACACTAATTAGTAAAATTTTGTTTAGATTGTTGCTTTAGAAATTATTAATAAAATAGATAATTTTATTATATGATTACATACATTTTGAGATAGTTAAATTTATTGTAAGAAAACATACTTTTCTTGATTATATGTATACCATTAACAATAAAATGTCCAAAACAGTCAGGAAATATAAGTTATATTTTGAGCTTGACTTTAAATATCAAAAATATATTTATGGAAAATTAAAATATCTTTATTTATTTTATGTTAATATCTTGTATATTACTAATCAAAAATTGTTTCAGTAACTAGATCCTAGATCCGGTATTTATATTAAAATTAAATATCTAAATTTTATGGGAAAGTAAATAAACTAAAGTAGCCTATAAATCAGAAAAAGTAAATAAAATGAAATCAATGCATTTTTTTTTGAATCTTAAACAATTGCATAATTAATAATAATAATATTTCTGACATTTTTCGCTTTTAATTAAATTTATTTATAAGCATTTTTATCATCATTTTAACAAGAAAAATATAAGGCTCATTTCAATTACCTTACATCTAAATATAATAAAATTCAATCTTGAAAATACCTCAATTACTAAAATGTAGTAAGAGTGTTTGGTAGAGTAAAAAAATCTATTTTTTATTTTATTAACAAATTGTTTGTAAAAATAATCAACATATAAAGAATAGGAATAATCTAATAATTAGATGAGTATTTGTTTTTTACTTCATTTTTTAATTTAATTATTGTTAGTCATTTCCTAAAAAATTGGAAATGAAGTTCTATGCAGTAAACAAGGAGACTGTAATTCTGATAAATGTGGCGTTTTTCCTGGAGCAGTTTGGTAGGATGGATTATAGGAAGGTTTTTGTGCTATCCAAGACTGTTCTGTTGCTTAATTACCTAGCTCAGATTTGAATGATTCCATTTGCGGAAGCTGTCCTCCTAATTTAGGTGCTATTTATGCTTCCTCAGATAGAAAAAATTGTGTAGCATCAACTCAATCGTGCAGCTCTAATTCAAATTTTTCAGATAATATTTGTTAAATTTGCAATCCTTCTAAATAGTATGCAAGTTCTGATAAAACATAATGTGTTGCTTCTTCTCATCCATGTAACGTAACTTCTGGTTGGAATGATTCAAACTGTTCATTATGCATCCCAACAAAGCCTTATGCTTCTCTAGATGGAAAAACTTGTGTAGCCTCAACAATCCCTTGCAATTCTACTTCAGGTTGGACTGATTCTAACTGCTCTTAGTGCTATCCTTTAAAACCATATGCTTCATTAGATGGTAAAAGCTGTGTAAATTCAACTATTTCTTGTAAATCTTAAAGTGGTTGGACTGATTATAATTGTGCTATTTGCTATCCTACAAAAAAATATGCTAGTCTAGACCAAACAACATGCATTTCATCATCTTAGTCATGTACATCACCAACAAATATGACTGATTCAGATTGTTTATTGTGCAATCCTACTACACCATATGCAAATATATTATAAATTTATTGCGTTGCTTCCTCTGTTTCGTGTATCAACAGAAATCCAAATATGGCTAATTAAAAGTGGACTGATAGTGATTGCTAAGCATGCTACTCTGTTGGCTATAGAGCTCAACTAAATGGGTCTGCTTGTGTTAATTGTAATGCTTCTTTAGGATTATCAAACGCCGATTGCTCTTTATGCAATGGGTAAGGGATTGGTACTAATTAATATGCTAATTATTTAGGATCTTGCGTTCCAGTTAATTGCTCAAAAACCAGTGGATGGGTTGATTCTGACTGCGAAGTTTGTAATTCAACAACACCCACTGCATCAAGTGATGGAACTATATGCTTGAACACAACATACTCAGCTCTACTCTTTATTCATATTATAAACTTTATTTTCCTTTTAAATGTTTGATCTTTATCAATGACTTTAATTAACGAGTAATAAATATCTCTTCTTAGTTTTTAATAAGTGCTACTTACTCTCAAATATAAAAGTTATTGCCAATTAAAAAAGTGATCTTACTATCTGTCTTCTATATATTTATTTATTTATAAAAGTCCTATTTTCTTTATTATATTATTTTTTTAAAGTCCTTTTGGTATATTTAGTTAATTTGGCACTTTTATACATCATAAAAAATATTTTTATAATATATTTATGTAATCATAAATAAAAATAACTATTTGAAATATCAAAACTATTCCAAACTGATAGTTTCAAATATCACCAAAGAACACAGAGTAGATTTTAAATATCTTAAATAATACTTTTTATTTATATATTTGTCATTACTTTTAATAGTAGCTTAATTTTTAATTAAGTTTATGAAATTTCATTTAAAATATTTTATTTGTTCAAATATTTTTATCATAATCATCAAATAATCTTATTGATAGAAAGTAAATTCAATTACATCATTAATTATGGTCTTTTTTTATATGCATTTTAAAGAAACAGACTATAAAAATATTTACATTTTATCTGATTTATTTACTAAAAATTGAATATATTTTGATGGAAAAAAATTTATGGCTAAAAATTAATTCTTATTTATTAGCTGTTTACAATAAATCAAGCACTTTAAATAATTTTAATTTGTATTCAAAGCAGATATTTGTTACAAAATTTTTGAGTAAAAAAATTTTTTTTAATTTCTTTTTCAATAAAGGCTAAAAAAAGAAATTAAAAATTAGGTACATAATAATTTAAAATATGATTTTTTGGTTAAAATGAGAGTGCCACAATCTAATTATATAGACGAAGAATAAAAAATAAATTCAGAAGCAGAAAAAAGTGTAAATAAAACATATAATAATTCTACTTTATTTTAAATATTATTATTAAATAACAGGTGGAAAAATAAAAGATACTTCAATAATCTATTTTTAATTATTATTGTATCATTTGTAGACTTTTTATATTTCAAGCTCCATACTTACTTAAAATAAAATATTAAATCTATAATTGTAAATAAAATAAATTAAAAAGTAATGTTCATTTGTAATATATTTGATACATAGGAATATAATTGTTGTTTGTATTTTGTTTCATTTGTTTGAACGAAAAGTTTATAGAATAATATTGAAAATTTTTGAAAATTATGAAGGATAGATAAACAAAGATCTGGTATACTTGAGAAATAATTTAATTAGAGTATTTTTAGATTACTAGATTGATAAACTTCTTATGCATGAGATTTAAGACAAATATCCACTAATATGAAATAAACATGAATTAAGAAGTGTGTACTAAATTTTTTAACACCAATAAAAAATTGCTCCGCTAAAAAAAACAAAATTTACATCAACTATTTTTTAAATTAATCTATATTGCCTTAACTAAGGATATAAAATAATCTATTTCACTCATTTGGAGCTCTTCAAATTGGAAATTTATAATTCTTTAGTTAATAAATGAATTTTTGGTCCCAGAAAAAGTTATTACTTTTTTTTTTACTTCAATTTTATTAATTTTGAGTAATTCAGGTTTGAAAAAAGTTTATAGCAACCCCAAAATTTGACTAAATATTAAACAAGTTTTTAATCAATAATATTTATTTGAATGAAGCTTTTTATTGTAAATCATTTAAACAAAGTAAACAATGTTTGCCAAAAATTGCTTAATGACTATATTATATACATTCTTTCAAAGTGAGAAAACCTTTTAAAAGTGATATTTCAAGAAATAATTTGATAAAGATTTACTTCAATATCAATTTATAATTTAAAAAGTAATTTAGGATAATAAAAAATATAAAACAAGCATCAGCTTTAATTATTAATCCTGTGAACAAAAAGCTTTTTAAGCTCTCATCCATCATTACATAAAACTATATTTTATTGAGTTTACTTTTGTTATGAAAAATCAAATTAAATTTATTCTAACTTTTATGATTGAAATAAAAAAAAATTTATTTCATCAAAGCGCGATGATACTTGAATTCGATTGATAAATGAAAATACTATTAATTTATATAAATTTAAGACATAATTCTATATGAAACTTTAAGATTTTAACATGAATATAATCTTAACAGTTACCCTTAATATATAAAAAATGGATATGGATAAAATTTTTATTATTTAAATATTTCTAGCTAGATTTTGTGTCTTTTAAGATTTAGAAGAAAGAGTTTGTTCTAACCAGAAATTATAATTAAATTCACCTCAATTTTATTAAAGAATTTATTTATTAATTTCTTATTTATCATTTTGTAAATATTTAGGCTTGTTTTTTCGGATTTTTTTCTAAGATTAAATTGATCGTAGGCAGTACAAAAAAATATAATTTAATAATTTCAAAAATTGTTCTATTTATTATAAATATCAAAAAAATAAATATCAAATGAATTTCAAATTATTAATATTATCTCTTAGCTTTATTTATTAAATATTCTCTTAAGGCACTGGAATAACAGTGTGTGTTTCAAATTCAAGTTGTTCTTAATGTACTTCATGTACAAATTGCTCTAATGTAACTTGGCAATATAATCAAAGTTCAAATACATGCGCAGTTGCAGATTGCACAAAAATTCCTTCTAGCCCAGAAGGTCTTACTGATAATCTTTGTGCTAGTTGCCCTCCATCTACTGGAGCTAATTTTGCCTCTCTTGATGGTACATAATGTGTAAGCTCATCATAATCATGTATAAATGCAACAAATGGAAATGGATAAAATTGGACTGATTCTGATTGTGGAAAATGTAGTTCAACATATTAATATGCAAATTCAAAAGGTACTTAATGTGTTAATTCTGGTTAACCGTGCAACTCATAAAGCGGTTGGACAGATTCAAATTGTAGTTTATGTTTTCCAAATACTTTCGCAAATAGTTAAGGAACTGCTTGTGTTGGATCTTAATTTTCTTGTTAAAACAGATCTTAATCTTAAAATTGGTCAGATGATGATTGCAAATTATGCAATCCCTAAAAATAATTTGCTACTTCTGATTTTTCAAATTGTTGTGCTTCATCTTAATCTTGCCAATCCAAATCAAATTGGACAGATCCTGATTGCTCATAATGCTAGCCAAATACCTTTGCATCAAACGATAAATCTAAATGTGTTGCTTCTTCATAATCATGTTCATCTAATAATGGATGGCAAGATACTGATTGTTAACTATGTTTTACCAATTTAAAATTTGCAAATACTTAAGCTACATAATGTGTTAATTCTTCGTAAACATGCAATGCAGGTTCTAATTGGAATGATACTGATTGTTAATTATGTAATAATTCACAAACATTTGCAAGTAGTGATAAAACAAAATGCGTTAATACTTCTTAAAGCTGCTCTTCAGCTTCAAATTGGACTAATTAAAACTGTGTTTTATGCTCAACAAATACCCCTTATGCAGCAGCTGATAAATAAAGTTGTGTAGCATCTAGCTAACCATGTAATTCTACTTCTAATTGGTCTGACACTGATTGCTCTTTATGTAATCCAAAATCCCCTTTTGCATCTCTAGACTATAATAGCTGTGTTAACTCTAGTCAGAGTTGCACCTCTGTCTCAGGTTGGAAAGATTCTGATTGTAAATTATGTAGTCCAAGTACATAATTTGCTTCTTCAGATGGAACTACATGTGTAGCGTCTACTTAATCTTGTCAATCTAATTCAAACTGGACTGACTAAAATTGTGGATTATGTAATCCATCCACTCCATATGCAAACTCTATGAAAAATGGGTGTGCAGATCCTTCTATTTCATGTATTGTAAGAGATCCCACATAAGCATCTCAAGTATGGACTGACTCTGACTGCTAAGCATGCTATCAAGTAGGCTATAGATCTCTCCCCGATGGCTCTAATTGTGTAAATTGTCTAGCTAAATCAGGAATGAGTAATTCTGATTGCGCTCTTTGTAATGGAACAGATGATGGTGATAACTAGTTTGCTAATTCCTAGGGTTAATGTGTTTCTGTTAATTGCTAATAAACAAGTGGATGGGTAGATTCAGATTGCGCTGTTTGCAATCCAAAAACACCTAACGCCTCCAGTGATGGAACAACTTGCTTAAATACTACTTATAAAGCTCTCTTAGCTACTTCTTTAATAGCTTTTTTACTTATTCTGATATGACTGTTCAAAAATATTCTTTTTCACCATTAAATAAATATATTAAAATAAAATATTTCAAATGAATTTAAAATTATTTAGAATAATTTATATTCTTTTTTAACTAACTAACTAACAAAATAAATTAGTATAAAATTATATTTAATTTTCAATAAATGTAGAGGTCTCTAACTCTTAAATATTTAAAATTTGTAAATTTAGATGTATTCATTTAATCTTAAATAAATTTGAGAAAGCATTAAAGGCTAAGGAGTTTACTTTTGATATTCAAATATTAATTTAAGTTAACGTTATTAATAGTGTAAATATTAGAAAGTTAAATTTAAATTGCAGTGAAAAATGAATTTTATTAATTAATATTTACTAAAAAAATATGTCAAAATAGAATCTATACTTCAATAAAATTAATATCAATTAAATATATTGAAATATCTATTTGTCTCTCTCTGTAAATTAAATTAAGTTATTTTACTATGGTTTTCTATTTCAACTTGACTTGATTTATTTACTAAATTCCTTTTGTTACAAAGTAAACAATCTTTTTTTTTTGACATCATATATTTTGTTAACTTTTTCTTTTTTTTCTAAATTCTTTGTTTTTTTAATAAAAGAGGCTCAAAATGAATTTTTAAAAGATCATTTTTTATGATTGAGGTAAATTTTACTTAAATCAAAATTTTTAAGACTGTAAATTAAATTCACATTTTTTTTGTTAAGCTTTACTAAAATTGCTAAAAGGGTAAACAATATTTTTGTTCAAATTAATGTCTTTAGTAAATAAATTATTTCCTTTTATAATTGAAATTTAAGGAATTAGCCTAAATTATGATTTTCAGAAAAATATAGATATTCTTTTTTTAATCATATTTATTAAATATTTTGATAAAATTGTTTGTTAATAAAGGCTAACTTTAGCAACATTATTACAAAAATTCGTATTTTTTTAAACTATTTTCAGGGTTAATTTGAAATTTTGAGAAGAACTTTTGTGTTTGTTTTTTTTTTCCAACAAACATAAGTTTTACACAAATACAAAAATAATATTAACTAAATTTTAAAGCTATAAATACTGGTTTTGCTTCTAAATATAACCCAGTTTTTTGTGAATAGCTTCTATCTATCTATGTTTTTTTCTGGTAAATAATAGCAAGAATGGAAATTTAATTAAATGAAAATAATCTTGAAATCAAATTCTTCACATGAAAAAAATTGTAATTAATTAAAATTAAAAACAATTAGTTTGCATATATGAATCAATATTATTAAGTAATGAAATTAGTTTAAAGCATATTTATTGCATAAATATGTATGCTTTAGTTTGTTTCTGCTGGTCAAGGAAATGATGTATAATGCAAAAGTTAGAATTAATGTTCAACAACTGGTTGTGGAGCTGGTGTAAGTTGGATAAATGGCGTAGGAGCAAATGCATGTGCAATAGCAGATTGCACAGTTGCTTTACCTTCTTCAGGATTAAATGATTACATATGTAGTAGCTGTCCTCCTTAACCTGGACAAGTTTACGCAAATTCCTCAGGTACTGCTTGTGTATCCACTTCTCAATCCTGCTCAGCTGTTTAAAATGTTATTGACTCTGATTGCAGTTTATGTAATTCAAAAACTCCTTTTGCAAATTCAAATAAAACTGCATGCTGTAACTCAACTGCAAGCTGTTCTACTGCTACAGGTTTAACAGATAGTATATGTGGTCCGTGCAATCAGGGTATAAATTAAAATATATTTGCTTCTTCTGATGGATCTAAATGTGTCAACCCTTCTTAAAGCTGCAGCTCTACTTCATAGTGGAAGGACTCTGATTGCCTAATTTGTAATCCTTAAAAACCATATGCTTCTGCTGATAAGTCTATTTGTGTAGCATCAAGCTAATCTTGCTCCTCTTCATCTGGATGGAAAGATAGCGATTGTATCCTTTGTAGTCCTACTGCACCATTTGCTGCTAAAGATGGTATGAGTTGTGTTAATTCTTCATAATCTTGCAGTTCTACCTCTAATTGGACTGATTCTGATTGCATTTTATGTACTCCCAAATCACCATATGCAAGGTTAGATGGTTTATAATGCGTAGCCTCCTCATAATCATGCTCCTAATCTACAAATTGGCAAGATGCAGATTGTAAGTTATGTTCTCCCCAATCACCATATGCGAGCTCAGATAAAACTACTTGTGTCAATTCAACTTAAACTTGTAATTCTTCCTCTGGGTGGATAGATAATAACTGTAATTTATGTTCGCCTTCAAAACCCTTTGCTTCAGCTGATGGAAAAAGCTGTGTAGCTTCTTCATAATCATGTAGCTCTACAACCAATTGGTCTGATAATGATTGTATACTATGTACTCCTTCAAAACCTTATGCATCAGGAGACTCAAACAGCTGTGTTGCTTCTACTTAATCTTGTAATTCTACTTCTGGTTGGACTGATTAAAATTGTTTCTTATGTACTCCTACAAAAATGTATGCTACTGTTGATGGAACTAGCTGCGTTTCATCTACTTAATCTTGTAGTTCTAAATCTAATTGGACTGATAATGACTGCGCTCTTTGTACTCCTTCTACCCCTTTTGCTAATTCAAAAAAAACTGGATGCGCAGATCCCTCTGTTTAATGTGTTGGAAGAGACCCCACACAAGCATCTTAACTCTGGACTGACAGTGATTGTTCAGCATGCTATTAAAATGGTTACAGATCCTAAACAGATGGATCTTCTTGCGTTAATTGCCTAGCGACTTCAGGAATGACCAATTCTTCATGCGCTCTTTGTAACGGAACAGATGATGGAGATAACTAATATGCCAATTCTTTAGGTGCTTGTGTTTCAGTTGACTGTTCATAAACAAGTGGATGGGTAGATGCTGATTGTTAGCTTTGCAATCCTTAAACCCCAAGCGCTTCAAGTGATGGAACTGCATGTTTATCTACTACTCATTAATTTATTCTTATAGCATCTTATTTATATATCCTTTAATTATTACTCTGAAAAATAAAATAAATAAATATCTTAATCAAATAAATTTATAAGTAATCATTATTGTTTTATATAAAATCTTTAATATTTCTACTTATTTCATATTAATTTCTTATTGAAACTCTATTAGAAATGTATGAATATATATTTTGTTTATTCATATTTTGAATAAATTTCCATAAAAATATTAATCAAAATAATTCAACGCAATAAAAATTTCTTATGGGAAGATCAGAAAGATACTAAAAAATCTTAAAACACAATACATAAATAAATATTATTTTTAAAAAAATAAATCAACATCCTACACCATAATTCCTAAATATATTAAATATTTTGATCTAAAATAATTCAAATAAAGTCCCTCAATTTGATTATTCTTATATGACACTTAATAGTTAGAAAATAAACTAGTAATACTTTTTAGAGACTGACTTATTTTTATTTCAACCTCTTAATAGTTGTTATAATTTGTGTATTCTTTTCCAGCCAATAAGCTACTTACATTAGAAAACATAATTTTGATAAAGTTATGATACTAATTTAAAAGATTCTTTGATTTATAATTTCATTATTTGAAAGAAAAGATAATAAAAAAAGTATTCATTTCCTTATTTCTTATTATTTATTTTTGCAATCAAAAGAACTTAGTATAAAGCATAAGATTAAATAATGTAATCTTCTCAAACTAAAAAATCTGCAAATAATTAATTTTAATCACTAAAAATTATTTAATACCTTAAGTTTTTGAATAATATTTTTTGACGAATTAGAGCGCTTTCTGGTGAACAAAAAGTAAATAAATAAAATTTAAAGAATTCAATTCTATTATTTCTTTTATTTTCTTAATTTCTTCCTTGGCTTTTTTGAATTGATTTTTAAATACTTCTCATGATTATTTTCAATTAATAATTTGAATAAAAATTCATTTTTATTATTAATTGTAGAGAATTTTTAAATCTTAAAAGTAACTTATGGAATGAAACACTATTAAATTTATTCTGTTTATAAATTATTTATTTTTTTATAATAAATATCAGCTTATAATAAGTAATTTTTAAACCTTAATCAAATAAAGATTGAAAAAATTCTATTTTAAGATTTTCATTAATTTGAAGTAAATTTATTCAAATTTATGTTTTTTTATTTAGTAATTTTTATAATTTTATCTAAACTTAAAAAGAAGAAAATAATTCTTTAACAATAAACTAATTTAATATTTTCTTATTAATACAATCTAGATATTATTTTTAAAAGTAATTTTATTATTTTGGTTCATTTACTATATTTAATATTTATATATTATTGCTAAATTAATAGAACCCTATTTAAATTAATCAGTTAACTTTATGTTTTTTGAGCATTTTACTACTCTTGAATGTAAACTTGTTAGCTACTGAATATTTTGTTTTTTTTTCTATTTGAGCAGTATGAATCAAAACTTAATTAAATTCAGGCATATTAGATTATTTTTAACCAGTTAATGGAATAAAATACAAAGTAACTTATTTTTATTTAATAAAACAATCATATTCTTTTTTTAAGAAAACTTAATATTAAACAGCTCGATCTTAAACGGTTGAATTAAGTTCTTTTAATTTATGTTATCAAGTTTTTAAAGTGATAATTATATAATTAAAATATAAACAATTTTTAATTTCATGCTGTTTCTGGTCATAAAGTTTTTTTTATTCTCTTAAGTTAAGTAAATGGTTATTTACTAATTAATTTATTAATTTTGAGGTATTTAAAACTCTTTAAAAAACTGGAGAATTCTTTTGAAATCTAATTTAAAAGAGCTTTGATAATATCTTAATTTTAAATAATTAGACTTAGTTAAATTTAATTAGTAAGTCGAATTTATATACTATCCATTATTGCCAAAAGAAATTTATTAATTTAATTAATTTAGTCAAAATTTGTGGCAGATTTAATTAATTTTGATTATTATTACTAAAGTTCAGGTAATTAAAGAAAAGATAATATCCAATTCAAATAATACTAAAGATACGCCATAAATTTAATTCTAATGTATTTGCCATAGAAAAATTGAACTTCTACAAAAATATGAGACTACTTTATTCAAAATAAGAATTAGAGCCCACTAAACATATTTTATTCCTTAAAAAAGTAGCCAGTATAAAATACAAGTATCTTTTCTAAATGTTAGTGAATCTGTGTATTTTTGACTTGAAATTATTCTTTTGAATTTACTTTTACTTTTAATGTAAATCAAATATTGATTATTGAGAAGTTTATAATTAATTAATATTCAAAAAATTTGTTAAAACTCAAAAAAAAAAAAAAACTTGATAAAATTTTTATAGATGATTAAAAGTATAATAGTCTTATTTATTTTCAAATTAATTTAAGTTTATTCAGCTATTACTCCTGGCGCTAATGTAAATTGTAATAATGACGCTACATGTTCTAGCTGCTCTGCAGTATCAGCACCATTTTAATGGTCTCCTTCTAGTGGATTATGCAGAATATCAGATTGTGCTGCAGGAAATATTCCTACAACTGGTTTATCAGATTTATTTTGCACAAGCTGTGCTGCTCTCACTAATGGAAGTTATGCAAATTTAGCTGGTAGTTTATGTATTAATACTCCTTCTTCATGTTCTAATTTCTCAGGAACTTGGACTGATGCGTAGTGCCAATTATGTTCTTCTACATATTATGCTAATTTTTAAGGAACAAAATGTGTGGCTATTAGTTAATCTTGTACCTCATCAAGTAATATGACTGATCAAATTTGTAATCTTTGTTATGGAGGCGTAGGAAAAATATATGCCTCTTATGATTAAACAAAATGTGTGAACTCCTCTTAATCTTGTTTTTCAAATTCTGGATTGAAAGATAGCGATTGTTAAATATGCAATAAAACAAGTAGCTCTTATGCTTCTTCTGATTTAACAAAATGTGTAAGCTCCAGTTAACCTTGTAATTCAGTTTCAGGATGGACCGATTCTGATTGTAATTTATGTTCTCCAAGCACATTTGCAAATGCAGCAAAAACTAAATGCGTTAGTTCATCTTAATCTTGTATTTCGGTATCAGGATGGACCGATAGTGACTGTTAAGTATGTTATTCATCTACATATTTTGCATCGGGAGATGGTAGTTCATGCGTTTAATCAGGTGTCTCTTGCAGTTCGAGTTCTGGTTGGACTGATTCTGCTTGTGGAAAATGCTATTCTGGTACAAAAAAAATATATGCTTCTAAAGATGGTACTAGTTGTGTAGCTTCTTCGATAAGCTGTAATTCTAATTCAGGCTGGACTGATAATGATTGCGCTTTGTGTAACCCTTCTTCATCTTTTGCAGCTATTGGAGGAAGTAAATGTGTTTCCTCCTCATAATCTTGTAGTTCTAACTCAGGTTGGAGTGACTAAGATTGTTTGTTATGCTCCCCTTCTAGCCCTTTTTCAAATATCGACGGAACAAAATGTGTACCTTCTACTATTTCATGCACCTCTGGATCTGGATGGGACGACAAAAATTGCAGTTTATGCAACCCATCTACTCCATATGCTACTGCTGATAAAACAAATTGTGTAAATTCTACTATTTCTTGTAATTCTAATTCTGGCTGGACAGATTAAAACTGTGATTTATGTTATCCCTCTTAACCTTATGCAACTGCAAATGGAAGTAGTTGTGTTGCATCTTCCTAATCATGTAGCTCAACGTCTAACTGGAGTGATGCTGATTGTATATTATGCACCCCTAATAAACCTTATGCTTCTGGAGATGCAAATAGTTGTGTAGCAGCTTCTTAATCATGTAATTCTATCTCTGGATGGACTGATGCAAATTGTAAATTATGTACTCCTTCTTAGCCTTTTGAAACTACTGATGGTACTGCTTGCGTTGATTCAAGCTAATCTTGTAATGCAAAATCTAATTGGACTGATAAAGACTGTGCTTTATGCAGCCCGTCTACTCCATATGCAAATTCAAAATAAACAGGTTGTGTAGATCCTTCAATTTAATGTATAGGCAGGGATCCTAACCAAGCTGCCTAAGTATGGACAGATAGTGATTGCGCTGCCTGTTACTAAACTGGCTATAGGGCTTAGTCTGATGGTTCTTCTTGCGTTAATTGTAGTGCCACTTCAGGTATGACTAATGCTGCTTGTGGACTTTGTTACGGAACAGATGATGGGGATAATTAATATGCAAATGCTTAAGGCGCCTGTGTTTCTGTAGATTGTACTTAAAAAAGTGGATGGGTTGATTAAGATTGTTCTACTTGTAACTCAGCTACTCCATATGCCTCGAATGATGGTAGTTCATGTTATGCAACAACTAATTCAAAAATACTTACTTTCTCATTAATATTCTTATATTACTTACTAATTTGATTTTAAAAACATTGAAATATATTTCTTTTTTATCTAAAAAATTTTATTATCACTGATTTATGTTTATTTTGTATATAAAAATTAAAAAAATCACAAAAAACTCAAAATATCTATAAAAAATTATATTCAATAAAAATGAATAATATTCAATTTATTTAAACTAAATTTAATAATTAAAGCTTAATTGAGTTTGATACATTTAATAGATAATATTAAAATTAATTATTTTTACTACATTAAGATTTTTTCATGAGTTAAAAAATGTTTCTGAATCTATTAAATATGGAGAGGTTTTGATACCTTATTTCTTTAATAGGGATATTTTAAAAAATCATTTAAATTTTAAAAATATATTACAAATAAAATAAATTTTAAAATTATATAATTTACATTTTCTAAGTATCTAAATATTAATGGATTTAAGGTAAATGTGAAATAATTTAAATAATATAATAGTATTTAATTGTCTATACTAAAATTAATTTATTTTAGAAATGAAAAATGCCTCACTATCAATAATATTTATTTCTTTTATCTCTAATCTATTCCTAAAAATATTTAATCAATTTTAAAAAGTTATAGCAGAAATTTAGAAGCTTATAAAAATGATTTTTCTATTAAATTGATAGATTAAAATAAAAATATTTGCAAAGAAGCTGAAAAATAATTAAAGTAATTAAATTGAGGAATACTTCAAATAGAGGCCATTTCTAATTTTAAATGAAGCAATTTTGGATCAATTATATATTGATTCTGTTAGTAATTAATTTAAATTTTCCAATTAAAAGAAAATCAATAAATAAATAGCGTGAATTAAAGCTCATTTTAAACAAATCTCTCTAAAAAAGTAAATTTGTGTAGAAAAATTTTCCACACTTGAAATTAAAAAAAATTATTGATAAGTAATTTAATTAATAATAATTATCTAATATTTAAGTTTTTTTTCAAAATAGTTATGATTTATTAGGTTATAATATTTTCAGCTTTTATACTCTTATCTGCTGCATAGCTTGGAGCTTTAGTTAATTGTCCGACATAAGATTGCAATAGTTGCGATTCCTTTACGGGATTTTTATGGCAAAGTGGAGGTAGTGGTTAATGTTAAATCGTTGATTGCTCTTCAGGAAGCTTTCCAAAATAGAATTTAAGTGATTAATTTTGTGGTTCTTGCTCTTCAAATGCGCATTATGCTAATCAGAATGGAACTTAATGTATTCAAATATAATAATCTTGTAGCTCTAATTCAAATTTAACAGATAATATATGCAGTTTATGCAATAGTTAAACGCCATATGCAAGTAGTGATTAAACTAAATGCATAAATTCTACAGCTTCTTGTAGTTCTACTTCTGGATGGACTGATTCTAATTGTATTTTATGCAATCCTTAAAAACCTTTTGCTTCACTTAGTGGTTTTAGTTGTGTTGATTCAAGTATATCTTGTAGCTCTTCTTCAGGCTGGAGCGATGCCGATTGTGCAAAATGTAGTCCTTCTTCTCCATATAGTAATCAATTAAAGACTAATTGCGTAGCATCAACTTAAACATGTAGCTCGGCCTCAAACTGGACTGATTATAACTGTAATCTTTGTAATCCTTCTAAGCCATATGCAGCTACAGATAAGAACAGCTGTGTTGCTTCTACGATTTCATGCAGTTCAGTTAATGGATGGAATGATAGCAACTGTTAACTATGTTCTCCATCAGCACCATATTCAAATATATATTAAACAGGATGCGTTAATTCTAGCATTAAATGCGTTGGTAGAGATTCAACAAAAGCTAATTAAGTATGGACAGATAATGATTGCGTTTAATGCTATGCTGCTGGTTATAAAGCAAGTAAAGATGGATATTAATGTGTTGATTGCAATGCAACGACTGGTATGAATAATTCTTAATGTGCTCTTTGTAACGGAACTGGTCAAGGAGCTAATTAATATGCTAATTCTTAAGGAGTATGCGTTGCTGTAAATTGTGATTAATAATCTGGATGGGTTGATTCTGACTGTGCTACATGCAATTAGGCTACTCCTTTTGCATCTTAAAATGGAAGTTCTTGCAATACAACAACTAATTCTCAAATATTGATTATATTTATATTTATAAAGTTTATTTTCTTACTATTGTGAATCAAAAATCTAAGTTTACATTTTTATGATACTGTAAACAGTTTTTCTACTTTCCTAGATTTTGTTTTCCCCAAATTTATCCTCCATTTTTAAAAAAAATTATGGCTATTTAACTTTTACATAAAAAAATAAGTGGATGATAGGAATTATAGTAGTTTAAATGATATTAAGCAAAAAATTTTACTTTAAACTGTAATCTTGAAAGGGAATATTGGAGATATAATTTATTTAAATATGTTTAGCAAATGCCAGATTATTAAAAAATCAATTAAATAGTATTTAGTAAAAAGATAAATGAAAAAAAAAGCTAATAAAATCATTCATTCATATTTTATCTCAAAATACTGTTAATTTTAACATAATTTTTTTAAAAATAAAAACAGAAAAATAAGATAAAAGAATATTAAGAATTGGTTTATAAAGTATAATTTTGTTTTCACTTTATTATATTATGAAAGAAAATTTCCAATTGATTTTAAATTTAAATAGAAAAATGGATTAGATTTTCTATCATAAAGTAAATCAACAATAAATATGAATTATTTTTTATAAAAAAAAGAAGAAATTTACTAACAATATTAATTATATTAATGTAATTTAAACAACTTTTTTGAATTAGTTAATTTTTTAGATTATAAGGATTAGAAAGTTTATTATGAGTAGGCTTATTATTTTACTGCTTTTACTTACTTTCCATTAATGCAAATAATTAGGTTAAAATGTTATTTGTTCATAGCCTGGTGTTTGCACTGATTAAAGCTGTGGAACCTTTAGCGGATTTTAATGGTAATAGAGTACGGGTAATTATTGTTAAATTTAGGATTGTAGTTCAACTGCATTTCCTTCATCTGGTTTAACTGATTAATTATGTGGTTCTTGTCCTCCTATTACTTAAGCAATTTATGCTAATTCTCTAGGTACTTCTTGTGTAGCTTCACCTATTCCATGCAGTTCAACTTAAGGTTTAACAGATTAAATATGTAAATTGTGTAATTCTCAAAAACCTTTTGCTAATTCAAATGGAACCTCTTGTATTGCTTCAACATAATCGTGTAGCTCTAATTCAAACTGGACTGATCAAAATTGTAGTCTATGTTTTTAAAATAAACCATATGCAAACATAAATGGAACAGCTTGTGTTGCTTCTACAATACCATGTAAATCTTCTTCTGGTTGGACTGATTTTAATTGTAATTTATGCAATCCTAGTACCCCTATTGCTAGTTCAAATGGAAAAAAATGCATAGCTTCTACTATTTCATGTAGTTCTACTTCAGGTTGGACAGATGCAAATTGTATTTTATGCAATTCAAGCACTCCTTATGCAGCTGCCGATGGAAAAAGCTGTGTGGCTTCAACGATATCTTGCAGTTCAAATTAAGGATGGACTGATAATAATTGTTTTTTATGCAATCCATCAACTCCATTTGCAAACATAGCTTAAACAGCTTGTGTAAATTCTTCATATTAATGCATAGGAAGGAAATTTAATTTACCACAATAAAAATGGACTGATGATGATTGCGCTAGCTGTTATAGCTTTTCTTATATTTCAAAATAGGATGGATCTGGATGTTTGAATTGCTATGCGCTTTCAGGTATGACTGATAATGATTGCAAACTTTGCAATGGCTCATATGATGGTGAAAACTCATATGCTAATGCTCTTGGAGCTTGTGTATCTATAAATTGCTCTTAAACAAGTGGATGGGTGACAAGCGATTGTACTATGTGCAATCCTGCTACTCCTATGCCTTCATCTGATGGAACAATGTGTGTGTCTGTTACAAGTTCTTAGATTATAAAATTGTATTTATTATTTTTTATTTTAATATTTTTGATAGATTGATAAATCTTTTAAAGAAAAAATGTCTATTTATTAATAAGTAATATTTTATAGAAGATTTAATTATTTTTTTATGTTAAATTTCATTTATTTTAATTTTAGTAAATTAAGAAATAATTTTATTCAATAATCTTACTTTTATGTTAAAATTTGATTGATCTAATAATTATTTTGTTTCTTTAATTTATAACTTTCAGTTCATCCTCATACTATAAAACCTCATTTTGTTGAAGAATTATAAATATTTTTTAAAAATTAAAGGAGTTTTTTTTATAATAATTTGTTCAAAACATAAAATTTTTTAAAATTTAGCCAAAAAATATATATAATCACAATAATAAATAAAATATTTTAAAAAAAGAGTTAAATCTATTTCAAGTAGTTGAATAAAAAATTAATTATTTGTGAATAAAAATGGAAGTTTTTCTCAAAAAAACTACAAAATATTAAATAACATAAAACTATCAATTCTATTCTAAGTAATGTTTGATAGATACTAATCTTTTTAGCTTCTTAAAAGCATTAATTATTTTTGTTTATGGACATATTTTACTTGAGGTAATTAAAGTGTTTATTCTATTTGGGTTATTCTAAAGCTAATTTTTAATTTCTTTCAAGTAATCTTAATTTTCAGTCAAATAGTTAATTTATAAAGATAATAGAGTCTATTTACTTTTTAAATCAAAGTAATCGGCTTAAGATTTAAGGTTTTAGAATACTTATTTGCATTTTTATAATTAAATAATTAGTTTGGTCACTTTTTTTTAAGTATTTATCATTTTAAGAAATACTTAATTAGCTATTTCACAAGGACAATAAGATTAATATGTGAAGTCTAATTGCTTCTAAATTATAAAATTGTAGTAAACTATACTACTATAAAAAATTACAGCTTATTTATCTAATTTTTCTTTAATAAATTATTCTGAGCAATCAAAACAAAAATATTAGCAGCTTTAAAGTCTGATTTTTCTTTTTATTAATGTATCTTATACGTACAAAGCATCTATAATTTAAACTATTTACTCTTTTAAAAGTGACAAAGACTCTTCATTAATATTAAATGTTCTTAAGTATTATTCTATACAAAATAATATTTTATCTAAATTGGTTTATTTAGGGATATCGATATTAGAAAAAAGGTGAACTGGAGTTGTCTTTAAATTTTTGAATAAACCACCTGAATTTGATGTAAGGTTATCTGTGATATTAGAGTTAGAAAACATATTTGAATATTTAGAATTTTATATGTTTATATTTTAGAATAATCCACTTTATTAATCTATTTCATCTTTTTTTGTGCAAAAATTGATATTTTTTAAAAAAGATAAATTAATATCTTTTTTTGTGCAAAAATTGATATTTTTTAAAAAAGATAAATTAATATCTTTTAAAATAAATAAATTGATATCTTTTAAAATAAATATATCACATAATTCTTAATTAGATTTTAAAGTCTATATTAAATTTGGAATTTGATCTAATTAAGGATTATTGACACAGATTCCAATGTGTGAAGCATTTTAAATTGAAGGTTTAATTAAAATACTTTCAGGCAATTAAAATTTTCTCTTGAAATCTATCATTTTTTCATAAGCTTTGAAGGATGAGATAATTTATTAAAAGTATATCTGATTGTCACTTTTGTTTAGACTTTAAAAATATTTTTCAACTAAATCTATTACAACCTAATCTATTTTCTGTTTTGGAACATCAATCTAAATGGTTATTTTTTTTAAGATTTATTATATTCCTTAAATTATACACTTATACTAAATTTTATAATTATAATCAGGACTTAACTGAAAAGAGTTTTGAAAGAAAAGATATCCACTTAAGTATATTTATTACTCTCCTAATTATTTAGTAGAAATTTATATATCTCCGATTAAGCTAAGCTAACTTTTAATTTGTACTGTATTTATCAATTGAGAATATAATTTTATTTATTTTTCTAAATCAGATTCCCTAATACGTGGAAGATTTTCCCAAAGAACATTAAAATCGAAGATTGCTACAATAAAAATATCTTAGTTAATCTAAATTATTTCATATTTTTATATATTAGAGTAAATTTAGTTCTCATTTAGTTTTATCATAACTTAGTCAATTGTTTCTTTCTTTTTAATGGCTTCCTCCATCGATTAAAATCTTTCAATAACAAAATCTATGTAATTTTGATTTTCTTATTATGCTTGAAAAGTTAAAATATTGGAATCAATAAAAAGAGGGGTAAACTAACTGAAGCCATTTTAATTTACTATCAAGTATTTTATTATTTCAGAGTAAAGGTGTGCATATTTGTTTTCACTTTTCAATAAAAATTCAGAAAAGGTATTCTTGTGAAACAAAATTTCTTCAGATCTTATTTTTTAAGTTGACTATTTTGGATGTTATTTGAAATCTAAGTATTGTTTCTCATAAATCCCATACTTGAAAGGGTCTATAGCAAATAATTTAATACTAAATTGCTCATCTATATTTTTTTAAAGCGCATGTTATATCTATGTCTATGGTGTAAATTCTTCATAAATTGATTTACCATATATTTTTTAAACTATGTTTTCCATATTGAACTTTAAAAATGAACTTTTAAACTCATTCCATTCATCTTCATCGCTTGTAAAATCAAAATACTCGTATTCAATCAAGTAAAAAAATTAATTATTATCTAAGTAATATGAATCATATACTCTCAATACATTAGGATCCAGCATGCTCTAACTAAATTTAGTATGTTTAATTAATTTATCAATGAAATTAGTTTCTTTCCCATCATCAACAAAAATTTCTATGCATTTTTTTTTATCTTCTTTTTTATCGAAAATTTTAAATTAAAGAAGTTGATGGTAGTTTATCTTCATATATTAATCATAATTATCTGACATTATTAATCTTTATCCTATATAATTAGGATCTACTTCAAAATCACTTTTCTTTTTTTCTAAAGCTTCAATTAATAAAAAATTGATAGCTTTAGGATATTTAGAAATTTGTCTTAAATTTTGTTCTAATATTTTACTCATATTTGTTTTTTTTTAATCTATTTAAATTAATTTAATTATATTAACATTATAAATTTTGTGCCTATTTAACCCTTTATGGTGGGGTAGTTTTTATATTTTTATAGATTCTTTGATATAAAATTAAACCTTTTATCAATAAATTTTTATTAACCTAGCCATTTCTATTGTGCTAACTCCCCGGCAAAAATTAATTAATAAAAAATCAGAGATTTATTTGATTTCATTAATTCCCTCTATTTAGATATAATATAAAATTGATCAGAATCAAACATAATTCAATATAGAAAATTAAAATTAAATTTTCTCAATATTTTAAAATGATGTCATTTAGTAAAATAATATGCTATATTTAAATGGTTTCAAATTTGAATAGTAGGTAATTAGCATTTATTTATAAATTTAATTGTTTATTAAAGAAACTTTTCTTAATAATCAATCTAATTATATGATTATTCATAAAAAATTATTTATTTTGTGAAGACAAAAATCGTTTTTCTTATTTGTGAGATAAAATATTTAAAAAATGAAATAAAATTTAAATAACGAAATCATATCAAAATTTAGAACAGGGTTTATCTTAATTATTATTTAATCAAAAATCATTCTTGATTTATTTTTAATTTAATAAGAATTATTGATGTTTAATACTTGCTTATTCTCTGAAATTTTCTGATATTTCACAATAAATAAATAAAGATATTTTGTTTTGTTAGTAAAAATGTAATATTAAATCTTGTTAACACTTTTTCTAATTACATTTTAACGGAATAATTATTTTTTATAATATAAAATAAATTTGAATAAATTTAAAGCTTTTTAATGATTTTAATAAATAAAAAAAATTTGGGGTCGTCCGAGAATCGAACCCGGGACCTCTCGTACCCTAAACGAGAATCATGCCACTAGACCAACAACCCTTAATCGATACTTTTTCTAATATAAAAAATTTTGTAATTGATTTAAATATAATAATAGAGAGACTGACTATAAATAAATACATGTAAACTTATTAATGAATTATTAATATTTATAAAAAAATTAAAACTCAATTTCATACAATTTTTATTAAAGTAAAGAATTAATCTAAACAAAAGAAAAATATAATTCAACACTTTTAAATGATTGATCGTTTAAAACTAAAAACATTATTACTAGCTTGGTAAGATAAAAATTAAGGCCACATTGTTTATTATATAATTAAAAAATAAATATAATTCTTCTATTTTGTTACAAAGTATCACATTTTTTAAATATTATCCATTTTTATTCTTTAATTTTTGATTTAATTTGTTTTTATATAAAAAAGAATGTTCATTTCCTGTAAAATTAAGTCCTATATTAATTTAATTAACTTTAAATGATTTACTTTTTTGTAAATTAGCAATTAACATCTTTTAAAATATTTATAATAAAGCTATTTACTAACTTATCTTCAAATTAAATAAATACTACGTTAAATAATTAACAAATAAAATATTTCATTTTGTAAAAAAAAATTAGATATTTTTAAATAAGAAATATTCACTTTGATGTAAAAATTATTTAAAAGTGTATTTAATTTAAATAGAGAATAAATAAAAAAAATGAAAAAATTGGGGTCGTCCGAGAATCGAACCCGGGACCTCTCGTACCCTAAACGAGAATCATGCCACTAGACCAACAACCCTTAATCAATAGTTTTGTTTATATAAAAATTTTGTAATTGATAAAAACAGCTATTACTAATGAGTTAGTACTCTTCATTATAAAAAATACAGAATCATTATCAAAACTAAGTAAACATTTTTTATTTTGTGCGAATAAATTGATAATAAGAAAATCGAAAATATTAAAAAAAATAATTTACCATATTTATAGCTCATGTTGGATTTAATAAAATTGAAATTTTATATTAATTTAAATTAAAAATATATTGCAAAATTTCATTCAAAAATCTAGTCATATGGATATGAATGACTAAATTAATGAATTGCATTTATTATAATTAAAAGTTTAGCTAAACTAAGTAGAAATAAGAAATATTCAAAAAGTAATTCAATTTGATTATATAAAAATATATAATAGAAAATGATACAATTAGCCTAGTAATGGAATATAATGTAGTAGGCTATTGGGCATTATCTGAAATAAAAATTTTTAGTTCTCAAATAGTAGAAAAATAATGATGTATTTTGGAATTTACAGTATAGTTTTTTCAAAAAAAATTGAACTAAGAGTATTATTTTATAAAAGAAATCTATTTATTTATTGACTTGAAAACACCATCATATTATTATTAATTATTCTATAAAAAGCTTATTTAGATATTAATTCAGGTTTAAATTGAAAGTAAATAAAAATAAAAAAACGTCATCACATAAACCTTTTCATTTTTCAAAACACATATTTTAATACTGATTTCTACTTTAAAATCTTAGCTGTATTTATTTACATATTTTATAATTTTAATTTAAATAAAAAAAATAAATATTAATTATTTCTCTAAAAAAATGAAAATGTATTTAAAAGTACTAGTTTTTTCTCTTGCATCAGTCTGTATAGTAAATGCATCAATAAGAGGTAGGGATGTAAATTGTTCTACTGGTTCTGTTTGTGTATCATCAGATTGTCCAACTTATATTGGTGGCTCGTGGTACACTGAATCAAATAGTTGTTATATTTAAGATTGTAGTGCTATTACTAGTCTACCTTCCCCTTATACAGACCTTTATTGTGGAACTTGCCCTACAGATTATTAGTTAATCACCCCAGTTTAGGTATATGCAAATACTGCTGGGGTAGCTTGTGTTGCAGCTTCTACAACCTGTGGAAATAGCAGAACTGCATAGTGGTCAGATACTGATTGCGGCTTATGTAACGGAACTTCTTCTGGTAATCCATATATGCAAATATATCAAAAAATAAATGCGTAGCATCTTCAGCTAGCTGCGGACCTACTAGACCTTCGACTTCTAAATGGACAGATAGCGACTGCGGTTTATGTAATGGCGCCTCATCTAGTGCTTAATACGCTAATACAGCAGGAACATAATGTGTATCTTCTTCAGCTAGTTTTGGAGCAAGTAGACCTTCAACCTCTAAATGGACAGATAAAGATTGTGGTTTATGCAATGGTACCTCCACTGGCAGTGCATAATACGCTAATTTATCTGGAAGTTAATGTGTAGCTTCATCAGACAGCTGTGGTGCAAGTAGGTCTTCTACTTCTAAATGGACAGATGGTGATTGTGGTTTATGTAACGGTACCTCCTCTGGTAGTGCTTAATATGCTAATTAAGCAGGAAGTTAATGTATAGCTTCCTCAGCTAGTTGTGGGGCAAGTAGACCTTCAACATCTTTATGGACAGATGGTGACTGTGGCTTATGTAATGGTACATCTTCTGGTAGTTAATAATATGCTAATTCAGCTGGAAGTAACTGTGTTGCTTCATCAGCAAGTTGTGTAGCTAGTAGACCTTCAACGACTTTGTGGATAGACTCTGACTGTGGAATTTGTAATGGTACTTCTGCTAATAGTGCCTAATATGCTAATACAGCTGGAAGTAAATGTGTAGCTTCATCTGCAAGTTGTGGGGCTAGTAGGCCTTCTACATCTTTGTGGACTGACTCTGACTGTGCTTTATGTAATGGTACTGCTTCTGGTAGCAACCAATATGCAAACCCAAGCAAAAATGCATGCTAATCTACAAGTTCTTCACCTAATAATTCAACAAATAACTCATCTTTACTAATATGCTCATTTTTGCTTTTTTTTAATTTCTTTTTCTGAAGTTTTTATTAACTTATAGTTATATTTCATTTGTAACTAAATAAATGTGTTTTTAGTTGTATCTAATAGAATAGAACTTTTTTTAAATTACTTTTATTTAATTCTTTTCAATTTGATGTTTAATGTTTAAAAATTGATTTAAATTAGATAAGAACCTACATCATTTAATAAATGAGCAAAGTCATTTTATAAAATTTATTTTTTTGTTTGTTTGTTTGTTTAATATATCTTTTTTTACAGAGTAAAATTATTTTAAGTAGATTATAAAAATTAATAAAATTTTCCCTATTTAATTGAATTTGAATTGATTAAATTAAATGTATAATAACTAGATAGATAGATAGAGTAAAAATGGTCTAAAGCGACCACTGTATCAATAAAATTTTAGTCAAATTAATAAGATGAAAACATAAACAAAATTTGAAATAAATACTTTTTTATTACTTTTCTATCTACAACAAGGGAGCTATCTTATTATAAGGGTGATTACAATTTATAAAAACAATCAAAATTAAAACTAAACTAAATTAAATTAATATTTAACAGACTCTTTAGTAAATTTAAAATATTAAAAGAGATAATTTTGGCAAAATAGTTAACACTTTTTCTAATTAAATTTTAAAGGAGTAATTATTTTTTTAATATAAAATAGCTTTGAATAAATTTAAAGCGTTTTAATGATTTTAAAAAATAAAAAAAATTTGGGGTCGTCCGAGAATCGAACCCGGGACCTCTCGTACCCTAAACGAGAATCATGCCACTAGACCAACAACCCTTAATCGATTCTTTTTTTTATACAAAAATTTTCTATGATTAAAATGAATACTTGCGAGACTGACTATTAATTCCTTGAAACTTGTTAATAAACTATTACTATTAATAAAATAAAAACTTAATTTCATACAAATTATTAGATCATTTAGTAAATCTAAACAAAACAAAATCATAAATAATCCTTTAAAACTAAAATATATTATTTCTTGCTTGATAAGCTAAAATTTCAGGCCGATCACATTGTATATTCTATAATTTAATAAAAAAATAATTTTTCTATTTTGTATTTGATATCAAAAGATAATATTTTTTATATTTTTTATATTTTTTCCATTTTTATTATTTTTGATTGAAATTGCTTTAATATAAAGAATGTGCATTTCATATAAAATCAAGTCCTCTAATAACTTAATTTTAACTTATTTATTATTTTGTAAATTTGCAATAAAAATCTTTTAAAATATTAAAAATAAAAATATTAACTAACTTCATCAACCCTAAATCAATAGGTTTGTTGATATAAAATTTTGTAATTGATAAAAGCAGCTATTATCAATGAATTCATTCTCTTTATTATAAAAATATAGAATCATAATCAAAACTAAGTCAAAATTTTATACTTTTGTATACAAAATTCTTAATTAGTCATAAGAAAATGTAAATATTGTAAAAATAAATTATTTATTATCTATAAGGTCTCAATTAGGATTTAATAGTTACCTTTGCTCTTTTCTAGTTATTTAAATAAAAAATAATTGCAAAATACCATTCAAAAAATATAGTCATTAGGATATGACTAAATTAATGAATGATATTTATTTTAAATGATTGATCTAAATTTAATTAAATAATGTGATTAGCTGAGTTAAGTAGAAATAAGAAATATCCATAAAATAATTAAATTTGATTGCATAAAAATATATAATAGAAAATGATAAGCAGGGTCATAATTATTTTTACTTAGGTAGGTCCTGGGGTAGTCCTTTATAATAACAAAATTTTTTGCTAAAATTTGTGAATTAAAAGTAGCAAGTTAGATGATAAATTATGGTAGTTGTTTCTTATTACAAAATTTTTGAATAAATTAATTAAAAAATTTAGTTTTAGTGTTATTGAGTCATACTGTATTATCAAATAAACACAAATCTAAATGTAGACTCATAATTTCTTTAATCAACAAAAAAAGTGTAATCTAATTTTCTTTGATTACAATAATAAATAATTAAAAAACAACTAAAACTAAAAAAGTTTTTTTAGAAGAACTTCAGGTCAAATTATATTTTAATTTTTATATAATTTTAAAAACAGGCAAATTATCTTTGCTTGTTTGACTCTTGCTTGCTTGTTTCAGTTATAAAAATGAAATTTTAAAAGCAAAAATTTATGGATAAATTAAAGTTAAAAATTTTGTATTATGTTTATATTACATAAATATCAAAAAGGTTACAAAAATAAATCATAAAGAAATTAATAGTCGTTTCTTATTACATAATTTTTGAATAAATTAATTGAAAAATTACGTTTTAGCAGTATTCAGTCATACTGTATTCAAATAATCACAATTTTATTGATAAATACTAATAATTTTGTTAATCAATAAAAATAGTGTAATCTAATTTTTTTTGATTACAATATTATCAATATTATATAATTAAATATCATCTAAAACTAAAAAAGTTTTTTTACAAGAAATTTAGATCAAATGATTTATTATTTTTTATATAATTTTTAAAACAGGAAAATCATGTTTGTGTGTTTAAATACTTGCTTCAGTAATAAAAATTAATTTTAAAAGTAAAAACTATGAATAAATTTAAAGTAAACATTTTGAATTAAGTATTTTTTACATTATTATCAAAAGAAAAGGTTGTTGCTTACAAAAATCATGGGAGATAAATTAATAGTTGCTTTCTGTAACATAATGTTTTAATAAATTAATTAAGTAAATAATTGTGTTTTAACTTTATTCATTAATTTTTTATTTATTACCAGAATTTAAATTCAATCTAATAATTTTACTTTATTAATTCATAAAAATAGTGTAATCTAATTTGATTACAATATTAAAAATTAATTAATTAAAAAGCTTCAAAAACTAAAAAGCTTTTTACAATAAATTCAGATCAAATGATTTATTTTTTTTTTTACATTATTTGAAAAAGCAAAATTATGTTCATTTGTTTGAATGATTTTTACTTGTTTATTTGTTTGACAGATTGTTTATTTGCTTGCTTGTTTGATTAGTCAAAATGAAATTTAAAAAGCAAAAAAAAAGTTTTGAAAAATTAAATGAAAATTATTTTGTGGAATTTTACATTTCTAATAATAAAAAAAATAATTTATTTTATGTTTAACATATGTAAAAAATAAAATGAATTTATTGATAAGATATTAAAATAACAACAATTTATAAATTTTAGTATGTAACAATTTCAATACACGCGGCATAAACATTTCAAGTAACAATCTGATTTTAATAACTCTATTAAAATATTAAAAATAAGAATACGTTTATTTTCCTTATAAAAAATACTAAAGTATTTTTCACTAAATAAGCCAAATAAATCATGAACGCTTGACTTAGACTATTTTTAATATTTATAACACTTTTTTAAATAAAAATATTTAGTTATAAATAATAGGATAGCAAATATATTTTCTTGTATTTAAAACTTATCTAAATAAAAAATAAAGTAAATTCTTCATTTAATTGTAAGCACATATAAAACAATCTTATATAATTAAGTATTTATCAGAAAATATCTTTTCAAATTTTTTAAAGGTTCCTTAATTAATTTTTTAATCTAATAAAGAAATATTCAAATAACTGTAGATCCTCGTTATAGAAAAGAAAAAATCATTAAACGCTTCCTCTAAAAAATTTTGTTATAAATATAAAAAGCTTGAATTATCAAATACTAGAAAAGTAATGAATTATTTGGGGGCTTACAGTATATTTTTTTTAAAAAAATTGAGCTATGAGTATTTTAATAAAGAATTCCATTTGTTTATTTTATTGACCTCAAAATCTTTTCATATAAGCATAAATTTTTCTATAATAAGTTAATTTAGATAATAATTCTGGTTTAAAGTGAAACTAAATTATTAAAAAACAAATATCACCATATTAATTTATCCATCTTTTAAAACTCATATTTTCATCATAATTTTACTTTAAAAACTTAGCTGTATTTCCTTATTTTATAATTATAATTTAAATTAATAAAAATATATAAATTATTTCTTAAATACAAATGAAAAGTTATTTAAAAGTACTAGTCTCTTCTCTTGCATTAGTCTCTATAGTAAACGCTACTACAGGTAAATTAGTAAATTGTTCTCCTACTGATACTTGTGTCACAACAGATTGCCCAAATTATGCTGGTGGTTCATGGTCAAGTGATCCAAGTTCAAATAGATGTTTCATTTCTAATTGTGAAGCTATTACTACTCCACCTTCCCCTTTAACTGACCTTTATTGTGGAACTTGTCCTCCAGATATTGGGTCAGCTGGAGCTTAGAAATATGCAAATACTTCTGGGGGAGCTTGTGTAGCAGCTACAGCATCCTGCGGAATTCATAGATCTAGTATATGGACAGATAATGATTGCGGTATATGTAACGGAACATCTCAAGGTAATGCATAATATGCAAACAGTTCAAGATCAAAATGTGTAGCTCCTTCAGATAGCTGTGGAGGTAACAGAAAGGTTGCTTCTAAATGGACAGATAATGACTGCAATTTATGTAATAGCCCCGCCTCTACTGCTATATATGCTAATCCAGCAGGAGATAGATGTGTAGCTTCTTCAGCTAGTTGTGGAGCAAGTAGACCTTCAACTACTAAATGGACAGATAAAGATTGTGGTATATGCAATGGTACCTCTGCTGGCAACGCATAATACGCTAATTCTTCAGGAACTTAATGCGTAGCTTCATCAGATAGTTGCGGCGGAAGTAGAGCTTCTAGTTCTAAATGGACAGATGGTGATTGCAGTTTATGTAATGGTACTTCCCCTGGTAGTGCTTCATTTTCTAATCCAACTGGCAGTTAATGTATAGCTACATCAGCTAGTTGTGGTGCAAGTAGACCTTCGACTTCTTTATGGACAGATAACGACTGTGGTTTATGTAATGGCACATCTTCTGGTAGTTAATAATATGCTAATACATCTGGAACTAGCTGTGTTGCTTCAACAGCAAGTTGCGGAGCTAGTAGACCTTCAACCTCTGTGTTCACAGACTCCGATTGTGGTATTTGTAATGGTACATCTCCTAATAGTGCCTAATATGCTAATACAGCTGGAAATAAATGTGTAGCTTCATCTGCAAGTTGCGGGGCTAGTAGACCTGCTTCAACTTTGTGGACAGACTCTGACTGCGCTTTATGTAATGGTACATCTGCTAATAGTGCCTAATATGTTAATACAGCTGGAAATAAATGTGTAGCTTCATCTGCAAGTTGCGGGGCTAGTAGACCTGCTTCTACTTTGTGGACAGACTCAGACTGCGCTTTATGTAATGGTACTACTCCTGGTAGCAACTAATATGCAAACCCAAGCAAAAAGGCATGCTAATCTACAATTCCTCCACCTACTAATTCATATAATAACTCATCTATATTAATATGCTCATTTTTGCTTTTTGTTAACTTCTTTTTCTGAAGTTTTTATTAACTTTTAACTGTATTTCTTTTGTAACTAAATAAATGTGTTTTTAGTTGTATCAAATAGTAAAGAACTTTTTTTAAATTGCTCATTTAATCAGCAGTAAAGTCATTTTAGAAAATTTATTTTGTTTGTTTGATAGATCATTTTTTACAGAGTAAAATAATTTTAAGTTGATAATAACAATTCATAAAATTAGCCCAATTTTTAAAGGATTCATTATTTAACCATTTATTTAATTGAAATTGAATTGATTAAATAAAAATGTAATTATAGCTGTTCCTGGTTTTAAAATATTAATATTTAAATAACTAAATGGCCGTTTACATATTTTTTTTTCTTTTTTAAATCAGAATTTATCAGATATACCTTTACTTAAAAAAACCAACAGAGTATTTTAATTAAAGTATTTAAATTGAAAAAATAGAAACAAAAAAAAAGATTTAAATTCATGTTTCATTCAAAAATACTTGACTTGAACAGCAAAATCTTCTATTTTTTGCTAAGAGTGTTTCGAAATAGTAAAAAAAAAGTTTTCTTTATTTTGATTAATTTTCGTAATCATTTTAAAATCAAATATAAAGAAAATAATTAATTAAGATTTATAACAAAAAAAATAATCATAGTTAATATAATAAAAACTTGAAATATCACAAATCATGATATTATGAAAGGTTGGTGATTTTCAAATGCAGGAATAGCTATACTAAATAAATATATTGATTAAAAACTGTCTAAAGCAATCTAAATCAACAGCAATACAAACAAAAATTTTAGTCAAATTAATGAGATTAAAATATTATCAAGGTATTATATAAATATTTTTTATTACTTTTCTGCTTACAATAAGTGAACTATCTTATTACTAAGGTGATCAAAAACTTAATTTTGAATATAGATAGATATATATATATATATATATATATAGAGAGAGAGAGAGAGAGAGAATAAGTTGAATGTAACAAGTATTATACTATATTTATAAGTTTATAAAAACTATGAAAAATAAATCTAAAGTAGATTAAAATTTTATTAAATCTTTGGTATATTTAAGATATTAAAATAGATAATTTTGACAGAACTATTTATTTATTTATTTACTTACTTTTTTTTGTTTGTTTGTTTGGCTCATATTTAATAGAAAGACTTTGTAGATAAATTAGATTTCATATGGGTTGGAATAAGTTAATTCTTTGTATAAATTTTGGTCAGTCGTTGATAGACTTAAATCAAAATAGATAATTAATTCGGTAGAGCTGAAATCATAACGCAATTATAAAGTCATAGAAAAAACAATTAATTTGTAAACTTAAAAGAAATTCATCATAAATTAATTATTGACTGATTCAAACATACATATTAAACTAAAGAAAGTTAGCTCTGATCAAAGTAAAACAAATGTTTTACATAAATATTTTATTAGTCTACTTAATCTTGATTAAGTATATTAAGTCTACATAGCCTGGACTAGATGTAAATTGCTCTGCAAATGGATAAACTTGCTAATTAGGTGACTGTCCATACGTTTTTCCTTTTGTTTGGATTAATGATAATTAATCCTGCTAAATACAGGATTGCTCTGCTTAAACATTTCCAGCGAATGGTTTGACAGATTTATTTTGTGCAAGTTGTCCACCAGATATTTTAACTACAAAATCATAAAAATATAGCAATGTTGATGGAACTTAATGTATTGCTTCATCAGCAACATGTGGTAATTAAAGATTGCCAAATACATGGTCAGATAAAGATTGCTAATTATGTTATTCGAGTAGCTATTATGCAACTACAGATAAATCTAAATGTGTAAAATCATAAGCAACATGCAGTTAAAATAGAGCTGCAAATACTTGGAATGATTCTGATTGTTCTTTATGTTCTCCTAGTACTCCATATGCCAATGTGAACTTAAGTAAATGTGTAAATTCTTCTACTACATGTGGTACTAAAAGAAGTACAAGTAATTTATGGAGTGATGATGAGTGTAAACTTTGTTATGATGATGGATATAAGGCTTCACTTAATCTATAAAGCTGCTTAAACTGTAAAGCTACTTCTAATTTAACAGATAAAATTTGTAGTTAATGTAATGGAGGAAATGATGGCGAGCTATAATATGCAAATTCTGAAGGAACTGCCTGTGTAGCCATAGATTGTGAAAAGGGGGAAAATTGGACCAACGCTGATTGTATAATTTGCAATCCTAAGGCGCCGTATGCTTCTAACGATAAAAGTATTTGTATTTCAGTTACCTTTAGTGGTTTCTTTGGTTTGAACTACATAATTATTTATCTATTATACCTATTTATATGAATAATGATTTAATTCATACTGTTTTTTACTGTTCTTATAGAATTCTAATTTGCACTTAAAATGTAAAAAATGCACTCATCTACAATCACAAAAACTAACTAAAGAAGTTTATTAAAAAAATCTTCTAATTAAATGTAAATAATTCTTATATAGAAAATGTTAAATCTATGCAGTTTTTGTTCTTTATTTATTTGACTCACTAAGTTTTTACAGGTTTAGAATCTATTTTTTATATAAATTAATTTTTAGAAATAGTTCGATTTAACTAAAAAGGTTCGAAAGTATTTATTTAGAAAACTTTTAAATTATGTTTATTTATTGTTAATATCTTTCGGGTAATTTTATTATATTATTTCAAATATATAATCAAGGTATTTTAAATTTTTTAAAAGAATCACTTGCCATTCGTTGTATTGGCTCAACAACTCATTTAAAAATAAAATTAGCAATATTAAATTTTGGGAGAATTAATTTATATTTTATCTCTTGCAAAATAAACAAAATATTTTATTAAAAAAAGAAGTAAAGATTCTCTAAAAATTACAAAAAGGAAAACACTTTTAAAATTTAAGCAATTTTTACAGTAAATAATAAATTATTTGCTTTAATTCTAAAATTAAATTATAAATTTATTTTTTTGATCAATTTTCTTTCTTTAAAAAGGAGGGTTAGCCAGTAGATGCAAGAAGTCTCTACCAAGCTCTATCTTCTGCCTTGATTCTTCTTCCAGATCCTTCTTTACAGATTTCGTCTAATGGAATATAACACAAACGGTTATTAACATGACCAACAGTGAATCCAGTAAAGCCTGCCATAGCACCATGGACTGCATTTTAAGCAAGTTATCTTTTAAAATTAAAGTTTTAATTATTTTTTTATTATTTTAATTTATCACTTACGTGCACATTTTTCTGTCCAAAGCATTAGCTGGTACAGTTCTAATCATGTATGTGGGATTAATGTATTTAAGAGTGACTTCCATTCCTTTCTTTTTACCGTAATCTACAATTTCCTTCTATAAGAAAGCACCAATGTCCTATTTATTTTAAAAAAGATATTCAAATAAATATCACTCTTTTTTCTCTAAATTTTATTTTTACATTTAACTTGGCATTTCCTGAAGCATCCTTTTCACCAGTGTTAGCAAATTGTGCATCTAAAACTGCTTCACCAGCACCTTCAGCAACTACAACAATACAATTTCTTTTGGATAATAATCTTTGATAGACGTATTCTAACACACCTTCCTCACCGTAAAGATTAAACTTGAATTCAGGTACTAAGCAAACATGAGCATCTCTTGAAGCATTAGTTGCCTCCATAGCAATAAAACCTGCATATCTACCCATAAGTCTGACAAGACCAACACCATATTCAGCACAGTGAGCTTCAACATGAGCAGATTAGATTGCCTTAACAGCTTCCTATTTTAATTAATTAATTAATTAAAATTATAAGTTTATATTTTCATTTTTTAATTTTCTTTTTCAAAATTTGCTATATTTTAAAGTAAGTAAATCAACCTATTTAATTAAATTCCTAAATGCTATTTAAAATAATACTGAAAATGTAAATAAATCTACCTAAATTTCTTTTTATATGGAGCTAAAAATAACTCAAATAATTAAATAAATTTTTACCTCAACTGAAGTTTCAAAACCGAAAGATTTATCTATAATTGGAATATCGTTATCAATAGTTTTTGGAATACCTACGATACTAATATTGAGTTTTCTGCTTCTAACTTCGTTAAAAAGAGCTTAAATACCTCTATGAGTACCGTCACCACCTAAGCAGTAAACCTAAAATCATTTTATTAAAATTTGAATATTTAAAAAAAGTGCCTTTTATCAAAAAATATAATTTACATGAGTGATACCATGCTTAACTAAATTATCAACAATTTTATCTTTATCAAAACCACCTCTAGAGCTACCCAAAACAGTACCACCAAGTCTTTATATTTCCTTAACATCCTTGACAGTAAGTTCTTACCAGTCATATTAGTAGAAACCCTTATATCCGTATTTAATACCATAGATAGTTCTTACACCGTAATTGAAGTATAAACACATGAATATTTCTCTAATAACAACATTCAAACCAGGGCATAAACCACCACAGGTTACGATGGCAGCCTTAACCTATTAAGGATTAAAGTAATTGTGCTTTCTAGGACCAGCACGAACGTATCTCTTAGATTAATCTAAGCTCTGGTTCTTACCAATAACAGCGTCAGCTATTTATTATTCAAAATATTTTAATATAATTCTATCACAATTGTTTATAAAATTAATTATAATTTTTATATCTAATATAACAAAATAGTATTTATTTTATTTCAAGTTTATCTATAAAACATTTATATTATTTATCTCAACGAGTCTTTTAGCATCAAAAATAGCTATGGACTTATTTATTATTGATAGGTAGGTATTGTTTAAACAGAGTAATCTCAATTATCATGTAAGGAATATTTAATAATTAGGTTTGCTCTAAATAGAATCTGATATAATTTATGCATCTTTATTCGAGTTTATTTACTTATTTAATTAACTTAGATTTGATTTATTGATTTAAAAAACTCTATTTTTTTTTGTTTGTATTTTTTTCTATAAAATGGCTGAAAGGTAAATTTTGAAAGTTTTCTAATAGGAATTGAATATCTTTGATTACATAATACGTATGAGCCAGTGTAAACGAATGCAGTGTCTGGAAGGAAACCACCACCACCAAAGACTTCTCTGTAATTGTTTTCACCATAAAGGGGAGATAGATGGCATGGAATTTCATCTTGAGGCTTTATATTAATTTAAAAGTAAAATTGAAAGTGGCATTAAAATAATATTTTATAAAATAATTCATAGATAAGCTAATAGCTGATATACATTAAAATTTATTTATTAAACTTTCATAGTGCTGGCTTAACTAGTTATGCATTATATTTAAAGAAGTTTTATTAATTTGTAGCATTTTATGTGCATCGTGATAATGTGGGATATTATTAAGAGTCACAGTTTGGTTGTTGCGACTTAAAATTATTTAATCAAATTTTAATGCATTGTTAAAATTAACTAAAAAATGATGCTAAAAAAGACAAAGTATTACGACTTCAATGATCAAGTTAGGAACCTTTAAAATATTGCAAGTTCTACTTTCAAGATTCTTAACTTCTTCCATGAGAGTGTTGCTAGCATTAAGAATTTCTTTAGGGATAGTGTTATCAGTTTGATGCACTATTTGAAGTTATTTATAAAACAAATGTAAGAAATGCTAATTTGTTAATTCAAATTTTACAGAAAACTGTTCTTTGCTTCTTGACTTCCTTTCTTTTGACTGTTTTAAGGCTTCCCTTTCTTTCAACTTTTTCTTCTTCAGTATTGAATTACTTCAACAATAATGAAGTAATTAATCCAGAGCCTAATGCTAATCCGGCTACGAAAAACTTGTTATCTAAATATAAAAATGTATTAGCCTTAGTAAGAAGATAATTTCAAAGTGAAATATCTAATTTACCTGTTAAACTCTTTTACAAATCCATATTTATTTATCTTTAGGTCTAAATCTTTTTATATAAACGATGATGATATCTTGATATTTAGTTAGATTTAATAGTCTTATTTTTATTTTATTTATTTATTACTATTTATTGGCTTCTTTGCTTTCTTTGATTTAAATAAAATAATAAAATAAAGGTTATCTATCTATCTAATTATTTTTTTTGTTCGCATTCATTATAACATACAGTATCACAAAGCAAAGAATTCTATGTTAAACTTAGTAAAATTTCATTCATATTTATAGAAATTTTTCATTTTTTTTTTAAGAAATGATGAGAGTTGTCTTCATTTATTTTATAATGAATAAACCAGCAAAGATTTTATTGTTAATGAATATAAATAATTTACTCATTCATTCATTTATATATTGAATTGATCTTTCACTGTTCTAAATAGCATTTAAGCATTGCATTTTCTTTATAATTTTAAAGGTTTTTAAGTATCTTTAATTAGATCTATTCATAGCTCATTCATTTCATTCATATTTCTTTTGATTGCTGGTAATCTCTTAGTTATTTATTTTTTTTCTAATTTTTAAAACGTCATTATTAATTAACACGCATTATGAAGATAAAGAGTCTTCAATTTTTAAATACCATAATCCTGAGAGGCTTCACTTAATTCTACTCATGAACTGGCTAAATATACTCTTTTAAACCTACATTTTCTAAAGCTTTTACGATTTTTCTGTGTTCTAAAATATGTAAACTGGAAAAAATGATTGTGTAATCTAAGTAAACTAAACATTTTAATAATATATTAATCGATTTTCACAGAGTGAATAATCAAATTTTTTTTGACAAAAAAACAAATAAAGCAAAAATAAAAGAACTTGAAAAAATATATTTTATTTAATTAAATAATCAAAAAAATAAATAGAAATTAAATAAATAAATTTATTTCCTTTTTAAATAATTTGTCAAATTAATTGCTTAAACTAAATAAAAGTATTTTAGGTTCAAATAAAGTTTATTTACAAGTTATATATTTCTTTTCTTATATTTTAATATTAAATAATATAAATATTCCAAAATGTATAAATTTTTTTGTTTTGTGGTTTATGATTTATAGATTTAACAATTCCATCTAAGTTAAGGATTGTCAGGCATGCTATTCAATAATATTTTAATCAACATTTGATTAATTAATACTTTTAAAATTTTTATTTATAATTTCACATTGATTGTCATTTAGATTTTGTTACTACTTCTAGTTACTTAGATCTACTTCAGTATCAAAATTTAGAAAATCTTTATCTGAATAATTTATTGATTTATTTATATCAATTTCTTATTTTTATTAGGTCATAGTAGTGTCAATTTAATTTAATTCTAGCTTGTTCTACTAATTTGTATTACTTTCTATTTATTCCTATTCTAAATTATTTACTTACTAATTAAGTATTTAAAAATTTTGTTGAGCGAGAATATCTTCAACTTAAATAAATTCTCTCTTTTCTTGTAAACTTTCATTTTTAGTATCTTTTTCTATATCATAATTATATTTATTAGCTTAATTTTCTATTTTTCTATTCCTTAACTCGTTTAATTTAGGAGAAGACCTTATTTCTTTATTTATTAGAATTTAATAAAATTATTTTGTTTAAGTTTGTATTAAATTACTTTAAAAACCAGAAAAAACAGCTTGTTGGTTATTTACTGAATTTATTGTTACTGATTATTTCTTTCTAAACTCTCTAGAAGGACTCAATTCCTGTTATTTTATTAATTAAATTTTTTATGTATTTATTCAAATAGTAAAATATTTTTTATACTTTTTATTTTTTTTTCAAATTTTATTGTTAAATCTAAAAATTTTGAGGTAGGAAAAACTAATTTTGCTCACAACTTTTTTATTTAAAATCTGAGTTTTTTTATATTGCTGAGTTAGGACTCAACTACTTATTATTCATAAGTGTATACTTTATAGGCTATTTGTTTTATTAGGCAGTTTAAAAGCTCAATTTTTAATCTTCTTTATCTAAATTGTAATGTCTACATTTTTATATTTAATTTTAGTGTCTTCTCACAAAAGGAGATTCACTTCTGATTTGCTCTAAGCTTTTCACTTAATTTTTTATTATTTCTAACTTTGTATTTTCAATCTGAGTTAAATTAAAAATTTTAAATCTATTTTAACACATTATAAATTAAATTATAAAAATTAACTTACATTGATTGAATTTTATTAAGTATTTTTTTGTAATTCTAACTCTGATTTGCAAATCGTTAATAAATTTACATTTTGTTGAAATTTTTAATTTTCTATTTTCGATATTTAATTTATAGATTTGTTCATTAGTTCTTTTCTATCAGATTGTCTGCTTGGAGATGCACTTTTGTTAAATTTAAACTTTTTATGGTTAGGGATCTAAACTGCAGATAATTATTTGTCTCTTTAATCTATCTTCTGTTGGCTCATAAATTTTATTTTATAAAACTGCTACTTAAATTTAGGAGACAGAATTTATAATTGTTATTCTAAATAATTAGCAAATTCATTTTAATTATAAGTCTTATTAAAAAAGCTATCTAAAAATCTATATTTAGAAAAGGATTTTTGAAATTTTCATTTATTAATTTCAAAATTACTTAGGAAAAGGAATTTGAGTATTTTAACTTAAATTTTCATTTGACTTTGATCTCTCAACAAACAAGTTCTAATTTAAAAACATTTAATTTATAAATTTATATGAAAAATTATTTTTTACTTCGTTTTTTAATTTTATTTTTTGGTTTTCGTCAATTTCATTTCTATTTTAAAGCTACTCCTAATTGCTATAAAAATTTATATTAAATTCCCAAAATTAAATTTTCTAATTTAAAAAAGTACTTCTCTATTTTATTTTCATAATTAGCATGAATTAAAATATTAGCAATTCGAGTCTTGTTTGTTTTGTGGTTTTTTTTGTTGAATTCTGAATTATTATTAATGAAATTATGATCTTTTATTTCTTCATTATTTAAATTTTAGCTAAATCCATTAAAAAATTAGTATTTTTTGGGTTTGATTGAATTAACTTGCTCAATCCATTCCTTGAAAAGTTAGTTCTGATAAAAAAAATCTTAGTAATCTAAAGAATCTAAAAACTATTTTATAGAAGAGTTTATATTTTCGAAAGAAAGGTCTTCATTTTGCTATAAAAAATAAATAACTATTAATCCTCCATTTTATATGAGCTGCTTTCGAGATTTTTCACTGTTCTACGTTTCGCCAGGGATGTATTTTTTCCTATCAAATTATCCACCTATCACCAGTAAAGATTTTGTCAAAATTTCAATTTATTTATCATGCTATAACTCTTCTGGATTCATATTTTCTTTGATGGAAATGTTTTTATTTAAAATTTAATTAGCTTTTTAGAATAATAAACTGCATAATGTGTTAACATATTAGTCAGGCATTTATTTTCGTTTATTCAGTATGATTTTACATATTTCATAACTTGCTTCAATCAAAATGCTTTAAATTTATTCTGGTAAGTCTTCCTATAAAATAATTGAATAAACTTTATCTGAATATTCTTTTTCAAGCAGAATGAGTTTTATGTTTGATTCCAATATTAGCTTAAACCCCTTAATATACCATTTTAGTTCTTTTTATTCTAACTCTTTCCAAATCTTTATTTTCGTTAAAATAGTTGTGAATGAATTTCTAAATGGATCATAGTCTTTAAAAGGATAATTTTAAATCTATAAATAAAGATGTTAATAAAGCTGTTTGGCTATCTGTTCATCATCTTTTTTCCCCATTAAATTTGTAATAAAATTAGTCTATGTTGCTCCATAAAACTCTTATCGAATAGTTTTGCAAAGAGTTGGAGTATTTTCATTTCTGATAAACTATAACTATTGTAATTGCTATTCTGGATATAGAGATGTGTTAAATGATTATCTTTGGTTCACACTAACTAAAAATTAACTCCAGCCACCCTACATAGATTCACTATAAATTAGCTCAAATTTGTTATCTATTAAATTAATTAATTAATAATTTATTTATAATAAATAATTAAAAAAAATATCAACAAATAAATTGAAATTATATTTTAAAGAATTTATAAAAATTATTATCAATCATGGGGGATTAGAGTCAATTTTAGAATTAACCCAAAATCATATTGATAGATAAGAAAGAATTTATTAAAAATCTTAATAAATTTAAAAATCATTAATTACCTCATTAAAATTTATCATAAAATCTAACATTTTTTTAATCAAAGTTTTAAAAAAAAAATAATTAATTAAATATAAAATATTTAAAAAGAAATGAATGATTTTTTACTTTTTCTGGGTTTGTTTTTAAGCATAATATCAAGCATTTCTTCTATCATTTTAGGAATTAAATTTTTCATTTCATCATTAGGAGTTCCTTAAAATTATAAAATAGAAATTTGATTAGATATGTAAAATACTATAAATTAATTTTGCTTACCTAGGTAAGGATTTGAATTAATTTCTAAAAGCCAAACTCTCAAGTCTTCGTCTATTAGGAAATCATATCCAAACAATTCATAATTAAGGTATTTTTTTTGTTGTACCATATTTTTTCTAGCTGCTAAAAAGGAATCAATGACTAAATCCTTCATCCTAGATATAAGGAGACTTTTAATCTAACTTGCTTTGTCTTTATTATTGAAAGAAATATATTCAAACAATCGATCAATAGGCAAGGTATTTCCAGGTTCATATAAACCATAATTTTAAAAATATTTTTATTAAAAATTATTAGTTAAATGAATATTTGAAGAACAATTATCTAGATTATAATCATGGCTGCTAGTTCTCATATAACCATCATGATAAAAAAAGATTTCATTTTTACATGTGATCAAAGCCCACATTCTTATATCAAATTTCCTATTTTTGTATAACAGAGGCTTTTCGATGTACTTCTAAATTATCCATTGCTATTAATTCAGCTTATTTTAAAAGAAATTTATTATATCATTCTAATTTTTATAAATCACTATTCCTCTTCCTTGATTCTAATTTCCTGGCTTTATCAACCATAAATTTTGAATGCAGTGCTTCATAGGAATCAACTCTGTTTCAAATTTTCCATTTTCAAATGCTTTGTATTTTGCTAAGAATTTTTAGAATTCGATGTCTTCAAAACCTTATTTGACTATAAATGTAGTTGGAGTTGTATGGAAAACAGAATACCCTACTTAGCCTAATTAAATTTCAGATAAATAAAGTTTTGAATATAGTTTTAAAGTTAAATTAACTAAATATTTACTAGATTACAAATTATGCTAATAGTAATTTCTTAATGACTTGATTAAGCCATTTTTGGTGCACATAAATTTGGTGTTTTCGAAGTGATTAACTAACTGATAAAGAAATAAAATATGGTTATTAAATATTTTGTTTTTATTAAATGGTTAATTAATTCATTTACTAATCTCTACTATTGTTCTAGCTCCAAATCTTCTATAATGGAGAATATCTAAAATATAAATTGGATTTATTTTTACATTTTATTCAGAAATATTTAGAATATTAACCTTATAATGAAAGTTCTATGAACTCCAAATAAAATCTGAGTTCTTAATTGACCTTTTTTCATCTTGCGTTGATTTAATCTGAATTATAATATTTATGATAAATATAATAAGTATCAAATGTCTTAAATTTATTACTTCATCCCAGTTTTATCTCTTTAACAAATCACTTCTTATAAAATGGGAACCATTTCCATTAAATATTAAAAATTTAAAATTCTTTTCTTCTTTTTAAATCTTCTTAGAACGAATATATTCCACAATGTTATTTGCATTATTTTACTGCATTTCAAAATTATATTTATGTATGTATGTATATATATTTTTGTTTACTTCTACTATTTTTTCTTTATATTAAATACAAAGCAATTAGTTATTAAAGTTAGTCAGAAACTTGCTTATTTTCACACTAATTTAAAAAAAATATAAAGAATTTATTAACTTGTAACGATATTATACTTTTTCATTTAGTAATCTTATCTATCTTACTTTCAAAATTATTTATTATTTTTCTATTAAATATCAATAATAAATATTCATTAAAAGAATCAATCAATCAATCTTTCTAAAACCATTTTAATTTATTTTTCTAACTAAAAAATGTTAATTAATTGAGTATTTTTTTCAAGGAAAGACTCAAATATTTTTAAATACAGAAAGCAGTTCCTTTTTAAATTCTGCTAATTCGCTAATTGAATATATTTAGAGGAATTTGCAAAAATATTAATATATAAATGAATAAATGGAAGTCTACTTATTTTTCTTTACTTTTTTAAATAAGGATGAATCTTACAGATACACTAATATCCGAAATTTCAGTGTATAGCATTGAAAAATGCAGTACCCTAGGGTACAATACACATTTATATTCATAATTAATTTATTGTGAATATTGATAAATTTACTCTCTCTTTTTTTAAAAAAACAACACAGCTAGCTAGATAGATATTTTATTTTCTTTACTTAAATATATTTTTTTCAACATATTGCTCACAAATTATGAAAGAGGATATTGACTAAATTATATCTAATACAATATACAATTAATTAAGTAATTAACATTATAAAAATTGATAATTATATACTTTTTTATAAATGTATTCTACGTATTTCTATATCTTTTTATATTTTCTTTTAATATAAATAAAATATTTATTTTTAACCATAAATACATTTTAAAAAATAAATAATTTGTTTATTGATTATTTATTTATTTATTTATTGCTTTGTATTAATTAAGATATAAATATGTGTTTATTAAAATTAATATACCATTAATATCATTCACTCATTTTTTATTATTTGATTTTAAAAGTGATTGATTGATTGCTCTTTATTATCTCATCATACATTTCCCCAACCATCTTGATTATTTTGCTAATCTATCTAATCATCATCCCATAAACGCTCAGGAGCTTGCTCTACAGCAAAAGGTAGTTACTCATTTATATACTATTGGTCAAACTAGGGTTCCTCATATATCTACTATTGGTTCATTTAGGGTTACTCAGCTTATGGCACAGGTTCTGCAACAGCTGGTTATACTGGTTGATTTTACTTTTATTCACATTCCTAAATGTGAGTATAAATATCACCTTAGGTCTTACCAAAATTTTTATTGCAAATTGAACAAAAATGTTCACCACATTAATAGCAAGTTAGGTGATTGCAGCCAGTTTCATGGAAATAAACTTAACTACAGCTAGGGCAATACTTAGCATTTGAAGGCATTTCACCTCTTTGCTAGTTATATTATTCCATGCAGCTTATACTAGACTCGTGAACTGAGTGGTAAGGTATTTTGTTGTCAAAGATACTTGAGGAACAGAGAGCATTGTTGCACTATTAACAAATAATAGAAGAAGTACACTCTGAGCTATTTTGATTATTTTCTTTATCTATTTCATCATTTTCTTTGAGTGTTTTTGGCTCAGTTTCAATTTCCATCTCCAGATCACTCTAATTTGTCTTATTAAATTGCTTTAAATTTGATGGAATCGTAATTAGGTCTTGACATTTAGGATAAATGCAATGAGCAAATTGCTTCTATCCATTTGAGTTTCTATAATTGTAAGTTATACACTTGACCCATTAAGACATTATAGCTTGAATTTCATACAAATTGAAGAGTTTAGAGAAATCTTTGAGAGAAATCGGAGCTTATTTGCATAGGGGACAGTAAATGATTCCCTTGAATTGCACATAATTATCTTAGATTTCAATCTAAATTTGCTCTCTCAAACAATCTCTGCAGTAGTTCCTGCAAGAGCAATTTGACAGAGAGAATATATGGTCAGAGTCATAGCAAACTTAGCAAAATGGCATTTCTTACTACTTTTCAGAGTTTAATTGTTTTGAAGACTGCTTACTTTTAAAGATTTCTTCATTCTTTTTCAAGTAGGAAGCTTTAACGAACTAAGTCATAATTTACTTATTCAAAAGCAAAAATATTTCAAGAGTAAGCTCCAATTCGAAAATTTTATCGTTTTAACTAAACTTTGAAATTCCTTTTTCTTTTATGAATTCTAAAAATTCATTTTGCAGAGAAGGATGAATGTAATAGCTTTATTTGATATTGTAGGAATTGAGATTACTTTGAAATGTTTATATGTCTCTTTCAATTACTTGAATAACACTTTCACTTATTTCATAAGGTATGTAAGTTTCGCTATTGCCAAAGTTATTCAAGAAAGTGAAATTAAATTGATTTTCATTGTAGAATTCAAATCTCATATTGATCGTACTGAAAAATGTGTAGAAATTAGGTCTTGTGAATTTTTTTCTGGAGACTTTAATGAAATCTTCTCTAAAAAAGACTTCTTTCTGCTTGTTTGACTCAAGAGCCAAGTGTCTAATTGGTCTAATTACCTTGTTCATAGTAGATACTGCTTTTTTCAAGTAATTTAAATTTTAACTTGATAAAATTATTTGAATTTCTTTAGAATTTTTGGCGTATTCTTGGCATGATACACTAATGCTGTTAGATTTGAAATTTTTGATAGAATTAAACTAAATTTAAAATTAGTCATAGAGAATTTTTTAAACATTTACACTTGTAAAGTAATTGAACTAGTAAAATAGTTTAATGTCAAATATTTCTTCTATTTACTCTTTCTTTAGATTTTATATCAATTTTTAAATTTCAATTATGCTACTTGTTCTGAAGTTAATCAAATCAGAATAATCATTGGTAGATTTTAATTTCAAATATTTTTAAATTTGTTTGAACATCTGCTGTCTCTTTAAGCTATGGTAATGTTTATTGTTTCTCAATGTATTCAAGAGATAAGTTAATTCTTCATTTTTAGCTATTTAAAAATCTATACTGTATTCAATTGTTATAGATTGCAACTCAGGTGTTTAATGAGGAGTAATTGATATGAATTATTGGTCAAACGTAATTTCAAACTCATTGATTTTGTCAATAAATTCCTTTGCAGATAATTTATCACTGAAAGTCAGCTGATAATAATTTTTACCTTAGTTGTCAGACTTAGAAACCATAGAGATTACCTTTTCAAATAAATCAATAGAGAGTATTTCTTGTAAGTCTTGCTATCTTAGATTTGAAGGTAAGTTGTAGATGTCAACGGAGATAAACTCATTTTACAACAGATATTCCTTCAGCTTTAAACCATCCTCGAAAAAGAATTTTATTTTGTAATTCTCATCTGCGTATTCTGAGATAGATTTTTGCTATTTGGCTGATATCCTTGATTGCTCTTTATGATAATACTTTTTGAGGTTTTCTATTTATTAAACAGTGAAAATAGATTTATCAGAAGTAAATTCAGAAAATTGCAGCAAGTTCACACACTTGATTTAAATTACACCTTCTTCAGGGTTTACATTACTGTGTAAGTTAAAGATCAAAGAGCCTTCTTACTTGCTCAATCTTTGATAAAAATCAGTCATCCTGTCAAACGAACCTAATAACTTCTTAACTGAATTTTATGCTAGTTTCCAAGAATTGTTAGTGAATACGTTTTATAAATAAATATCTGTGTTTTTTACTTGAACACCCTCAATATTCTAAGTGTAAACACTCATAAAAGTAGCAAGAATTTAATAGGATGTGATAGCATACTTAGCATTTTATAGAAAAAATTGAGTTTATTATTCAAAAAATTGAGTAAAATGTTTGTTTTCTGAATAAATTTTTTATTCATAGAGGTTTACAATAAAAGTTAATTTCTACTTTAAAGCGTTTTCTTGTAAAATGTAGAACTGCTTCTGACTATCACTTGCATTCTCTTTAAAAATCTAATAAATTGCATAATAACAAAGTAAATCCTACAAGATCAAATCATTTTCAATAATAGTCTTATGAATAACATCTTTTAATTTATCTCCAAGAATCTGTTGCAAAAGTTCAAGTACACTTGAGAAGTTCTTGAGAATAATTAAAATGTCTACTACTTCATCAACAACATATCTTCTGTGGGCCTCTAGCAGTAAAGAAACTTCTAAAGCATTTTAAATAACATTTTATTCATCACCAATAAGGTCCTTTTCATCAACTTCAAACTGCTATGCTTCAATTTGTAAATATTGATCCTAATTTTGCAAAAACTCAAAAAGCTTAAGCACCATTTTAGTAAAGTTAGAAAATTGAACACCTTCAATTTCTTTTTCAATTACTACACTGTTCTCTACCTCAATATTGTTAGATTTTTCCTCAACCTATTTGCTTAACTTAGCAGCAGAAGATTCCTCACCTATTTTGCTTTCCTCCTCTCTTTAATTCCTGTCTTAATTTTAGTTTTCATTCATTTACTAGTCTTCCCTCTCTTCATCTACATCATTTCTTTGATTTGGAGGAATATAAGCAGCTTAATCTTAAACTTAATCTGCTCTTCTGTCATTTTAAACATTATTTTCTGCCTATGGAGGTATTTATGCTGCTTATTATTATCTAGGAGGTATTCTGCCACCTCTTCCTCTTCTTGGTGCCTATCTATGATGTATTCTTTGGTTACCTCCTCTATAAATATTTGCTTATTAAGTGCCACCATTTTGCTCTATTTCATAGAAAAGACTATTTCTACCTTAATTGCTTAATGAATTATCTATGTCACTGTTTTTTAATATCTTCTTTTAGATTTTTCCAGCTAAACTTATCCTTTCCTCTTCAAAAAATTTCATTTCTATTTACAACAAACTAATTTTCTCAACAAACTAATTAAATAACTAATACTATATTTATATAAGTATCTATCTATCTATTTATCTATAAACTATCTATTTATCTATATATTTAAGTTGAATTCTTTATAAAACAGTAAATATCTGTCTATGGTTTTTATGAATAAATTGTGTACTAAATTTAAAAATCTAAAACCAATAATATTATCAATCAATCGCATATTTAATGCCATTTAAATTGTAAAAGCATCTACCAAAAATGTAGAAAATTTGAAATTGAAGAGGCTATTTATCGCCTTAATAAGTAAGAATAATTATTAATTAATAATGCCTCTATATCAATCTGTTAACAAATAAACTAGCTAGCTAGCCACTATCAAGCTACTTTTAATGAACTCAATTTAATTAGACTATTATTTTGAGCTAATATCTAAAATAAGAGCAACCAAGTTATATTTAAAAACGAAACTATCAAGAAAGCAGGATATCTAATAAAATAAGAAGTCTTACTTAAATGTGGATACTTTGATGCCATTTTAATTTTAAATTAAATTAATGCTCTATCTACAACATAAATAAAAATAGAAGACATATAAAAAAACATTTTATTATTTTAAAAATTCTAAATTTTTACAATGCGCTTTTAATTTAAAAAAGCTAGGATTAATGACAATTGATGATATTTACATTTAATTGAGTAGTAGTAAAAACAAATTTATTAACATTATTTGTGATATCAAATTATAGATATTAAAAAAGGTAAATGAAACAATTTTTATGCTTACTTAATTAACATCTGACAATTTAAAATAAAAATGTTATCTACAAGAACATAGATAGTAAGCAAACAATTTTACTGAATGTCTATCTGTAAAAATTTCTTTTATTTTGAAGATTTAAAGCTAAGATTCTAATCTTTCGAATTTCATAAAAGATTGTTAAGTTAAGCAAGTTATTCATTATTGAGAGTACCAACGTTTCTTCAACTGAAGTCGACACTGGTTGAGCCTTCAAGTTTATTTCATAAAACCTTGTAGATTATCAAATATTCTAATTATAGATTATAAATTTACTTGATATAAATGATTAATTTAATGATTTTTATAATAAAATTAATACAGTTTAAAGTACTAATTTTGGAATTGGTATGACCTAAGAATTTTAATTTATATCTTGTGTATGCATTTTATCAAAACATACATTTAGTAGCTTTTATTGAATATAATAATTTTTTAAACTAGAATTTTATCCTTAGAAAGCTAAATTTTTTCAAGTCAGTAAGATTCAAATTATCAATTTGAAGCTTTTAACTACAAGTTTTAATTTTTTTGAATACTTTTCTAATAGTAGAATTTCATTTTATTTCTATTTGCTTTTAAAAGAATAAGAAGAATTAATTTGATTTTCAATAGATAGATAGATAAATAAATAGAAAGATAGATAGATTAATAGATTAATAGATAACAGAAGAAAAAATAAATAAAGAGACAGAAATAAATGTAGATATTAATAAAGAAAGATAATAGAGAGATAAATGGTTAGCTTAGTTAATATATTTTGGATATTTATATTTTTATAATATCGGTAATCTAATTTTAAAATTTAGTTGCAGTAAGTAATAAGTAAATAATTATATATATATATATATGTATATAAATTTATAAATAAACTATTATTTTTTAATTGAGTGATTAATTCAGGTTTTAAATTTAGCTTTTGGGTTTTTATATCAAATTTGATAAGGAGAGTTTTTTTTTTTGTGGTATTTTTTAATCAAATTCAGAAACGCTACTCTGTATCTATTTGTGTAGTTCTTTATGTAGGCATAAGTTCTATTGCTGATTCTTTAACATTTTGTTTGCAATCTGGGCAAATGTTATTTACTTTAAACCATCTTTGAATACATTCTGAGTGAAAAATGTGGCTAATTGATTAATATTAAAGATATTTTCAAATTATTTCGCAAAATATAAATATTATTTTATTATTATTATCAAAAAAACAAACAAAAATAATAAAATCTATGTTAATTAGCAATTAATAAATTTTTTACTTTTTACTACAAGATAATCTAAAAACTTAATCTCCTAATTTATATCTGACAAAACAAATTGAACAATCGTTTTTTGAAAATACTGTTTACAGATTTTCCTCATCAACTGTTATTCTAACTATATTTTTCTGTTTGGAAAAAAATTTAAATGTGTGAAAAATGAAAGAAGAAAAAAGATAAAAAAAATACCAATTCAGCCTACTGATCTGAATTTTATTTGGTCTAAAAAAGAGAACCCAGAATTATTATTGGGAGACATAACATAAAAATAATTAAATTCAAGATAGGCAAGCAGAAGACCAAAAACCCCTTAATTTTAATGCAAAAATAAGTTACTGGTTATAATGTAATTAGGTTTGAATAATTATTTTTAATTAAATTCTAATTACAGTGAATAAATAAACAAAGCCAACTTTATATTGAAAAGTTTGTTTTAGATCTCCAGCTGAGTAAATTACAAATAGCCCAACAAACAAAAGGAAAACTTGGGTGCTTATTTATTTTATTAGAAAAATGATTAAATTTGTAGAAGTTGAAATAAAAAGAATAGCAATTAATTAAATAAAAATCATATAATTCATTCACATATAAATAAATAATCATTTAATTGAATTTTACGCTGATGTTAAGAATGAAATTGTGTTTTCTGTATTCTTAAATTAGACTTAGAAATATTTTTTTATTGTATATCTGTCCATACTTTTTATTGCTTACACGAAATCTATTTCTTCAGTCAAATCGTTTTAAACTGAATACTAAATGAAACTTGCTGATGGGCTGTCTTCCAAGCATTAAATAGAAGGTTAATTCACTCTTTGATTTTGTTCTAGTTTTTGACTACTTTTCTTTATATTTTGCAATTTTACTATACCATCAGCAACCGCTAGAAGAGCTACAAATACACACCAAGTAACCAGATTAGCTGTATTTAATTCTTGCTAAAGCGTTTAGTTCTTAATCAATAAGATGAAGAGCACCACTTTAAGAATGTCTATAAAAAGTATTACTTTGCATTGTAAAATATGAGAGTTGATCTGAGATTCTCTTGAAACATTATAAGTTTGCTAATCGTAGATGAAATGAGACATGATAAATAAAATAAATAAATAAAAACAAAATTAGAATACATTCTTTTAATTTATTGAATTTTCTACTAAATTCTGCTATTTAGAATGGTAGAGTGGGTCAAAATACATACGAAGCTAGGCCATTTTTAGAGTATATTAATTATTTATTACACTTTCTTTTTTTTGTTTATTTTGTTTATACTTTTACTTATTTATTATAAAATTTAGGAAAGAATTTTAATTTATAAATTTTCAAGAAATTGAGCTAGCAAACAAGCAAGCAAGCAAGCAAACAAACACACATTTATTTATTGATTTTAGAATGTATGTTATAGGTAGGCTATTTTTAGAACACATATTAATCTATTAAGCAAAAAATTGCTTTCTAATTAATTATTCAAAATCATATTTATTTTCTAAATATATATTCAGATTAATTACATATTTGTAATATAAAAATTAATAAAGCCTAGGAATAAGAATAAATAATATAAATAAAACTGTACCCTTTTGATCTTGTTAGAATATATTTTCATTTTCTTAAATTTTTAAGTATTTATTTATATTTATTTTTTCATAAAAGTTGAAGAAAGGCTTTCTTTTAATTTATAATCAGTTATTTATTTATTTATTCCTTAAATAAATTTATTGTTTTACATTAGTTATCAATTTTCAAGTTTATTTAAAATTTTTATGAATTTGTTATTTCTTCATAGCTAAAATCAATAATATTATCGAATTAAATTTGCTTAAGATTTATTGCAATGAATGAGTGTATCAGTGAGTGGCTAAGTGTCTAAAAAATCTTATTAAATTATTTCATTTAAAAATAAAATTTCCCATAAAATAACATAAATTCAAAATTTGAATTTGTTTTGTTTTGATTAGTTTTTTCAGTGAGCTTATTGATTGATATTTGAAATCTCTTAAAAGAATATCTATTTTTCCTTTTCTTTATTCTAAAAAATCATTGTTTTTTATTCTTTTTGAAACTAAATTACCAAAAATAGAAAAATTAACTACTTAATGAATATATTTCAAGCTAACATTTTCATCGATATAAAAATTGTATAAAAGTTATGAAATTTAAAAAACATATTTTCTAAACTAATTCTTTAATGAGGAAAAAAAGCAGTATTTTTATATTTAAAATATATGTTTGTTTGATAAACAAATGAATCAATCAGGATTAAAATTTATGATTTCTAAAATGCAATCTTTTATATAAAATACATTATGAATTCAATTTATTGTTAATATAAAATAAATTATGAATGCAATTTAGTCATTATAAAATGTATTAAAAATATTCTTTTTATAAACAATAGTTTTTGCTTTTAGTTTTTTAAACAATTTAAAGCTATTTTTTGAGAATTAACAAAATCATAATTAGTAAATAAATCAATAAATTAATTTTAGTAATAAAAAAAAAGGGATTTGATATATATTTAATCACCAAATTATAGTTTTAGTTGGTTGATAATATTTTCTATAAATATAAAAAGGATTTTCATAACTCTTCTTAACATTCAAAAATAGATTACTTACTTACTATTTTGTGATTTATTAATTTATTCAATTGATAATTTAAAATAAATCTATTTATTGTGAATTAACTGAAATTATAAACAAATTAAAAAGTTTTTAGGGATAAAGAAAGCCTTGATAAAGATTGAAAGAATTGTGATAAATAAGTAAACAGTAAGCGAGTAAAGAAAGAATTATAATTATAAATACATATATAGATACATACGTATTTGGAGATGATAAAATTAATATAAATAAATAAATTATTCTATAAGAGTACGTTGATTGATTCTATAACATTTTTTTTAATTTGTTAGACTTTTTAGAGAAAATAGTAGTAGGAAGTAATTAAGTAAGCTAGTAAATAAATAGTAAGTAATATTCGTTATTTGTTTGATTGAAATATTATCAGTTTTCATGTTATTATATATTTGGTTATTTTCTATAGATGGTTTATAGTATTCATTCATAGATATAAATGAGATTCTAATCCAACCCAAGTATTATTTTAGATCGACTACAATTCAAATCCTTGATCGTTGACATTTTATCTACAGACAGGACACGAATTATTAACTTTTAACCATCTTTAGATACACTCATCATGAAAATTGTGACTTTTTAATATAATTATTATTATAAAATTGAAATGCTATTTGCTAAAATAGTGAATTTTCTATTGATTGATTTATCAATGATAGTAATTTATTTGGTTGATTTGAAAGTAAATTTATTTGAATAAATAAACAGATTAATAAATAATTTAAAAAGTTATTAAATTCATAAATAAATTCTATTTACTTTTTATTGCATGGCAAAAATACTACATTATCTCCTACTTCATACATACTCAAACAAATAGAACAATCTTTCTTATAGAAGGTAGTCAGAATGTTGTCTTGAGTGACATTCTCAGCTTTGATAAGCTTATTCTATAATTTTAATAAAAAATATTAAAGTAAATACAAATAATCAATGTGTAATAAAAACCTATTTAAGTTCATCTTTTTATTAACTTAAATTAATGATATTTCTAATCGAAAAAATATAACCAAAAAGTAATATTGGTATACTTATCAAAAAAGCAACTAAGATCATTATTGGAATGCAGAATGTTAAAAATCCCTATTTATTTTAAAAGTTAATAAATATTTAATGTTTTGTAGTGATTTTGAAATCAATTCTAATAAATGACTTTCTTCATTAATTTTTATTACAACATTTATAATTTTATTGTTTTTCAAATTAATTCAACTGTTTTTATTCTCTTTTTCAGTTATTTTATTTTGTTTAAATTTTATTCTCAAACATTAATTTTTATTTGATATTAAATGCTTCTAAGTTATTTTGGAGTAGAATTTGATTATGTTTGGCTACATATTCTTACAATTTTTCTAAATATTCAGTAAGAGTTTTGAAACAGAGGAAAATTTATTTTTTGAAAACCTCTCTGTAATACTGTATTTCTTTTAACAACTAGTACGCTACGTTAGACAGATTTTAATTAATTTATTTTTATTTTTAGATGGTTCTAATTGCATAAAAATAATTTGCAGTAATTAGAAAGAAAGAAAGTTCATTTTAGATTTGAATTCATTAAGAAGCTAATTAATTAAATAATTACTATGAGCAAATATACAGAGGCAGTCTTGTATATGAAAGTCTGATTTAATTAAGTTTTATCGTAAATGACTAAATTTCCAAGGATGAAAAGTATTATGTGGGTCCTAATTTGATAAAATATAATATTAAAATTTGTAAAACTAAAATGATTATTTATCTATTTATTGGTATCACAAATAAATAAATAAATAAATAAATAAATGAATGAATGAATGAATGATTAATTCTATTAAATTTAGAAATACTTACAGATTAATCAAAATAGTCAGAATATTTTCAATACTAAAAAATATCTATTTTAAGTACTTTTTTGTCTTTTATACACTTGAATCTGTAAATAATTATAAAAATTCAATTTCATCAAAATCAGCACTTTCGACTGTAGTAGGTTGTGTAAGAGCTGCAGTTAAAGTTTCATCTAGGAGTTATAGAGATTGCTACTTTTTTTTATTGAGTCCTTCCATTTATATAGTTTCATTTCTTATAACCCAGGTTTTTAAGCAGCCTTCTAATAAAGCCAAGATGGCCATTTGTTTACACCAATTAAATAGATTTAGTATATCTCCATTTATATCTGCTTCAGTATATCTAAGGGCTAATGCAAACATCAAAACTTTAACTGCATCTAAAAAAAGAATAGCTTTATTAATCAAAATGTTCTATTTCATCTTCTTTTATTAAGGGGTATCTTCAACTTATGCGCTCTTCATTAAAAAGGTTTTTATTAAATTAAGAGTCAAAAAAGAAAATATAAATTTCTTTACTTGATCATTGGATGATTGAGGCAAGTTAGTAATGTGGATGTTATCATTATTCTATGGGGCAGATTGCATATATATACAAAAGTGGGACATTTGATTGATAGCTTAATTAGATTGTATTAAGTATTTAGTACAAAGATAAACTATGAGAGCTATTTATTTATTTGCTTTTTTATTGATTGATTGAATGAATTTATGAATAATGAAATATTGAATTAATCAAATTTTTTATTTCAATATTGTTTAATGTATTGATTTCTAAATTTAATAAATATCAACTATTGTATGAACTTTTAATTGCTTTTTAATTTGTCTGATTAATCTTATGACAATAAATAAGTAAATACTCTTTGATTATTAAAAAGAAGAAATTAAGTTGAATCTTCTCTTAAGATTCATTAATGAAGAAAACCTTTTTTTAGTAGCATTAAAAGTAAGTCATTTTCACACCCTTAATTTAATATAAGCCGCAAATTTTATTTAAAAAAAGGAATAAAAAACTTCTCATCGAATTTACTGTACTTTTCATTGGTAAGTCAATATTAAGTTGCTTAAATTGATGAAAATTAATTCATTTTAATTACAAACTATTTGTGACGAATTGATATAATTTAAAGCTGAATGTAATATTATATAGTTTAATTTTTCAATTATAAATCTAAATATTTTTTATTAATTTTTTGATCTAACTTATCAAATTATTGTTCGCCAAAAGATAGCATCATTCATGAAAGATGTGTTTTTTTTAATTATTTACTAAATTAGTGCGTTTATATTAAATTTATAATTTGAAATTAAGTCAAGTGAAGATTAACTAACTAACAAAAATAAACAAGAAAATAAGAAAAACATTAAAATTGATAAAATCAGCCAGCCAAAAACCTACCGTCTATTTTAATTTATAAATAAGTTTATTTTCTGTTAATTTGAACAAAATTTTATTTTTTAACACAAATAGATTCAGAAAATTAATTCTGAAAAAAAAGAGGTAAAAAACAAAAACTTACCAAACTTTTGTGGCTTTCAAACCACATATTTGAAATACTTAAATCCTTTTAATTTAATTTAGTTAATTTAACGGACAAAATCTTTTTCATAATATATCAAGAACCTAAGTTAAGTATAATCTCATGAATGAATGAAAATAGCCATAATGAAACAACAAACTGCAAGTATTAATTACTTAATTATTTATTTATTTATTTCATGAATTAACGTCAATCTGATTAATTTTTATGGATAATTTTACTTGATGAGAGAATTAAAGACTTTATAGAAAAAAATAATAGTTATTCAGTTAAAATATAAAAAAGGATTTGTTTAATAAAATATTAACTGTTTTTCTATTTATTGAAATATATCTTTCAATCTAATTAAAAATTATTAATCATTAAAAGGATACTAGCCAAACGTAATTGAATAGTATGTATGCATGAATGAATTGAAACTAATTACACTGAATAAATAAATTTTAGACTATCTGAATTACATTTAATATAAATTTAAATGAAAAGTATATAATGAATGAATATTAACTATTTTTGTAAATATGTTTGTTTGATTATTTATTTATTTTTATTGTGCTCAATTTCTAAATAAATAAATAAAAAAGCCATTTATTTCAATTTCTCAAAGATTTTTTTTATTAATTTGCAATAGATTTTTAAATATCCTTTTCTGAGCCTCCCTTTCTGTGAGATGAACGAGAAGGCAACATAGAATCTTTAACTGCATTTGTTAAAAATTAGTCATGATTATTCACTAAATGAGAAGTCATCTAAAATTCATGAAAACACTAATCAAGTCTCTCTACCTCGCTATTCCTTGCACATATCAAGTCTTATTTAATCTAATTTGATATTAAATGAATAAAAATATCTTTCAAAATCAAAAAATTTTAGAATATTAATAAATTTTTGAATAAGAATAAATATAAAAATGAATATTATAAATAAATAATTTTTTAAAAATGGTTGGTTTGTAGGTAGATTGATTACCTTCTCTAATTAATAACGAATTTGCTTTTCTCTCTCTTCTTTTTCATGCAAATGAATAACCTATTCTCTAAGCTGGCTATTTTCTTACTTCAAGTGCAGTATTTCCACTTCTTAATCTTTCTAAAGCTAGAGATTATTCTTTAAGTCTGTTTAATGTTATCTTTGTTTTATTCAAATTAAAATTCAAGGATCTGAAATATTTAAGATATACTATTCAAATAAATCATAAACATAATTTATCAACCAAAATTAACATTGATTTTCAGATTTGTGTTGAACTGTAACAAAATCAATTTACAAATTAATTGGGTAAAATAATAGCTAATTAGTTAGTTAGTTTTGTTAAATTTTTCTTTTCGATGATAGATAAATTTCTAAAAAAAATTTAAATAGTAATTTTAAATAGCTATTTCTTTCTTTCTTTCATTAGTTTTTGCATAATTCATTTTTACAATTTCTTTTTCTTTTGAATTTCTATGTAAGAAAATAATTTTAAATGAATTGTAAAATAGTTTGTTTACTTTATTGCTGCAGATTATTCAATTATCTCAAGCTCAAGCTACTTGCACTATTCTTTTTAGCGCATATAAACTATGTCAAGTTCACTGTTTCTTTCTTTGATAAGCTTTATCTCTTACTCCAGCAGTTTTTTTTATTCTTTAGAAGATTTGATTTTCTTTTCTAAATCTTTTTTACTCTTTTGCAGCTCTTCTATGCTTTTAAGATACTCCTCTAATAAATTACAAATTTAATTAAAAAAATATCAATATTATACACCAAATAATAACGCATCGCTATCATTCATTTTTTAAAAAAATATATCAAATCTTTTATATTTAAAAAAACTCAAATAATTCAACAAATTAATTGAATTATTCATGAAACAAACAATTTATTTTTCTTGTTAAATAAAACTAATAAATTTTTGAATAAAATAATTTTCTTTTATTGAAATAAATATAAAAAATTGTATTAATTCATTTTTTTGTGGTACATTTTCTTAATGTATTTATTTATTTGCTTTTGGATTTTTATTTTATCATAAATTTGATAATAAGTCAAGAATATTAATTAATACAATTTTTTAAAAATATTTATTGATGAATTTACTCTATTTATTTTTAAATGTTATACTTACTAGTAAGCTATTTGCCATTTCGATATTTATTTATATTAATAATTTGATGATTCTTTTTTATTTGTTTGTTTATTTGCAACTATATTCCTTTTTATTAATAAATTAAAATATTTACTTTCTTTTTCTTTGAAATCCTCAAGCTAAAATGATTATTCAGATTATTTGTCGTTTAATTACTTTAACTTTGAATCTAACTATTTTTTCTGTTCAACTTGCTAGTTTTTCAGCTCTGCAATAACTTTTTCATTTTTGAAGTTCTTTTATTAACATAAAATAAATAATTCGCTTTAACTAATCTTAAAAGAGACTTTTTAAATAATAGCAAAAAGCTCTTTGCAAGGCAAAAAAAATCATAAAATTAAAATAAAGAATAATTTTTATTAAGTCATAAATACTTACTAATTAATAAAAGTTGTTTTTTTAATGCATTAAAACCTAATTTTTGAAATTAAAATTGCAAATTCTAAATATAAATTGATATTTTTATGACTGTAATTTTGCTTTTATTGTGTTTCCAAATGTAAAAATAAATAGTTTAAAATATATTAATTATTACTTATTCTTATTCTTTTGTTAGTTCTTATACAAGCTCTTAATTATGCTTTTTTAGCTCTATCAATGATTTAGATAGCTCTTCATAATTTTAAGATCTAGTTTTAGTGAGTTCTGAATCAACTTTGCTAATTTCGATTTCTTGCTATAGTCTTTCGTTTTCTAGCTTTAAACTCTTAATTTACTCGTTGTATGTATATTCTTTTTCTTGCATCACAAGTTTGAATTTTCTGACTGTTTCTTCCATTTCTTATTGCATGGACTTTTTATTAAAGTGAGTGAATAAATAAATAAAATAAATATCTTGCTTGAAAATAGAATCGAAATTTCAAAAAAGCTATTCGTTATTAAATAAATAAATAAATAAAATGTTTGAAATACAAACAAACAAATAAGTAAATAAAAATATATTGATTGAAAGTAATAATAAATAAATAAATAAACATACCTAAATTAACTAGTTTTCATCTTTTAAATCTTATATGTATTTATCTTTATTCTAAAATTATCTTGATAGTTTTTCATTGTCCTCTCTCAATCTACATAATTCTTAATTATCTCTTTAGTTAATATCTTCAAGTCTGTTAATTATCTATTGCATGCTATCAAACTAAAGTTTTAATGTGTCTGAGTCTTGTAATATTTCTATTTATTTATTTTTATTTATTTTGATTAAGCATATGAAAAAAATAGCAAACTAAGTTTTCTCTACCTTTCAAATAAATAATCTCCTCCTAATACTGCAAAATGATTTTGTCTTTTTTGCTAAATTCGCTTCGCAAGTATTCCATCTATAAGTCAAATAATTTTAAATTGGTTTTCGATGTTTGAATATTTAAATTATTTTAAAGCTAAATTATTTGTGCAAATGTATGAATTTTAAATAAGATTTACCTTTTCTCTTTATTCCCTCAACTTATTAAGATAAAATTCCTCCATTTAAATCTAAGTTAATTCGTTTTTGATTGCTAAATCATTTTAATCTTTTTAAATGAATAATTATTTATTTTAATATCAACATTTCAACTAATCAATTAATTACTACCTACACTCCCATATATATTTTTAATTTGCTCGGAGTAGCTTTGGTTCAAAGTCTAAGAGTTTTTTAAATTTGGTGTTTGATAGCTGAGTCTGCTAGAACCCAGCTTATTGTAATCATTCTGTCTTTAAGCGCTTTTTTCGTTAAATAACTAGTCGTAGTTGCTACTATTAAGATTCATTTACATACTTTATTTTTAACTTGCTTGATTGTATAAATAATTAAAATAAGAATTGACTTTTATTTATTACTGAATAATTTATTCAAGCAAGTTGAAAAGATTCTCTTTTTTTAATTTAACAAGTAAAAGCAAATAATTATACAATAAAGTATTTATTTTTTATATTCCAAAAATCAGAAATTTAAACACAAGCAAAGCTATTCTATTTATTCAATCCCTTTAAATACAGTCAGGTAGGATTTGAATCAACAAAAGCTATTCATGTTGAAATAGAAAATCAATTTTGAATAATAATTTAAATTAATTAATTTTTATTTTTATTTTATTAATTTAGATTAAATATTAAAATCAATAAGAATATGATAATTCAAATTTCTTCAGAACCATTCAGTTAAAAAACTAAATTTTTCTATTTTATCAAAACAAATTTTTAAATCTTTTAAAATTTTTGATAAAATTTAGAATTAAAATAAGAAGTCAATTTAAAAACTAAATTTCAAATTATTAAAAAATAATCTTTTTAAAAATTATTTAAAGGAAATTAATTAATTTAATCAATTTATCTTAGTATTTTTGTTAATGTTTTATATAAAATTTTTGTTAAAACTTGTGTTTTATTTAATAATTTATTAAATTAGAGTTTATTTTCATAAAAATAAATATTTGCTTAATAATATTTTATTTATTAAGTGTGTTTTTAATTTTAATAATTAATATTTAATTAATACATTCTATTCATATATAGCTTTTAATATCTTTATTTATTTTGTTGATTAATTAGATAAAAATTAATTTATTTTTAATTATTCTTATTAGATAAATTTTTTAAAACTAACTTTAAAAAAATATTAGAAATAAAACTTTAAACATTTTTAATTAAAAAAATCTGTATATCAGTGAATTTTTTTTGTCTAACAAAATATTTTAGTAATAATTTTATCATTTAAAAACATTTATTTACTTGCTATTTTTTGAACGAATAAAAAATTTAGACAATATTCTAAATAATTTATTAAAATGTTTTTGCTAACTGCTGATTGATAATTAATAGAGTATATTTATTTATTGAATAAATGAATGGTGATTTTATCGAAATTAAGAAAAATTACATTAAAATAGAAAGAAATCTTTTACAAATATATTTTTAATTTATTACAATAAATAAAGAAGAAAGATATTTATTTATTTATTCTTGCTTAAATAATTTTTAAAAAGAGAAATTATTTACATGACAGTTAAATTAAAAATTAATGCTAACCAAAAATAAATTGGATTTAAAATTGTTGTATGTACATATGTATGTTTTTATAATAGTTAGGTTGTAGATATAAATACTTTACTCAAAGATATCTTTTAATAAATAATGTTTCCATAAATGGTTTAATTAACAATAACATACATTTTTAATTGAAAGAACGATAATTTCTTTTAAATTTGCAACAAGAGGCGGGGGTAGTAAATAAAAATAAATGCAAATAATAATTTTTAGTGTGCAAATTGAATGAAATTTCTTATGAATTATTTATTTATCGAAGGCATTTTAGTTAATTAAATCATAGACAAAACTTTATTTATAGCAAAAACAAAATATTATATTTAAAAATTGTTTGTATTAAATAAGTAAGACAACAACAAAAAGAGGAATTAAAACTTAAGTTGGCAAACTAATAAATAAAAAACAATAAATAAATAAATAAATAAATTTATTATAAAGAGTTAGTTAGGTCGATTGCAATATATATATATAAGCAAATAAACAAATGTCTACTTTGGCTTCTGTAAAAAAGGATTAGGCGGTTATCAAGGATATCATGAAGTTTAAGTTCAAAGAGCCCAAATTGAGAGAAACTACTTTGGATAAATCTGTTAGATGCATGACATTAGGTATTAAAAAACAGAATTTAATAAAGGAGTTTCTTATTGATGAAATTCAGTCAATAGATTTATGCGTTGATAGGATTTACGAAATCAAGAGATAACTCAAGTTAGAAAGATAAGAGTTTTTCAGAAGGCCTTTGACTTAAGCAAGGATAAAAGAAAAAAGAAAGAATGATGAGCACTACGATGATTTTATAAATGACTACGAAGAATAGGAAAGCAAATTGAAGGATTATGAGCTCGTTTATTATAATATTAAGAGTTAAAACAACAAAGCTACTACTTATGCTACAATAACTGCATCCACTGATGCTAATCCTGTTTCTGTTGCCGCGTCTTCTAAGATTTTGGGTATAGACAAAGAAAAGACAGCAGGAGAGAAGAAAAAAGAAAAAAAGAATTTACAAATGTATGGAAAATTAATTTAAAAAGACCCTGTTTTCAGAATGTACAAAACAAAAATGGCAGACGATGGCATGTTTGTTGATGAAGAAATAGAAGCACCTTCTTTCAAGTACAAGTATTTGACAAAGGATTAGCTTTTGCAATAGAAAATTGATAATTTACCCAAAAAGCATAACATTCCTGAAAAATACTGCAGATGCTGCAATTAACTAGTTAGGAGACATTATTGTCCTCATGACTACTGTGAAAAGCCATGCTTGAGATAGGAAAAAGAAAAACGTTTAAGATAGCAGTATTTGGATAAAAATGGTGGAGTGAGAAAACAGAAAAAACCACTTTATAGAGCAAGTATTTTGGCAAACGATATTTCTCAAGCTAAATCTGCTTTAGATGAAACAATGACAATAGAATAATAATAGGAAGCAGAAAGAATAAAGCAAATGAAAATTTAAGCACATTTGCAATAGTAAAAAGAGCAGGAATTAAAAATATAACAATTTAAGCTCTAGCATGCTGAGTAATTACAGCCTAAGAAAAAAGGAAGAAAGCCAAAAATTAAAGTACCTGAAGGAACACCATCAAATACAAATAACAACAATTAAGGTACGAGCTAAATAAATAGCACATATTAGCAAGCAAATCCTTCAGCAAATAATAGTGTTATGAAAGGAGATTACGATTCCATTTCAAAAGGTGATATGTCAATTGAGTATGCAGACAATAAGTATTAAAATATTATAAATAACAATTCTATGATGATGGACATTGAAAAGCAAAATAATAAAGATATACATATGGATCCCTATATAAATAGAAAGGGATCTTTTAATATACCATCAGGTGGAAACAATCCATATGAAACTAAAGATAAAATAGACTATAATGATTTCACTCACAAAAACGACTCCTATCATGATGAGCAGTAAATCTTATAACAACTGGTTGCCCAAGAAAATGTACAAAACCTCTTAGGCAGTAAAATTATTTATAGAGCAGAAGATTCCTCTTACGAATCAAGTAGCAGTGGAATCTCATCAGGATCATCTGATGATGAAGATAAAATTAAGATCGATGACGATTGATCAATCAATCAATCAATTAACTAATTAAATAAATAAATAAATATCACTTATATTTTTACTAATTTTAATATTTAAATATAGAAATAAGTAATTAAGTATATAGATAGGTAAAAAGTCAGCTTTATTGCATAATTAATTTTGTTGTATTTTCTAAAAATTTTTTAAAAATTGAAAATCTGTCTATTTATTATTTATTCATTTGATTTATTTGCTCGTATATTTATTTATTCATTGATTATATATTCTATCAACAAAAAGTTCTTTCAAGAATAAAACCCTTTATTTTTTTATGTTAGATAAATATTTATTTTTTGAAAACAAAATATGCAAATATTTGATATTGTTAGACAAATAAAAATATTTATAAAAATAAATTTTGCTTTAAAATCTTTTAATAATTTATTTGCTTAAATATCAATTTTCAAATCTAAATTATACTAAAAACATATAAAATTGTTAAAATTAAACTAAATATTTATTCTTATTTAATTATATATAAATAGCATTTGAAAATCATTCAATATATTTAAGAAATAACCGATACCTTAAAAAAAAATATTATATTTTTTTAATTAAAACTATTTTTTGGTCTATTATCTGTCTGTCTGTCTGTCCTTAATTAATGAGAATGTAGATAGAGTATATTAATTTTCAATAGAAATTCATAGATATATTAAGAATAGTTAATTTTACTACTCTAAAATTCTCATTTATATTTTAATGAGAGGAATTAATATATAGGTTTATGACCAACTTCTTTATATTATTATTTGAAATTAGTATTCTATCAAATTTATTTTTATTATTTTATTTATAAGATGTTTAATAAATTAATTAGTTAATTTTACATTTTATTGAGTTAAAAAACAAATAGTAAAATAAATAAAATCAATCTTTAAAACTTTAAATAAGGTATTTTTTTCTTTAAAAATTAAATTTTATATGCGGCTATATTATTATAATTATAATTAAATGGAAATATCTTAATTAATGGATGATAGATCCATTTATTTCTTATTAATTGATAAAAACATCTAGAAAGAATTAGAAATACTTAATAAATTTAAGCTCTTTTGGTAGTAAGAAAGAAAGATAGATAGATTGATTAAGAGAGATAATAAATAATAAATTTATATAGAGTTTAACTTGTCAAAGAAATTTACAATAATTGAAATTGCAAATAAAACTTTAAAAAATAAATACTTAGAAGTAAATAAATATATAAAAATGTTCATCATCCAAAACAAGCAAGAATAATAAAAGAAATCACAAAAAAATAACTAGAAATATCTTTAAGCAGTTATTAAAGCCACTTTGATTTATGGATCTTTGAAAGTTTTGGCTAAGTACTTCGCCCCTGCTGCCGAAGCTGCCACTGCTTGAATTGAAAATTAATAAAATAAAATAGATAATAAATAAATAAATAAATAAATTAATACATATTTACTAACGAGCAATCAATTAAATATGAATGAATGCATTGTTCCATTAAATTTAGCTAATATTTAGTTAGATTGATAGAAATAACAATGGGCAAGTTAGATTCTTAGTATCAAAATAAATCAATTAAATATTTTTAATTTGCACATTTATATATAAATTACATACATACGTAAAACAAACATACTTTATTTTGTTAATATTTCTTTTAATCTTAATTACTAAAATTGATAGCACAATATTCATAAAATTATTTTTAAAATCCAAATTTTTCTTATTTTATTAGATTTTCTTCTGATTTTCCAGCATGATTTGTTAAAAAATAATATTTTAGAATATATTTTAAAATGAAAATTAAATATATAAATTAAAAATAAATAAATTTGTTCTATAAATGCAATAACTACTTCCTAAAGAATTTTTGGCATCTGCTAACATTTAGCAAGCGATAGTCATTGAATTTGAAAACAAGAAAACAAATGTTATGATTAAAAAATACGGAAACGACTAATATTTTAATTTAAAGAATCTGAATCATATCAAGAGGATCAGAAAGTCTGAAGAAAACCCATCAAATGTCTAATTTTTTCTGAGATTAAAAGATGTATCAAGTAATTAAAGTAGATGTATAAATAATCTATAATTTATATTTAAAAGGATTTTAATGAAGAGGTAGAGTAAAACATCCCTGAAGAAATCAATCCATATTCTTTAAAAGAAGTGGAGGTTGCTGTAAACATACCAAGGACAAAGGTAAGCTTAAAATAATTATATGGAATAAATAAATAAATTAAGAATTGCCTTTATTTTAGTATTAAATTAATAAAGCTTTTTTGAATATACTTAGGAATAATATTAGCAATTTAACAAGTATTGGCCTATTACCTATAAAGTATAGCAGTATGAAATAGTGCAGTTTACTGATTTTGAATAGTAAGAAATTAATCAAGTAATGAGATAATGCATTGATTAAGCCAAGCAAACGTATGAAAAAAATAATAAATTTAATGCATGTGCCATTTATGATCCAATTAAAAAGAAAATCCTTTAATTTGCAGTTGATGAAACTTGCAGAAAGCAAAATAGCATTAAACATTGTACTATGAATGTTATGAAGCTATTTGGCTAAAATTATATAGTAACTGCCTAGCAAAAAGCAAGTATTGAAAAAGTCAAAGACAAACAAGATGGTAAACAAACAAATAAACATTTAAGCATTTGCAAATTGAAATTTAAAAAATATAAATTATTTACTCATTTAAAAACAAGATACGATTGAAGTAAAATAAGAATCATAATTAAATGCTAGCTAATAAGAAAGTATTCATAAATTATTTTATATAATTATTTGAAATAAAAAACTAAAAAAGAAGAAAAGTAGCCTGATACACTTGAATAAGAATAAGAAGAAGAGAAGAAAGATAAAATTAACAGCAAAAGAAAAAGTGAAGAAAGCATTGAAGAATCTTTATCATCTTATTATTATTGCACTGGTTTAGATATTTTCATTGTTTAAGAACCCTGTATTATGTGCTCAATGGCTTTAAGTAATTACTTAATAATATTTAAACTAGATATTTTTAGGATTATTTGAAATATTAAAAGCATTTAAATATTTATTAATTGATTAATGATATTTTATTATTTTTATTTCATAAAATAACAAACAATTTTAACTAACTATCTTTTAATAAATGCCTTACAAAATCAATTATGAATTATTCATTTAATTAGTCCATTCAAGAGTAAGAAGAGTATATTATTCACTTAAAAACCCTAAGCAGGAGCAATTTGGTGGGTTGAATGAGGATCTAATGATTAACCACATGGATTCTCTCAATCATTCTTTCCTAGTTTTCTAAAATGTAGAGTCTGAATATGCAAATACCACTTTGAACAACTTAAAGCAACAAGATGAGTTGCAAAAATGATTTTATCATCTCTGGCCTTTCACTAATTTCTTCATAAATTTACGAGAGAATCATTTATTTTTTAATATTTTCAAAGCTTGAGATTTTTTAACTTTATAGTATTTATTTATAACAAACAGTTAAAAATAGTTTAAATTATAAAAAGTAGAAATAAATCAAATTAATAATTTAATTTTTTAATTAAATATTTATTTATTTATTAATAATAATTGTTACTCCTTAGCTTATAGTTGATAAAGCATGGTGGAATATTTTATTGTTTTGTTGCTACTCTTTCATGTATTAAATTTTCAAACTCTAACATTTTTCATCCTAATCATAGAATTTTACCTTTTCTTATTCCTAAAATAATAAGAAATGTTTGATTTATTTTGATAATAAATATTCAGGTTTTTATTATAAAAAATTTGTTTATTTTTTTTTGCAAATGAAATATTATTTATTTTTATGCTATTTTATTACTTAAATCATCTGTTTAGTATTGAATTCAATGTCGTCTGTTAATTCTTTTTCATGTGCAATCATTAGAATTATATTAAAAAGCTTCATTAACTAGAGTTTTTTTGTCAGTTCTATATCCTAAGAAAGATATTCTTATTATTTTTCTAAGAGAATATTTGTTGCCTCCAATTCTTATTCTGATAAGTCTTTGCTATTAAAAGCTGCTAGTTTAATAATAAATTCTCTGCCTTCTTCAATCATCAACAGATTTATTGTTTTTTTTAGCTCCAAATTTTCAGTGGGAATTTTATAAACAACACCAAATATCCAAACGAAAATCTCATAAAGAGGATTATCTTTATCATAGGCTTCAATAGTATCTTAATTTGATAAAAAAAAATTCTTAATCTTTTAAATTTTTCAATTTTTTTTACATATTTATTGAGGTTGTAGCTGCTTACATGTTTCTATTCTTTTATTAATACCCTCTACCAACAAGCCCTTTTTTTATGTAATTCTATGTCTATTAAGCTCCAAGTTCCTTTTAGCTTCACTCAGGGCACTTATAGACTCAGCATATTCAAGTTTTTAAACATCAAATTAATGAACCAGCTAATAAATTAACATTAAATTATGAAGTTTGACTGATAATCAATCAATCTAATTTTATTTACTTCAAATTAGCTTTCCTTAAAATTGTCATAAATTTTATTTAAGCTCTGCTGCAATTCTTAAACTCTTTCCATAATTGAATGAATGAATGTTTGTTGTATTATTTTGCTTTAATTTAAATTGATTTTAATTCAGATTATTATTTTAATATGTTTTTATTATTTTTACTAAGTTAGCTACTAAATTATGATTCCTACTAACTTAGTTACTTACTTACTATCAACAATAAATAACTCAAATAATTACAAATCTAATCATTAACTAATATTTAATTTAATTTAAAGTATGTCATCTATATGTAGTTTGTTTATTATTAATTTCATAAATAACTTAAAAACAATAAAAAGAAAATATTTTTAAAATTAATGAATATTATTTATTAATAAAAATGAATTTTTTTTTGGAAAAATAAACTCTCATATCCTTGTTAAAATTATTTGGATTTAGTTTTTTAAAAAATAATCCAATATACTTACTTATCGTATAACTATTTATTACAAAATTAATATTTGATAGATTGATTGTGTGTGTGTCGATTCCTCACTGATATTAACTTAAATTTTAATATGAAAAATAAATTTCTTAATGTCTTTTATTTATAATGACATAATTTCTATTTCTGAAAATATAAAGAGAGAATAGATCGATAGGTCGATAAACAGATAAATAAATACAGATTATATTTCATATTTTGATGAATTTTTGAACTATTAATATAAAGTAAAATAATTTAAGATATAAATCGTCTGTCTAAACTCAACCAAAATTATATCATATGTTTGTTTTAATTAAATAAAAGCTGAATCCTACTTATTATCATTATTAAACATCCATTCCTTCATCCTTTTTGTATTAATAAAAAACCTTTTTATTGGATGACTTTTTTTATTTTATTTTACATATCTTTCTCCCTATCTTTAAGTGTCATCGTAGTCCTCAGGATCTTCCATTTCTTCTAATTAATTAATAGATGAATAATCAAAATATCATTAAAATTTAATTAATAATTTACCATCGTCTTAGTAGTTGTCATCACGACACTCCATACCAAAATTATAATTAACTTCATGAACATATATCTTTTATTCAATATTTTACTAAATTAATCTCTTTTAATAATAATTACTGCTTTAAGTTCTTCCTCATATGCGAGTTCTTCTTGCTCTAATAAATCCTTTTTTTGTTGTTGTTAACTTATCCAAAATTATGACAATCTAAATAAATTACTTCGTTGTAAAGATCGACAGGCTGTTACCAAGCAGAGTTAGGAGGATTAGGAATAAATGCTGACATGACTTCTTTTACTTTAACTTTAAATTGTAAACCTTAAAAAGGCTAAATGAATGCTTAATTGCTTAATTATTTATAAATTTATTAATTATGTATGAATTATCAGTTAATTTCAAATAATTTAAAAACTTAAATCAATTAAAATTAATACAAATTGTAATTAGCATTCATTAAAGCATATTTATTATTATGAAAGATTTAATAAAATAAATAAAATTAAGGAATTTATAATAGAATTTATTTATTTATTTCTTTTATAATTGCAAAAATGTAATTTATAATTATTTTATTTCTACTTGTTAAATGATAATGAAAATAAGAATTTAATGAATTGTTCTGTTAGAAATTTTAGATATAGCCAAGAAAAGTAGAGATAGATTTCAAACATAAATAATATATTTTTTAATTTGTAATCAACTGGTAATAAATGAATGAATATATTAAAATTTTGGGTAAAATAAATAATATTTTTATACAGATTTTCTAATTTTATTTAATTGTATTTATGAAATATTAAAATGATTAATTATTTTTTAGTTTTTAGTTGTATTTTTTTGTTTATTTTTTTATAATAAATTAATTTAGATTTTTAATTATAAAAGCGTTTGTGTTTGTTTTTATGTTGTTGAATTCTTTCAAATTTATTACAGCTCTTCTTAGTTTATTACTTTTTATAACTATATTTATGGGCTTTTGAAGTGAGTGATTTAAGTTTAGGGCATTATTTTTTCTCTATTATGAGAAGTAGGCAAGATATAAAAGTAAGTTTTTTACTCTTGATCATACTAGTATAGAATGATTTTGTCTTTTATTTTACTAAGTAGCTTAAGACGAAAAGGTACAATCTATATAAATGCTTTGTAGAATAAGAAAAGGAACAGGATGAAAAAAGATAAGATCACTAAGATGCAAAAAACACCGAGAAATATAACAAATCCTATATAAATATCCTTAAAGGCTCCAGAGGTTTCATCGTTTATAACAAAAACTTTTAGGGAAATTACAAGTATAATGACTGAAAAGGCCAAACATATTATTGCAAAAATTACAAACCAAATGTTACCAAAAGTGATTTATAGATTTAATTTAAATTTTGTTTCTATCACTGATTCAAATTTGTATTTGCAAACTGAACATTTATGCTCATGTGCATTTTATCTCACTTATTATTGTTAATTCGGCTAGCTTTTATTTTTTATTTCTTCTTGAACTACTTTGGCTAAACACATAGCATGAATATGATTTGATCCGGTGCAATTGCAATTGCATACAAAAGGATCTTAGGGTTTTTGTAAGTCACTGCATAGCCAACATACCATCGCAGTCATATCAGAGTACCGTCTCTCCCTATTAAGAACTTATTATTGCTCATTTTTTTCATTTTTATCAGATTGATTCTGATTTAATTCTACTTTAAAGACATCATTTTAGTTTTATTAAGTATGCCTGATATTATAGCTATTATCTATGTTCTGTAAATCTATTTCGCTCTATTAAAATGCTAAAAATTCTTAAAATTTCTAATCTATATTTTATTTATTTAAATCCTCCTATTAGAAGATCTAATCATTATTTTTATCACTAGGAATAGGTTAAACTTTCATTTTTTGCTGTTTTTTTTTACAATATTAGATTTGGCAGTATTTGATACAAATTTTGTGAAATTACTAATTTTGAAAGAAATATCAAAGCTACCAAAGTCTCTCTTTCTACTAATCAATCATTAATTTTTTAATAATGCGTTTAATATTTCTCGTAATTTAATTACATGACAAAATATTTAGTATCACAATACAATTTGGCAATAAATAACAAACTAACTAAAACGATGGCCTATTTATTTGTATAATTTAACTTACCAGCCAACAAAAAACCATATTATAAATAAATAAATGAATATAAACTCAAACTTTTTTCAACATATTGAAAATATATATTTAAAATTTAAAAAAATTCTGATTAATAAAGTATTAAATATAAAAATAAAATAAAAAAATTAATTGGTATTATTTATAAAAAACAATTATTAAATTGATTGATATATAAATAAATATAACTTCTTTGAATTGGTATTTTGATTATATATTCTGAGCTAAATAATATTTAATTCAATTTATTTTTAATAAGTTAAATTTAAATAAAAGATTTATTTATTGAACTTGACTTACTTTGTATTTAATAAAAAATAAATCTTGTAGATAAAAAGAATGAGTGATTGATAAATTTTTATTATTATTCTATGTTGTTTTTATAATTATTATTTATTAGCAATGCAATAGTTTTACATAAAATAGATTGAGCTACTTTGAGAGTTAAATTTAAAATAATACATCTACTTAGCATCATTATACAAATCATTTTTTCTAATAAAATACAGATGAAATTTATCTAAATTAAAACAAATAATTTAATGCTAAGTTGCAAATTATTTTAAATTAATTAATGTAATAATTAAATATTTTATTCAAATATATATTTTAATAAATTTATGTATGCATAATTAATTGTTTTAGAGTTTATCTTAATTTATTCATTATGCAAATAATTAATTTAAGGAGATTATTTTATATTGTAAGCGCTGATATTGTTTACATTGTCATTAATTTTATTGTTCATAAATGTTGCTCTTAAATATTAAAAAATTAATTATCATTTTTATGTAGAGGACTATTTTGGTATGTGCTGAGAGTTTGAGGAATTGCTTTATTTTCTTTTTATGTCAAACCGAGATTCAGGGTTTGGTCATAAAAATATGATTACTTTACTTAATCATAGGAATAAATAATTAATTTATCTTTTATATCACTTATTAATTCTAGTTGCTTTGTTATGACTTTATAGAAGGCCTTATAAAACATATAAATAGCTAGAAGTATAAATGATAACACTAGACTAATACATAGCACTATTAAAAAAATAATTAAACCTAAACAAATCTCAGAAAAACTTTCTCCTTCACTATTATTGACAATAAATACTTTATAGCTTATAATTATTAATCCAATAGAACAGCTAAGACTTATTAGACCTAATAAGAAAATCAAAACGTTATCAGTTGTCACAGAGAAATCAAAATGAAAAGCGTATTTTGTAATAGATTTGAATTTATATTTACAAATTGAGCAGATATGCTCAGTTACCAGCTCCTTCTTACTTTTTTTAGAATATTTTTTTTAACTTTTTTTAATTTCATTATCAGCTATTTTCATCATACAAGATGCATGAATTAAATTACTCCCCTAACACTTACAATTACATAGAAAGGGGTCTTCTGCATTTGGTAATTCTTTGCAAAACCAACACGTGTGAGCAGTCACATCAGAATTCAGACTTTATCTACAATCAGTTATTTCTTATTAGTTATTATTTTCTTGATTCTCTGTTTACGTACCATCAGCTATCAGTTAATTCATGTTTTTTTAGCTACTAAGATCTTCTTCTCTCTAAGAAACAGGGTTTGACACATTTTTGCTTATTGTAGAAGTTTAGAATGCCTAAAAATTAGTAACAGTACCAGCAGAATTTACCTTAGAAGGGTTTTCTAATGTATCTTAAGTGAGTTCAGTCGAAAAATTTGAAGTTTGATGAGTTAAAATAGGGAAAACTTACATTCTCGTTTTGTTTATTTATTTATTATAAAATTTTATTATTTATTTATTTATTAATTTAAATTTCTACGGAATTAATTTGATATAAATTAAGGAATAAGATTGAACATTTTGGTCGAAAACACCAATCTTATAAATTTATTCGATTCGAACATAAAAAAAATAGAAAATGATTTGATAATTTGAATATATTTTAAAGTTATTTAAGGAATTAAAATGATTAGATTTTTATAATAAGTACTAAAAAAATATTTTTATTATATTTAAACTTTGATGATTATTTAATTATTACTATCATCATTATTATCAAAGCTTGTATTTAATACATCATTCATTTTTAAATTTCATAATACTTTTTAATTTAATAAGAAAGAAAAAATATGTATGTTTTCATAAAATATTATTATAAAATACTTATCGAAATTATAAGTAAGTAAGTTAGTTAGATAGATTATGAATTACAAATAATTCATTTTAGTTACCTCTGATCTAAAATTTTTATAAGATTAACATTTTAAAAATATATTATTGCTTCTTGAATAATTTCAAGCTTTTTCAAACAACGTTTGTTTTTTATTAGTTATTTTTACAAAATTCTTCAAAATCTTAAAGAAAAAAAGGAGAAAAACACAAAGACTAGAAATAAATACCAAATCAATAAAATTACTACCAATTAATTCATATAAAATTTTTTATATAAAATAAATTTATTGACTGATAGAAAAGGATTTGAAGAGAATATCCATAATATAATAAAATAAATCTTTAAGTTAAATAATTTTATTTAATAAAATTAGAGCTTATATTTTAAAATCATATTTTTACTTAGCGAAAAAGAAGGAAGGAGTCCACTCAGAAATATATATTTGCCAAGCTATAAGTTCATATAATTAAATGTAGTCAATTTAGTTTCTTTAAAATATATTTCACAAAGAAATTTACTTTGATTCATAAGAGCTATAAATTAATTCTTTATAGATATGCAGTTAAAAAGTAATAATTACTTCAATATATTAATTAAAATATTTTATGAGTATTTGTAAGCATTTATATTTGTATTAAGTACATATATATATGCATACATATGTACAATGATATATATTTTTTATTATTTATTTGATAAAATTTGATTTTAAATAAATTGAAAATAGTAGATTAATATTTTATGCGCTTACTAATCATTATTATTAAATAAAAAATACTTTTTTACTTGAAAACAAATGAATTTATCTAAATTAATTTAATATTAATGAATTGTTGAGCTTAATTATTTTATAAGTATTATTTAAATTTAATGTATTTAATATTATAAATATATATTTTTTTTATAATTTATAGAATAAGAATGAATATATTAAAACTAAATCTTTAAATTATTATAAAGTTTAATTATAATTTATTAATAAAGTAGATAATTATTTTAGCTGGTTGTTTTTAATTAGTCAAAACTGATATTGTTTTTTTATTATTATTGATTTGTTGATCATAATTGTTGTTCTTAGATATTAAAATATTAAATATCATTTTTTTGATTAGGACTCTTATGCTACGTGTTGATGGTTTGAGGAATTGTTTTATTTTCTTTTTAATACAAACTGAGACTGAGGGTTTGGTCATAGAAATATGTTTCCTTTTCTTGGTCATATAAATAAATAATTAATTTATCTTTTATATCACTAATTAATTCTAGCTGCTTCGGTATAACTTTAAAGAAGGCCTTATAAAACATATAAATAGATAGAAGTAAAAATGATATCATTACAATTATACATAATACAATTAGAAAAATAATTAAGCCTAAATAAATATCAGAAAAAGCTCCTCTTTCATTGTTATTACTAAGAAATACTTTATAGCATATGATTATTAACGCAATAGAAAAGCTAAGGCTTATTAGACCTAATAAAATAAGCACAAAGTTATTGATTGTAACAGAGAAATCAAAACGAAGAGTGTATTTTATAATCGATTTAAATTTATATTTACAAATTGAACAGCTATGCTCAGTGACCAAATCCTTCTTGCTCTTTTTAGATTTTTTTTTTTTTTTGATTTCATCTTCAGCTATTTTCATCAGGCATGCTGCGTGAATTAAATTACTTCCCTAACATTTACAATTACATAAAAAAGGATCTCCTGCCTTTGGTAACTCTTTACAAAACCAACAAATGTGAGACGTCACATCAGAATTATGTCTTTATCTACAAGGAGTTATTACTTATTACTTATCATTTACTTGATTATCTGCTTACTTATTATCAGCTGTGAGTTAATTCATGTTTTTTTAGCTGCAAAGATCATCTTTGCTTTAAGAAGATTGTAAAACATTTACGCTTACCATAGAAGCTTAGAATGTCTAAAAATTATTAACTGCTCCAACTGAATGTATCTTAGATGGATTTTCTAAGGTATTTTAAGTGAAGAGATTTGAAAAATTTGAAGTTTAATGAGCTAAAATAGGAACAACCTACATTCTCCTTTTACTTATTATAAAATTTGTTATTATTTGTTTAATTCTCTTTTAGATTAATTAATTAATTATAAATTAAGGATGCTTTTTATAAAAAATTGAGATGTAATCCAATATCCATAGATTTAGTTGTTCAACCTTAGAATTATCATCATTCATTTGGTGTTTACATTACCATTCAATTATTCTTATAGTGGTAGATATAATACGCACTTAGTTATTTTTCATATTATTTAAAAGATTTTTGCTTAATCATTCAATTTTTAATTTTCTACTTTAAAATTTATTCTTTTGACTTTGAATAAAGACACACACCTAAGTTAAAACGGATTTTAATTTAATGTAAGATTTTATATTTTAGTTGATAGCTTGATAAAAATTTAGACAATCATAAAATTAGTTTGCTTCGAACTAAACTAAATAAAGAATTTAAAAAGATTTGAAAGCTTGTAAAAATTTGGAAAAAAGTAAATAATTTGAATTATTATAAATATATATATTATAGGCAGTGAAACAATAAATAAATATTTTTTTAATTAGATTATACCTTTGATTAATTTTTTTTTAGTCATGATTATTAATTTCATTCATGACTGGTGTTTATTTAATCATAAATTATTAGATTTGATAAAATATAATATACTTTAAGATTTAATAAGCAATTATTATTTATTAATTTGTAAATAAATATTATTTTATAACACTAATTCAACTTATAAATAAGCTAGATAGACTATGTAATTACTCTTAGTAATTTAAATTACCATTTAAAAATTTAAAAGAACTTTAATTTACAAGTATTTTAAAAATAACTAACAATGTATCAAAATATTATTCATTTATTTTGATATATAAATATATTGATAATCTTAACCTAAATAGATAGATAGGTAAAGATAGATAGATAGATAATCAATAAAAATGCTACCAATTAATTAATGTTAGTCATAAATTTATAAATTTTTTTGAATCTTTGTATGGGGAGTTACATAATTAAGATATAATAAATTAAATCTTTAAGTTCCAATATTTAAAAAAATTTTTTTGTTTGCCTTTATTTCCAAAATTTATTTTTAAAAACTCCCCTTGGAGAAAGAGTTACAAAAATGAGTTACAAATTAAATGAAAAATATAATTTTACAATATATTCAATATAAAAATTTTCAAAATTTAGGCAAAGATTCTAAGTTCCTCCTTCCCTACTCATTTGTATAAAATATAAAGGCTTTAATGAAATAAATATTTAGCTAATAAAAAAAATATTGATAAAAACAATTTATTTATTCTTTTATATATTTGTTGATTTAAATATTTATTTAAATTTCCATTTATTTTGACTTTATTTATTAATTATTTTTTCTTTTTGCACTTAAGGATATTTTTTATATTAATTCAATATAATCCATTATCTTAATCTTGCTTAACTGAAGAAAGCCTTAGTGATTAAGTTTTATTTACTGGATTTACTTTCTTTTTAATTGGTTGGTGATGGGTTTGTTTGTTTTTTTCTTTTTATTAATTTATTTAATAATAATTATGAATACTTAATAATAATATTTTCCTTATCAATTTGATAAATTTTAATTTTTGCCAAATTCTTTCAAAAAAAATAAACTTTTGTTTTAATTATTTTGAGCATGAAATAAAATCAATAAGTTAAGCAATATTAAAAACATGAGCTTCGAGTAAGAAAATTATTTTTACTTTTTCACATATATCAAAAATAGTTAAAAAATGATGATTAATTAGGAGAGTTTGTTTTATGTAGTTACGGAACAATTTGATATAAATTAAAAATATTATTTTCTCTTCTAAATTCATAAAAAAATACTAGCTTACTATTAATAATTAATTTTCATTTATTAAAAGCAATTATTCTTAAAAATTTACATAATTTACCTTAATTTTTTATTAACAATTCCATATATTGATTAAATGTTATAAATCAGAATTTTAGATTTATTTGAAATAAAAAATGAATTAATAAATTGCTGTTTGTTTTTAATTGATGAAATTATTTAGTAGATAAAATAAAAATAATTAACTAAAGATTTGTTAATTAACTTCAAAATATTGACGAATGGTTTTACTTTAAAATAAATTGAATGAATTATTTATTTATAATAAAAAGAAATCAATTTTATTTTCTAACCAGTAAAGAAAGAAAGAACTCATAAATAAATAAATTAAATTTATTATCTATTAAAGCTAAAATAAATTCTTAGAATAATCCAAAAATAAATAAAACACCAATAAAAAATAATATCTAAATTTAATAATATAATTATTATATGATAACTATACAAAATTATTAGTAAAATTTTTCAACTAATTAATCAATCACTTTTTATTTATCAATCATATAAGATTGAATTAATTTTGTCAAAATTATTTAATCAATGTAATAGATTTATCAAATTGCTGAAACAAAGAAAGATGTTTGTTTGTCAATAGTAATTTAAGATCCTACAAACATATATCAATTAAACTTTAGTTTTAAGCATATTAACATAGGTAAGAAAGTTAGTTGTGTTGCTCATTTGTTTGTTTGGTTTTTTGTTTTATTTTCATTAACATATAATTATATATATATATATATTACTTACTTGTAAAAATAAAAACTCGTGGGCAATTAATAAAGCTTTATTTATCAAAAAATAAAAGATTAAAACAGTCACAAATAGCATCAAATTAAGATATAAATTATATATAGTTTATTATAGTTTTTAGCTATTTAGCGAGATTCATATCTATTTAACTACAACAAGTAGGATTAAATTTAAGCAAAAAAGTTTTATTTATAGCAATAAATTATACACCCTAATAAGTGGACATGAGTACCAAGTTTTTTTTTGATCTATTTGTAAATTTAAATTTCATTTTATAATATTTTTCATTATCTTGATTATGGTTTAATTTTTTAGAAGGGGAATGACAAACAGCAAAACGAAAATGGCTTTTCAGACTTACTTGATATGATGAACGAGGTATCGAAAAAGTTACCTACGGCAAACAAGAATAATTAGGTCTAAGAATAAACAAATTAATATAAAACAGATATGACAATATAGTAGCAGTAGTAGTAGTAGGAAACAAATCAAGTAATTACTTATAGATTAAATATTATTTAAAGCAAAAATGGTTATTTTATAACAAATAAAAGGTTGCTGATTTCGATATTAATGAAGACGATTTAAATGATGGATGGGGAGACAATTTTTCTGACCCTGAAGAGGAAGAAGATAATTAAAATGAAGGAAATGGAAATTAAAGCAATAATTAAGTTGATTTTAGTGATCTTTTAAAAGGTTAAAACCCTTCAAGATAGTAGATTCAGCATGCAAATAAAGGCGGATAGTAAAAGAAAGACGAACTAGACGTTGTTGAAGAGGAAAGCAATAATTGTGACGAGAGTTAAATTTAGAATTAGATAAGAGAATATTAAAATAATTCTAAGAATAACTATGATTCTTTGAACATTAATGATGGTTTTTAATAATAGTTTCAGCAGAAATAAGTAAATGAAAAAATGCAAGGATTTGGTGGAGCTAAGCAAAGTTAGTCGCAGAATGCATTCAATTAGGAAAAGAAAGTTTAAAAAGATAATTTATTTTAAGAATAGCAGGAGAAAAAGCAAAATGATTAGAAGAAATAGAAACAAAAGAATATTGAATTCAGCTTAGAATATGTAAGGCAAATATCTGAAATGCAAAATTTACTCAACTAAGAAAAATTAGAGTTTTAGTTGAGTTTGCAGGCTAGATAAAATCATATTTAAATGTGGGAAGAAGATTTAAAACTTAGGCAAGAAGCTTTAGATAGGTAGTTGGATGAAAAAAATGCTTTAGATAAAAAAATTCAAATAAAGAAAGCGATTTTGAAAGACGAAAATGAGTAAAATTTTCTTTAAAATTAGTTAAAAAATTAAAAATAAATGTTTTTTTTAGGATTTTAAAGTTCATCGAGGCTCAAAAAAAGCTAGAGAAATTATAAAGCGAATTCGATTAAAGTTAGATTTTCCATAATCAATAAATATCTTCTGTAAATTTTTTTATTTTTATAATTCTATGAATGTTGATTTTGAAAATATTTCAAAAATAAGCTTTAAAAGGAGAAACTTGAGCTACAGCAGCATTTTTAGCATAATAGCTAGCAGCATGAAGCACAGTTAAAAGAAATTAAAGAAAAATATAGACAGCTAGTTTTAAAATCAAAATAGCAGAAATTAGCTTTTTAGAAAGCTTTTAAGCAAATAGATTTAAAAGGCAAGCTTAATGAAATGAGAGAGGAAATACATTCGATGATAGAGCAGGAGAAGGAAGAGAGCATTCAAAATTTTAATGATTTAGCATAGAAGCTGCTCAAAGAGAAATCTTTAAATAACTAATTTTAAAAGGAAATAAGAAAGCTCAGAAGTGACAATCAAGAAAAAGATATCAAAATTTAAAGCATAAACGAGCACACTTCAACTGTTGAAAGAAACCAAAAGGAATTTTATGAGAAACAATTAAAGCAGTTACAAGATAAAATCAATTCATAAACTAAAAAATATCAAGATGAGCAGAGCAAATCAAAGTAGGAATAAACTGAATTAGCCAATAAGGTGAAAGAGCTTTAAAAGCAAATTGATTAGCAAGTCGCTGAAATTGAGTTGTTTAAATCTGAAATAGAAGAAAAAGACCTTTTGATGAAGACCTAAGAGGACACAATTGAGAGCAGAAATAAAGAAATAGAAATCAAAGGCAAGGACCTAAAAACAATTCAAAAAAAGCTTTAACAAAAGGAATAGGAGAATAATTCGTTGAATTAATAAATTAAAGAAGCATAAAATTCTCTATAGTAAAAATAAGAAGAAACATAAAAGAATATTGAAAATTTATAATAAACTATCATTAAAGAAAAGAAGTCCTTTTAAATAGAAAAGGAAAAATTAAGTTAATAGCTTCAGGAACAGCTAAATAATGTAGAAAATAAAACCTTGACAATTTAGAAATTGAATCAAACAGTGACAGAGCTATAAAACAAGCTTAAATAGATTCAATTAGAGTCAAATAACTAAAGTGGTAATTAGATCAAATAAATTAGACAGGAATACGAATAAAAAATAGAAAAGATACAAAAAGAATAGCAAGAATAAATTAATCTTATTAAATAAGAGAATCTGAAAGCTATATCTCTTTTAACCTAAAAAGACTAAAAAATAGAATCACTGCAAAAGCAATTTAATCTATAACAATAAAAGTTAGCAGAGCAAATTAAGAAATAGAATGAAAACTAATAACTCATTCAATCTCTATAATAAAATCTAAAAAATTAAAATAAATTTAATAACCAAATTGTAAATGAATAACAAGATTTATAAGAAACAAATAATTAATAATTAGAAGACGAATATTTTTTATCAACCCAACAAAAACAATCTCAAGATGTTTTGAAAATATCGAAAGAAAATTAGTTCCTCGACCAAAATCAAGATTCTCATTTTATTATTTAATAAAATAACGAGGATATTTAAAATGAAGAAGTGAATCATTAATTTGAATAGGAAGAAATATTTTAAAATCTCTCATCAAATATTTAAAATAATTAAGAGGAGAGAGATAAATGTGCTAATAATAATAATAATTTAGGCTTAGAAGATTTGGAGATAGAGGAAAATGTTTGGGGAAACCAAAACAATAGTCAAATAAAATAAGAGGAAGAAGAACATGATGAAAAAATCAATTAATTGAATTAAGATAATTTTATATAAGCTAAACATGAAAGATCTGAATTTTAAAAAGAAGAAAATGAAATTTAAAATAAGGATTAAGAAAAAAAATATGAAACATTGTTCGAATAAAATAACTTTGTTGAATAAAGCAATAATTAGTAACAATATTAAGATTTATTTTATAATACAGTTAAATAAGAGGAAATATCTCCTATTAAAATGTAGTAGCAAAATAATTTTGATGCTGTTTTTGGTAATTAAAAGCAATAAGAAAATATATTCAGTAATTTTTAACAAAATTAAAATGGTTCTTTAAATAAAGATTAAAATGCTAATTAATAATTGGTTTCAAATATAGATTAAATATAATAATAATAACATTAACAAAATGAGGATATTGCAATTAATCATTCTTAAATAGAAGAGTTAAGTTAAATAAAAGTTTAAAATGATTAAAATAATTAACAAACTAGCTCTTCATAAAATGAATTATAACAAAATAATCCTGGCTTGAGTGAATCTTCTCTTAAAGATTAAACTATTTAATAAAATGAAGAATTTTAGGTATAAAAATAACAACATGATGAAAATAAGTTAGATGCATTGGATCTATTAATGAATAATAACACACAAACTAACTAGCCAAGTAAGAAGAAGAAGAAAAAGAAAAAAGGAAAAACTAATAGTAATGCACCAGTCAATTTGTTTGAAGAAAGCACTCCATAGAATGAGTTTATAAATGAAAGTAGTTAAAATGAATTGAAAATTTTAGATTCCAGCATGCAAAGCAATAAATCAAACAAAGATCAAAAATAATTAGAAAAATAATAAGATGAATAAAGTTAAAATAATAAATAGGCATAAAAGGACAACTTTTATAATTAATTCGAAGTTAAAAATGAAAATTGGGAAAACCAATTCTTCAATACTGCAAAATAAAATATTTAAGATGCCTTTAAAGACATTAGTAAAAATTAATAATAAAACAATGCAAGCAAAAATCAAAATCAATAAATTTCTTTTGATTCGAAAGCAGATTAGAGCTTTGATAAAGTGCTAAATAATTCTATTGATAAAAATAATCTTTAAAAGAAAAATTTAAATGAAAGAGAACAAACTCAAATCAGAAATAATTAAGAAGATTTATTTTCAAATATCTAGGAAAACAAGTAAAAACTTACTTTTTAAAACATTGAAGAGTTAAATGTTGAAGAAGATGCATGGGGAATTTAAGTTGAAAGTCCTAAAGAAATAGAATAATAAGGAAAATAAAATGAAGTACCTAAAGAATCCATATAAAGAGATAATGAGCACGCAGAAATAAAAAATGATACATTTTAAAGCAAGTTAGAATCTCAATCATTTTTTTAAGTAGAGTAAAATAACAATGTGCAGAAAATATTTGAAATTCAAAATGATTTTTTTAGCTAAATAAATCAATAAAATTAGCAAGATAAGCAATAAAAAGATGAAAAATAAGAAAGTAAAATAAATAAAAATGAAACTTAAAATGTTTAAATTTTAATCAGTGATGTTGATTTAGATGATAATTGGGGAACAAGCTAGCCATAGAATGATAGCAACGATAATAATCTAAAGACTTAAGCTATAATTGAAAGCAAATTAAACAATTCAGATCTTAAAAGTAGCAAACATAAAGAGGAATTAGACTAAAGTTCAAAGTAAGATGAATTTTCTTTGAAAGAATAAAAAAATGCTTAGTAAATATAAGAACATAAATTAGACATATTAGACTTACTAATGAGCAATAACAATCAATAGACAGGCTAAACAGTCAAAAAGAAGAAGAAAAGCAAAAAAGCAAAAAATGTTAATAATCAATCACTTAACTTGTTCGAGGAGAATACTCCTTAAAGCACTCAGCAAAATGAAACAAGTCAAAATGATATTAAAAATTTAGACAACAGCATTCAAAGTATAAAATAAAATAAAGAATAGAAGAAATAAGCATCAAGTGAAAATATTGAAAATAATTCAGACCTTAATTAATAATTAAATACTTCTACTCAAAAAGGCAGTTTAGAGAAATTAAATGAAGATAAATAAGACAATTGTTAGAAAGAATAAATTGCTTTTGAACAATCAGAAAATAAAATAATTGATATTAATAAGAATGATTAATCAGAGATCCAGACTGATAATAAAGAGGAACTTTAATAAGAAAATTAAAGAATTCATTAAATTGAAGAAGAAAATGTTCATTAAGAAAGTTAAGCTGAAAATATTCAAGAAATAAAATTTGACAATATAGAAGTTAATTAAACTGAAAATGAACAAAAATAATTAGAATTAATTGAAGAAATTCAAATTGATATAGAAATAAACTAGCAACAATAAAGATAAGAAGAAATGCAAATAAAAGATTTAAAATAAGAAAATAATTAGATAGTTTCAGAAGAAAACTAAATAAATGTAAATTAAGAAATTGACACTTAAGTAGAATAAGCTATTAACTAAGAAAATGATGATATCAACTAAAATAGTAATAATTAAATTCAATTTACTTATTAAGAATAAGATAATAAAGAATAAAACAATCAAGAAATTAATGAAGCTAACTAACAACAAGATACTGAAGAAGGAAATATTGAATAAACAGCTTTGATCAATTAAGGGCTTGCTGAAAATATTGAAGATTAATCTTAAGAATAAAAATAGGAAGAATTTAAATTAAGTCAAGATGATGTTTAAGGACAAGAAGATTTAGGTGAAAATCTCTAAGATAATTAAAAAGTTTAGGAATTTAAATAATCTGAAGATGATGAGACTGATGATAAAAAGGATTAGGAAATATAATAAAAAAGTAATGAAAATATTGAAATCATATAAGATAACTTAGAAGATTAATAAGAAGTGAATTAAATAAATTAAGAAGAAGAATTAGATGTGAAGTAAAATTAAAGTAATTTAGATTAAGAATTAAATGAAAGAGAAATTTAAAATAGCGAGGTATAAAACCATCAAGATGTTTAAGAGAATTAAATAAATTAAATTGAGAAGAAGAATTCTAATGAATAATTAGAAAATTAATCTGAACTTTAAGCTGCCTAAGGAAACAAGCACTAAGAATTTAGTGATGAATAAAATGATAATTAAGATTAAATTAATGATGATCAAATATTATAATAAGAATAAGATGAAAAAATAGATTTAAGTCAAGCTAATAATAATGACATTTAAGTTGATTTAAACAATTAAATTGAAGACTAAAAAAGAAACTCATTAAAAGAAAATTTAGTTGAAGATAAATAAGAAGAAATTTTATTTGAAGATAAATAAGAAGAAAATTTAGTTGAAGATAAAGAAGAAGAAAATTTAGTTCAAGATAAAGAAGAAGAAAATGTAGAGATTATTTAATAAGAAAACGAAAACAATTAAAATATAGAGTAGCAATAAGATTAAAATGTAAATCAATTTGAAAATAATTAAGAACAAAACACATTTGAAGATCAAAATGAATAATAGCAATTTAAGTAAGAATAAGAGGTATTAGATAACTCAGAATAAATTAAAAATGAAATATAATAGTAATAGTAATAATAAACTGAAAGTATAGATTCAAATTAAGATAATTAATAATTATAAATTAAATCTGAAGAGCAAAAAGAACTTGAATATGAGTTGTAAAATGAAGATGATTAAAAGATAGAAGAGTAATAAAATAATCAATAGGTAGATAAAGCTTAATCTTAACAAATATAACATGAAGAATAAAATATGAATGCTTAGTTAGAATAACTTGAAGAAAATCCTGTTGAATTATAAACAAATTAACTAGAGTCAAATGGTTAAAATGAAGAAAATATTGATCATTATAATTTAGAAACCGAAAATTTAGATAATTAAAAAGAAAAAGAATTGCATGAAGAATAAACTTAAGAAGAGAAGCCAATAGAAAATTAATAAAACGAAGATGAAAACCAGTAATTAAATTAAAAAGAGAATAATATATAGAAAGAAGATATTGAAATTACTTCTCAAACCAAAGAAGAAAAACCTAAGGAGTTAGATGAAGATGATTTACTTAATGAAGATGCAGGTTGGGGTAACTAAAATGATGATTCTTTAATTTAAGAAGATCAAAATTGGAAAGTGGAGGAAAACGAACCTCAAATTGAAAAGGACATTTAAGTAAATGATATCTTTGAAAATTTAACAGAATAAAAGGATTAAAAATTAAATGATTCAAATTAAGATGAAATAAATTGTGATTAACATTCTAATAACTAGGAACAGTAATAAATTTCTGAAAACCCTTAAAAAGAATGTTCAAATAATAATTTATAAGAGGAAAAAGAGGATAAAATAACTAATGTAAATGAAGAGAAAGATTAATAAGCCTTTGCCTAAAATGGTTCTCAGTAAAATAAGAATTAAAACGATGATATTTTGATTGATGAAAATGATTTGGATGATGCTTGGGGAGGAAATTAAGATATTTTAGAAAATGACAACAACTAAAATTTAAGTGAATAAAAGAATATTTTCACAAATAATAATTAATAAAATACAGCTGAAACCAAAGAATCAAATATTTTGAATGGAGGATAAGCTGATAAGTCTAAAAATGATTTAAAATCAGATATTTTAGACTTGTTAATGAGTGGTAACTAGCAAACATCGTAACTAACTAAAAAGAAAAAGAAAACTAAAAAAACAAACAGCAACTCATAGGCACAAATTAATTTATTTGAAGGAAGCACACCTTAGAGCTCATAGAATAATGAGAGTAGCTAAAGCGAACTTAAGAATGTAGACATCAGCATTCATAGCCTAAATATAAATCCAGGTTAAAAGAAATAAGATTTTGAAGAATCTCTTTAAAGTTTAGAAAACCAAGAAAAAGGCAACTTGAGTGCAACTTGGTCTTTTGATTAGGTAATTAACTTATAAATAGATTAAATATGCAATTTAATTTTTTTTTTTTATTTACAAATAATTTATATTTTTTTATTAGTAATAGAATGATAGCATGGTATAAGCAAAGAAAAAAGTTAAGAAGAAAAAAACTGTAGTTGACTTAAATGTTAAACAGGTCACCCAATTCATAGTAAAAGCAGAGCCTAAAAATCCTTTCTTAGATTAGCCTAAAGATAAAGACAAAGAGGATGATCCAGATTTCTTTGCAAATTTCTGAATGAATCTTAAATTAAATTGTAATAAACAGCAAATAAAATTTTTTATAATTTCTTTAATTTGTGAATTATGAAATATGTGTTGTAAAATATCTCACTAAAAATTCTTAGATAATCAATTTACTTATTAAATATGTTTAATCTTATATTACCTACATAAAGAGAAATGATAAATATTGAATTTTATTTACAATTAAATTGTTAAAAAGATTAGTTAAGCTATTTACTAAAATAATTTTATCTATTAAAAATAAATAGAGAAACAATTTAATTATTTAATTTTACATTTAAAAGGTGTTATCGTTATCCATATTTTCTTGTAATTATGTTCCCTTTATCCTTTAATATGTTATATATTTATAGATGGAATTAGGAAAAAAATTTTTTTCGTTAAAAAAGATGAATTTCCAAAAAAAATTCTTAGTTTTTTCTAAAATTTCTGCAAAATCTGGGACACTAATTCCAAGTATGGTTATATATAATTCATAAAATTTAAAAAGAAATAATTATTTTTAACTTTAACTAAGAAATATATAGCAGATATTCATTTTAATCAAATTAACTTATGTATTATTAATAAATAAACATATAAATAAATACAATGATATTAATATTTAGATGGAGAGAAGGATATATAGTTAGTAAGTTATTTATATATTTAAAGTTATTTATTTTTTAATGATTTTATTTCAATTTAATGGTTTAAATAAATTTAAATATCTCTTTCTTTGTTTCTATAAATAGAAAATGAATGATCATTTAGTAATTTTTTTAAATTGAGATAAAAAATGGTTAGTTAGTTAGTTAGTTTGAAACTTTTATTTATTTTTTGGGTTATTCTTTTTATTTAATTATTTTTTTCTCTTAATTTATATTTGTTTTTTTGTAAGTTGAAATAAAATTAATTGTTTAGATTGAAAAAATAAATTGGTATTTTTCATTGTTTTGGTTACTCTTCTGGTTCTGGTTGGTTAATTTTTATATTTTGTTAGCTCCTTTTTTCTAAAATTCTTTGCATTGTTACTGAGATAGTGCTTTTAGAATTTTTGGCATTAGAGTTGTTAGATGCATCTTATTATTTGTCTTTAGACTTTTCTTATCTCTTGTTTATAAGTTTCTAATAAGTTTATGATAGCTGCTATCTGCTATGAGAAATTTTTTCGGTACTATTAAGGCGTATTGAAGTCTAAGAATCTTATTATAATTTACTCTAATTATCTTTATCTTCTTAAATATCTATTGGTTCTTTTGGTTCTTATATTTATGGTACTTCTTGGATGGGTTAAGGAGGATTTAGTTTAACTTAGGGTTATTTTTTTCTATCTTAAATTTGAGAGATTTGATCGAATATATCTCCAGAATTTTAATTTATATCTGACTATGGTTTAATGTATGATTTTTGTTGATTTTCGTCTACAATATTATTAAGAGTTTGAATGGATGCCCATGGGATATAATTTGTTTCTTCTTTTTTAATTACTCTTAGCTTTTGTCTCGCATTATACTCTCTCATTTATATTTCATCTTCTCTTAAAGTAGATTTTATCATTCCTTTCTATTTGATGTGTTCATCAACAAATTAATTCACCACAACATCTTCCTCTATTTAATCCAGTTACTTCTCCTTTAAATGTAGTTTTGGGATTACAAAATTTTCATAAGTGATATTCTTTCCTAATATAAACAAAATCAAAAAATATAAAAAACTTATTCAAATAATCGAATTTTTTTACCTAATTGATAATCCTGTTTTAAATAGACTTCTGCAAACAAAAAGCAATCACTCAAAAAAGGAAAACCTGTTTAAAATATTGCATGCGGTATATGATTCTTCGAGTAAAGAGGAAGCTTAAAGCAACCTTACAATAACTTTTTATCTTCAGTAAACAGAGTATGAAGAGTCCAAGACCACTATTTAGGTTCTTTAACCTATAAAAACAAAAATTAAAGTGAAAAATTAATTCTAATTTATCTAAATGTTTAATATTTATTTTTTTTGAAATTTATAAAACTCAATCTATTAATTAATGCCATGATTTTGTAATCACCATAAATTATTTAATGGAAATATCTAATTTAATTTTGATTGAAGTTTATTTCGCATATTAAAATATAAGTAGAATAATAAATAAAATGATTGTTTGTTTCAATCAAAATATTTCAATATATATTTCTTATAAAATATAATATCAAAAATTTAGCTGATTTATTATTTTTAATTGTTATAAAATGATATCTTGAATAATTTATTTAAATTAAAATATTATTTTAATAGTTATTAATGTAAAATTTAGCAAAATAAAAAAATATGTTTAAAAAATGGTTCAAAGATTTACAAAATTTAATAAAATTTGAATTTCAAAAATAATACTTTTTAATTGAAAATATATTTTTTATAATTAATTATTTGTTTATTTGTAATGATAATGCTAAAATAAAATTACATTTTTGCTATAGACTTTGACATCAAAATAAATGAAGGTAAAGATAGTTGGGTAAATGTTTCTAAATGTTTCTTCAAAATTGATATTGCATTTATTGAATTTCCAATTGTAAGATACAGTAGCAAGCTATTCGGTTGATCTATATGTCTTAAGCAAGTCTCCTTTTCTAAATATTCCGTAATCAATTTAAATGCTATCAACATCATTAGGAATTTTTTCGAGCAAGTGGAATCTCACTGAAAATCCATCGCTTTAATTATACACCACTGATTCAATATTTTGATCTTGCATAATTTGAATTTAGCTTTTAATTTGTTGGCTCTTTATAAATAAATAAATAAAAAAATACTTTAATGAGTTTTTGTTCTTACAAATTTATACTTACTTCTTATTCTCTAAGATTTTATATCAAAGTAGAAACTATTTTCAAATGATTTAACTTTAGTTGTTTTTATTAACTGTTATTATTATTCATTTTTGAAATCTATTGCAACAAATCTGATTCTTAATTCACTAAATACTTCAGCAGAGAAGCGTTTTGATCCTTTTAATTTGGATTATAGTTTAAATGAGGGAAAAACTTTTGATACTCTTAAATTGATTGCTATAGGGAAGTTTCCTTTTAACTTAATGATCTCTCAGAACTCAACTGGCCAAGGTTTTCATAAGCATTGTTATTGCTATTATTTCTGACAAAATTAAATGCTAAATTAATATCATTTATCTTGTTCATATTATTTTTTGGTATATTCTACTAAGATTTATACTCATTTAATTCTCTCACATCTGCATAGCTTTACTTGATATTTTTCTGATATCCATTAGATAATGTTTAGCTAGGTGCTTTATTTTTTTTAAATTGTAGTAAAGTAATACAATTCATATTAAAAAATTACATGAGAATATGTTATCGCTTTGGTTTCTTACAAATGATGAACGGATATCTTTGGAACTCTGTTACTGTAGTATCTTTATAATTAAAAGGGATAGTTAAAAAATAGAGTTAAAATTGCAAGCAAATTAAATAATAATAACAAAAAATATCTACATTTTGATTTGCCATCATTTTAAAAGGAGAGTTGTAAGATTCTTATCTATTAAATTTATCAGCTTTTGTAATTATTTCATTTATTTTCTTGTTTTATTTTAATCATTCAATCAAAAACTAAACTATTACAATCGGAATTTTGAGAAAATCTCTAAGAATTTAGAACTGGAGATCTGTAATCTAAATCTTCATAGCTTCCAATATTGAACGTATTGATTTCTGATTTAGACTGTCTTTGAAGGAACATTTTGTTTGAAGAAATTTGTAATTGGATTTTTTGTTGAAACAATCTTCAATATATCTATCTATCTATCAGTGAATCAATCAATCAATTTTATATATTATCTTAAAAAGAAAACTTTCTCTTGAATCCTTATTTTAATAATTAATATTTTTTCTTAATAAATGTATTATGGTATTAAAAATATAATTACTATAAATCATGATTACAATTCGATTGATGATTATTTTTTTTGCTCTTCTAATAAAATATCAACAGTAATTAATTACTTACCATTACATTTATAATTTAAGCAACTCGAAATATACAAAATCTAATAATTTTACTTACGACTCTCACTTATTATTTTAATGCCAGTAATATTTGACATTATTTGTTTGGATTTGTTATTTTACTTTATTTCAAAGTTTTTTAAAAAAATTAATTTGTAGTAAGATTAAAAAAATGAAAAGGAAAGCCAACTAGTACTAAAATTATATCAATTTATTTGTTAAGATATTTAGATTATTGGTTTTTGTATACATGGTTGTTTTTCAATTATAATTTAATTTAATAACGAAGGAAGGAAGTTCTACAAGTCAATTATTGAATCTTTTAAATAAAAATTTGTGGAATTAAAGAAAATTGTTTAATTTTTTATTTAATTTCAAAATTCTTTTAAATCCATTAAGTCAATAGAAAGGATTTAGATTTTTAAAATTAGAACAATAACAAAATATAATTACAACTCTCGAAAAATAAATATTTTAGAACAAACAAACAAACAAATCTTACTTTTGTAAATTATAATTTTTCAATCAATTTATTTTAAATTTAAATATTTAATTTTATATTTAAAAACAACAAATAAACTTAATTTTTTATGTAAAATGTTTTTAAATAAATATCAATTATGTGTTCAATTTAGGAAATTATGTTTTAAAAGGAAGGTTTTTAGTAAATTAATTAAAGTTTTTAGTTTAGATTTCACTTTTGTTCTAAACCTCAAAGCACCAAATTTTTTAGAGCCAAAAATATCACATATCCCTGCCTTCTTTTTATTTTAATAGTATTTTTTTAAATGTTTAATATAGCCTTAACTATTGTTATTTTTAGTATATTTTAAATAAAATATGGAACAAAAAAAATGTTCTAATGTAATGTACAAAACTATTAATTAGCATATGATTTGAAAATATTTTGGAGTGTAATTTTAATTAATTACTCAGCTTCTTTCATTTAAAGATAAGATTTAATTGGATATTTAATTAATTACTGCTAATTTTTTTACATTTTCTAAAAAGTGTTTGCTTCAATTAGCAAATATGTAATTATAATTAAATTTGGTTTAAGTCAAATGTAAATTATTAAATAAGTAATAAATACTGAGATTGATATTAATTGTAAATTTAGACATTATTAAAGTAAAATAAATAATTCAATCCTTCCATCCATCCATCCATATATTATGATTACATTTAATATAATGTAAATAAATAGTTAGATTGTTATTAATTATAAATTTAGACATTATTAAAAGTAAAATAATCATCCATCCATATATTATGATTACACTAAATATAATGTAAATAAATAGTTAGATTGATATTAATTGTAAATTAATTTAGACTTTATTAAAGTAAATAATTAGATCCATATATTATGATTACTTTTATATATAATGTATATAAATAGTGAGATTGATATTAATTGAATAATTAGTCTTTATTACATGAAAAATAAATACTTAAATCCATATATTATGATTACATTTAATATTTTATGTAAATAAATAATGAGATTGATTGATTGATGTTAATTGAATAATTAGATTTTATTACAAGAAAGCTAAATACTGTAATACATAAATGTATAAATTATAATAATATTTAATAAAATATAAATGAAATGATAATAATAATTAAAATATTTTATAGAATAAATAAATGAATGAAAATGTTAATTTAGATCAATTGTTTTTTTCTTATTGTTATTTTTTAGAAAGAGAAAAGTCAGTCTTTTCTTTTCTGTTGTGTTGTATTGTATTGTGTTATGTTGTGGATAGAATTTCTTTATTGTTATTTATCTATCACTTTGAAATGAAAGCATAAAGATTTTTTTCATGCTCTTTTAATTATTTTTTAATTTCTTAGGCTCTTTAAATCATAAGTTCTTTCTTTTGTTAAGCTTACAATTAGGATTTGCTGCTTGTATGGTAAGAATCAGCGTAATAGAAAGCTTTTTCTTGTATAGGAGAGTTAGGTTGAATCTTATTTGCTCTGCGGTCACTGAAAATGTTATCGTTAATATTTTTAGAGCTTAAATTTTTGGTAGATTTGCTAGAATATTGAATAGGAGTTTGGTTCTTTATTTTATTGTCAATGTATTCGATACTATTGTCATCAGGCTAAGTTTTGATTCCATTATTCCAGTTAATAGCATTATTTTTGTTAGCAAGAGGTCTTCTCAATACTTTAGTTGTTTAAACATTTTATCTTTGTAAATATTGAGAATAGAAAGCCTCCAATTTATCACTAATTGTTACGTATTAATCGCTATTTTATAAAACTTAAATTGCAATATTTTCAACGAAAGCAGTGAATTGAGGGAATAAGAGCATATCTTGCTTCTTGCTCTTGGTTAGAATATTGAAGTTATGCATTAATTCGTTAATTGTTACTTTGTTAGAAGAAAGTATGTTGTAATCTTATGCAAATTACAAAGCATTTATTTAATTAATTCCAACAGTTCCTGAAGCTTCTTATGAGCTGTATTTGTTAAAAATGTTTTTCAAAATATCAAGTTTGGATTAAGTGTTTGATTAGATTTGAGGTTCAGCAAGTTTTTGGGAGATATTTGGCATTTCAGATAAAACATTTCTAATTTCATCACGAATAGAGGCACTGATCATATTTTTAATATTAGCATTACTGCTAGAACTATTGGTTTTAAGGATATCCTCAGACTTAATGGCTTAAGGTATTTTGGTTTAAGATTTATTGGAGGTTGATGAGTCAGTTTCCTTCTTCATGACCAAAGGACGGAGGGCTTTGATAGATTTGCCACTGATACCTGATGATCTAGATTAATTGAGACTATGGGGTCCATCTGAGTTATTTTCAGATTTAATGCCTTCCATTAAATGGGGGAAGTTTTCTTTGATATATTCTTGAGGATTCTCCATGATCTTTGTTCCAATTTCAAGTTAATCAGCAAGGTATTTGGGTCTTTCTTCAAGAGCAATTTCATTGATGTTTTCTCTCTAAAGGCCGAATAAAGAGAAATCAAAATTTGGATGAGATTGGCCTCTAAAATTGAATTGAGCAGTTCTAACATTTTATTCGTAGAATCTCAAAATTCTTTCGCCATAAATTGCAATTAAACGAATAGCTTCAACGATATAGTCTAATTCATATTTATCAAAGGAGAAGAATGTATCAAGTCTAATCCAGCCAGGTTTAACGTCTTCGTAACCATTGAGCATTTCTCCAACAATTTCAACAGCTTTCTTTTGAGGGATTCCGAGTAAAAGGACTCCATAAGGACCAGCGCAAGAGCAACCGCTTCTTACTTAAATACCAAATACATCGTTTAAAACTAATTTTAAAATGAGAGATTAGTTAATTGTTTTTAAGAGAGAAATTTAATTGAGTGTAAAATTTTTGATATGATAAATGATATTCGAAAGGGTAAAAATGATGATTTAGATAAATCTAAATTAATAAGTTTGACAATTTTTTCACACAAATTTGCAAAAAATTAAATATGTGTTGAATTCTGTGTGCTTAGATGTAAATTTTGAGAATGTCATCAATAAATTAAATAAATATCTTTCTTATTTTCTTTGTTTAGATTGATTGATGGAATTAGTTGGTGATTTAGACTTAATTTAAGATTTGAATGGGGGGTGGATGAATAGTTGCTTAATTTGATATGGTAAAAAATTGTTCTATTAGGCTATTATTAGGGAATCTTTTCAAATTTTGATCAAAATTGTATTTCTTTATGACAAAAATAAAGGATATAGAAGCATCCTAATCTTTTGTTTGGTATATTAAATTATTTTTGAGCCATGCAATTAGCATGAAGATTTGGAATTTATATATAAGAATTAGGGTTTTTACAAAAGATATCAAAAGGCGTCATAAATGATTAAATTTAGTCTGTATTATTGTTTTGCTATTTATTTGATTACATTAAATTTTATTCGGAGCTATGCTGTAATCAAAAAATTATAAAAGATTAAGAAATTAACAGTAACATGCTTTATTTAGATTATCTTTAATTTTTTTTTCATAAATTTTCATAAAACTGTCATTTATTTATTTAATTTACCTCTTGCAACAAAATTAGGGTGGAAAAGTGATTTGCCATAGGCATCAGTTGTAGTACCAGGTCCATAAATGTTAAATGAGAAAACATCGTATCTGATTTCAATGTCAGTATCACCATAAATGTGTACATTTCTGGGTGGGATTTGTTCGCTTCTTTTGAATTCGTCATTTATTTATTGAATGCGGTTATAGAAGTATTTTGCATTTTATTCTTCCTTTTCGATGATGAATTCCAATCCAATATAGTCCTGTAACTCAAAAGTTAAAGCAGCTCTGTAAAAACCAATAGCGTTGGGAGTTCCTGGCATTTCTCTAGCAGTGGGATCGGAGTCGTACCAGGTCTAGTCAGATTCCAAACCAACAACAGCCTTGACAGTACCACCACCTTAACATTTAAAATAATCAAATTAGAATATGATATAAAAATACATAAAATTGTAATCTTTTATTTTTTAACCATAAATTTTAATTTCAAGCAGAAATGTCATAGTGGGATGGATTATTTTTTTAGTATTTTAAAATAATACCATGTAATTAATTATAAGCCTATGTAACCCAATTTCATGTTAATAAATCAAAAAATTTTATTTTAGTTAGGGTTAAAAAATGATTAAAGTGTTGTAAATGATATAATTTGGCTATTTTATGACAAAAAAATTAATTAAAAATGACAATATATTTAATTATAGATGGGGGAATATGATTTTTAATTGATTATTTTTGTTTATATACCTGGGAAGGAAGGGGGTTAAGTGAGATCGTAGGCTGAGAGCTTGGCGATGAGAACGCCGGTAGATTCTGAACCACCTAAATGTTTGTGAGGAGATATGCAGACAAAATCTATTTCGCTTAAGCCTTCGTCACTTAAATTCAATCTGTTATGGGAGCAAAAAGCAGCACAATCTGATATGAAGAATATCTATTGGTTAATCAAAATAAAAAATATGATTACATCTGTCACAAATTAATTTTTTTTTGTAATTATTATAAAAGAATAAAATATTACTTTATGTCCAGGAAGGAGATGCTTTTCTTTGTAGTTTTTAATCATTTCATTTACTTTTGATAGATCAGTTCTTTAAGATGTCACATTAGAAGTGGCACTTACTGAAACAATTTAGATTTTGAAATGAGAGTTTGCAATAAGTCTTTCTTAGAGATCGACAATATTCATGTTACCATATTTATCTCCATTGACCATTTGAAGATTGCAGCCAGCATTTGACCAAGGAAGGATATTAGAGTGATGTTCATAAGGAGTAATGTAAACAGCGGGGATGTTTGGGTTCTTGCATTTTTCAATATCAGGAGCTTTATAGGTTTCCTAATAAATAGTTATAAAAAGTTAAGTCTAGTTTTGAATTGTATAAAAGAATACTATAAAAATCTTTATGTAAATGAACAGTGGTTGAATCCCCAAAAAGTGTAATAAATGGGTGGGATATATTTTAGAAGAAGCAACTATTAATGGGGATTAGAAAAAATAGTTCGATATTTTGATATTTTGTATTTGAAGCTTATGCCGTCAATTGATTAACTTTGAAAAGATATAACTAATTATGAATGAATTAATAAATGAATGATGTTATTGAGGTATTTCATGAGAAGAAAAAAAAAATATATCTTTTTTAATGCTTTCTATAAATTTAATTGTTGGATAAAGTAAACTTAATTTTTTATCCAGGTGTCGGAGTAAGATGTATTATAAATTAGAAACCTCTCAAATAAATTAGACTAATTTAATTGAATACCTTTAAACAAATTAATTTAATTTCAAATAAAAGAATTAATTAATTGTTTATTTATTTATTTGCTCATATCATTAATAAATAGTATGCTTTGTTTTATTTAGGCTGGGGGAAAAAGTTAAGTAAATTACAAAATTTTGGTATTCAATTACACGAATTTCTATTCACATCAAAACTTTGAATAATCTTTAAGCTTTTTCTTGTGAAATAATTCAATTTAATAACTCTACATATCCCCATATTTATATTATCTTATTATTCAAATGAATAAATTAATACTATACAATCCTTTTGCTTTTCATTTACACTCTTATTTTTTTAAATCAAATGTGCTAATTATATTACCATTTTTGCAATATCAGCAACTCTCAATATTTTTGTCAATCTTTCAAAAGCGCCAGTGGCTCCGTTTCCGCAAGGAACAGAGAAATGAGTGGCTTTTGACACCTTGAACGACTTCAAAATTGAAACTTCTGCATAGTGAAGCATTTAAGTAGAGAAATAACCCATTAAAGAGGTTTCTGTATGTGAATTTGCGACCATGGGCTTGATTTTTTGCTAAATCATGTCTTCAATCATTTTAAAGGGTCTTCCAGTTGCAGTGTGATCAGCGTAAAGAGCGCATCTTTGACCGAAAGGTGTATCAATCTATTTTTACAAGAAATATTATTCCAGATTGTTGATAGAAATTATTTACCAAGGAAAAGTTAATATAAAAAATATATAATTAATGTAAAGTTGCTTGTTTAAATAAATGAAAGAAATAAAAGCATACCAGTGTAGAATATCCAACGATATTTCTGAGGATTTCTTCTCTATCCATGCCGGATGTAGCGTGTAGTTTCTCAAGCATTTTTCAGTAGAATATAATGTTGTCTGTGTGTGTAAGATTTATTGTTGTTATTATGAATGAAAAAGTATTATTTATTTATTATAGCAAGCAGGCTTTTGGTATATTTGAAGATAGAAATAGGTTGCCTTACTTTTTTTTAATTGATTGTATTTTTTTTGTTTTTTTTTTTTAATCAATTATCAAATTTGTTTTGTAAAAATTCATTATTAAATTCCCTAGACCTAAAAATCCGATATTTATACCTGACAATATCTCAATACGAAAATGAAAATTGGGGAAAGTTTTCATCAGATTTTAATAATGATTTTGTTTTTGCCTATTTCTTATTTTTATTTTTAAGATTTTTCTATCATGATACATTTCTATTTCATCATTTTTTTTCTTATGTTTATATAAATTGATTATAAACTTATCTTAGTACGTATTTTTTGACATATATTTAAAAAATATTACTTTCTTTACCAAAAATTGTCTCACTTTTAATTTTTCTTGTCATTTAAATAAATCTCTTAGTAACAGCCTTCATTTTTTTACAGTTTCTTTAAAATCTTCTGCACTTAGCCTTTACAAATTCCATAAAATCTCCTTCCTTTCTTCAATATTAATAACTTTAGTTCTTAATAAATTAGTTTTCGCATTATCCAGATTAATTATCAATGTAATGTAATAACGTTTCTCCCAAAATATATTAGATTTTTTTTTCTGTTGTATGCATTTTATAACATTCGAAATTTATTTAAAATTTAAAACAAGGATATAATTTTATCAGAAAACGCTAAGCATGAATTATAAATATTGTAAAAAGCGTTTTTTTTAGTCCATGAATTCTTACAAATTTAAATATAAATTCAAAATTAATTTGCAACGCATAATGTATAGATAACAAATTAATTCATATAGACAATTAAATATTAATAATCATATCATTACAAAAATATAAATGAGTTGATGGATTTATTCATTCAACTACCTTGAATGAATTTTAGCTGGCAAAAAATTTAAGTAAATTTATTTAATAAAATTATAGCTTTTTTCAAAATAAATCTAGTTGTATTAAGCATTTTATTGCTTATCAAATTCAAGCAAATATTCAAAATGGTTTTTCTTTTTAAGTGACTAAGCAACTAAAAAATCTGTCAAAATAAACAAAATTAGCCTTAAAATACAATTTTTTTATCATTACAGACAAGCCTACCCTATAAAAAATCAGATATCTTGATTTACAATGGAAATCAGGCCAACGAAGTATTCTTAATTAAATGATATACTCTAAAAAATAAACTTAGTAATTAAATAATTTCTTATGTTATTAGTACTTTTTTTGTCTTCTTCTATTATTCAGTGTAATCAAGAAAAAAAGTAAAACAAAGGAAAAAAACAAATAGATAAATCAATAAATGATCAAATTTATTAATTGTTTGCTAACAAACCATCATTCAATAAATATCATAGAAAATTTGTAATTCAAAAAATTATGCTTAACTTACCAATAAAAGTCTAAATTAACAAAGTAAGATTAATATCAAAATCTCTAGAAACCAAATGACTTATTAAATATCTAATAATTTATATTTATTTTACTCTAAACTTCAGCTTAAATTTAGATCGTTTTTGTAACCTTTAAATAATAAATTTATAAATTTTATTTGATAATTTTAGTTAAAATAAAATTTATTTATTTTTATTTTATTTTTAATAAATATTTTAAATAATCATTTTCTTTGAAAAAAAATACTGCTAATTTTGTTGAAATTTGAAAACGATATTAGAATTTTTTGATTTTTGTGAAAAATATTAATTTTATTATAATAGTCTGCATCTCTTTAAATTATATATAAGATAATAGAATAATACTTGCATTTGTAAAGAGAATGATGAATAGTATCAATAATCATGCATATATTTTTTGTATGTATAATTAAATGAATTATTTACGAAATTGCTCAAAAAGATAAAGCAAAGCTGATAACATCTAAAAGAAATAAAGAATTTATTATACAAAAAATTGTTTAAGATCTTCTAAAATCTTATGGAATGGCCAAACTTAACAAGGACTTATTCATTTATTTTATTAGATAAAAGCTTGGTTAGATATTTTTGATTTTAATTCAAAATAGAATGATAAAAACATAAAACAAAGTAGAAACAAATTAATCCTATATTCATTTATTATTTAAAGACTATCAAATACATAACAATAAATGTCTACTGAAATCATTGAAATAGTCAAGTCAAACCCCTACTTCGAAATACTCGAAAATGGAAAGGTAAATTATCTCAATTTTAGTCAGCTTCTTAGCATTAATCCTTTCTATTATCTTTAAAGATTCGTTGCAAGTTAACCAATCATGAAATGAACCCAGACGTTTCCAAGTATAATGAATACATTAAGGTATTTTATTTATCACTAAGCTAACAAAATAGTCTAATTTAATTCATTTTTAATCAGAGCAAGGGTTATCAAAAAGCAATAGAAAAGGATTTTGATTTCGATCAATACAAGCCCCATATTGTGCCTTTTAAGGGAGCTGAAGAGTAATTTATTTGAATAATCAACTTGCAATTAATGTAGAAAATTTATTAAATAGACACTTCCTTTGGTGCCATTTAACATAAACCAAAGTACCAAGAATGAAAAATGTCATTTTAAGACACGTTGAAGGCAAAAAGTACCAAAGACTTCTCTCATGTAAATTAATTATGAATATCTATAAAATTTTAACTTTAAATTATCTTAATAGTGTTCAATCAAAAGAAGCAAGAAAGAGAATAAAAAAAGAAAATTACTTTACTTAAGAGTAAAAAACTCACTAAGGAAGAAGAGGAAGATAAATTTGATGAGAATTTTATTGACAGAATGATTTTCGAATTTGAAGAAGATGAAAGATTAAATGATAAAGATTTGGATGGAGACGAAAGCTATTCCAACGACCTTTATCAAAAAGTACATGCTAATTCTATACATGAATAAGACGATAAGCCAAGTAAAAAAAGCAAATTGAATAAAAGACAAAATGGCAATAAGGCAAATGAAGATGATGATATTGAAGGTGAGGATGATGAAGAAGAAGATATGGATGATGAACATGATAATGAAGAAGATTTAGAAGATGAAGAAGACTACGATTCTGAAAACGAAGAAATGGAAGAAGAAGATAGCGAAGAAAATGAAAACTAAGGAGATGAAGAAGAGGTAGATAATAAGTTAAATGAAGAAGAAGAAATCCCTGATTCAAAATAAGCTTAAAAAGAAAATAGTTAAAAGAATGCCAACAAATTTAAAAAGAACTTTAAAAAATTTAATGGAAATAATAAATAGCACAATAATTAGAATAATAATTAGGGAGTAAATAAATTTATTAAAAAGAATAAATAAAACCATTTTAATAAATTTAAGCAAAACAATAACAATAAAAAGAAATTTTAAAAAAATTGATTAAAGCTTTGTATTTATTTTAAATTATTTCTATTAAATATTTGTAGATGTATCATAGACTTCTATTAACTAATTAATTAATTAACTAGATAAATAAATATTTATCTATCTTATCACTAATTTATTTAAAAATAGCTTATAAAATATATTAAATAAGCTAAGTATTGCTTATAAATTACTTAATTAATTTATTGAAATAATTTTGGTTCACATTAAATGTGAGAAATCTTGAGTATTTTCTTCTTAAATTGTGAACATATTCTAGTTAGATTTACTCAAAGATTGTAAAATTTGAGAGGAATCTATGTTAAAGTCTTTTGATAATCTAACAAATTTATCTATTTCTTTTTAATCTAAATGCACCAAAGATGAATTAAATTAGTTATTAGAGTTTAAGCTTCCAGTGTTATTATCTGAAAATTTATTAGAACTTATACTAATTAATTAATTAAAATAATAAATAGTTCAGTAAGACATTAAAAAGGAAAAGAATTTACTTGAATAATGATGTATTTGAAGGTTTTAGAGATTCTATTTGATCTAACGACATCTCTTTAAAAGCCTCTTCATAAAATTATCTTTTTCTTTGATATTTATTTTATTGTATTTCTTCTTTCTCTTTTTTTACTTAATTTTTTATTCTTTATGGAATTCTCTCTTCAGTATGTATTTCGTGTAAACCATAATTTTAAACATTATAATACTCTTAATTCCTATAAGGAGATTCTTCCTATTCATGATTGTATGGAAGTATAGAAAAAAATAATCTTAATGGGCCTATATTTTTTTAGTAATCAAGAAGCACACTTTCCAACTCGAGTCGATGCTCATAAAAAGGTATTTAAAACTAGCCAAAATCAACTAGCTTACTTTTGTTATGAATCTTGTGCACACTCCATCCTGCATTCTCTGGAAATTTTTACTTGTTTTATTGTATTATCATTATAAAATTATAATGAAATTCTATATGTTTAAATTTCAAATAATAATCGTCATTTAATTTAAAAACTAAATTCTTATATTTTATTTAAAATAAATTATCATTTTAAACGCTCAAAAACCTATTTTTCAAAAAGAGAAAAGCTAGAACGAATGAACTAAATAATTAACTGATTAATAAATAAATTACAAATCACTTTTTAATGCTTTAATTAAAATAACTTTTTTAAAAGTGGATTAGTTTTCTTAAAAAGGATAAAGTTTTTTAATAATATGAATTTGTTTACTTTATGGTGAAAAATGAGAATTTAAAAATAGATAAAATGGTCTAATTTTTTATCAGGAAAAATAATTTTATCAATTTCTCTAATAAAGCATTATCCGTCTTCGTTTTCTATAATATGTTCATTCGTAGTCCTGTTTGCTTCATGCTTTTATCCTCTCCTAAAAAAGCCATATTTTATTCTTACTTTTTCCACTGTAAAGGGGAGATTATTGACGAAGTCAAACATCAAAACAAATTCATTAACTACTTCTTTAGGCTACTCGCGTTTTTCAAGGCTTAGCTTAAATCTGTAATAAATAGAGTTATAATCTTCTAACTAAATCTGTAATAATTAAATAAAGACATATTATATAAGCAAAATAATTAAAGTTATCTATACTTTATTGAGCAGCAATCCTTTAATAATTTCTCTTAATACTTCAATTTCTTACTCAAGCCTTTTTAGAGCTATTCCTTTTATTTAATTATAGCTTGTGAAGCTTTAACGATGCTCTCTGATTTTCAATTCGTCGTTCAAATATTTTAAAACAGAGTCTTTGTCCTTAAAACAGTTACTAAAGTAGAATGTTTTATTATCTTTTACAGGCTGATCAAAGAAGAAATTTCCAGCTTTAGAGAGTTCTTATTTTACTAAAATTGGATGACCTCTAGGAAATTAATCTTAATCTGTCCTTGGAGTAGGCTTAGAAGGTTCTAAATCCTTTAGGAAAATAAAATTAGTATTGATTCGATTAAAAAAATTGTTTACATCTATTCTGTAAATATCATTAATAAGGTCTGATTGTTTTACTTTACTAATGTTAAGTTTTAAGGCAGTTTTGAAATCTTTGTAAACTACAAAAAATGCTTATTTTAAATTAAAATTAGTATTTTGAAAGTACTTTTTTCATTTTATTCTAGTTTCTTATACTTTGACTGAGATTCTTTTGATATATTTTCCATCACTTCCTTTTCATATCTTTGCTAATAAATTAATTATTTTAGAAATCATGATAATTTTTCACAATGAATATGAATGTCATTTAAATTTACTTTTCTACTATATTAATCATTCATTTCATGAATACTGTCTTCTAAGTCTATTATTCATTTTTTTAAATGCCTTAATTTATTTTTAAATTCAAAAATTTTACTTTTTCTTATTATTGAGGGTTGTTTCGATGATATTTAAGAAGAATTTAGGATATTACTCCATTGTACAATTTCATCTTTCTTTTCTAAAGCTTCTAACATGCTGATTTATCCAGTGCTATAATCTTCGTAAAGTGATGAAATTGTTAATGGAGGAGCTTAATATAAATTAGAATAGCTCAAACCCTTTTTGCTAAGATTTAGCTACTGTGACTTTGAAAGGTCATTGTATTTGCTTAATTCCTACTATCTCTTGATTTATTATAACTCTTTATCAATAATATCTTACATAATTTCAAGTTAAAAAATAATTAATTGCCTATCAAATCAACAATTACATAAATTCTAAATAACTTTTTATAGAAAATAGCTAAAATCTAATTCATAAAAAATGAAATTAACCAATTTAATTAATTGCATTATAAAGAACTTTTTAATAATATTTTATTATTTTTTCAATTTATCTAGGTTCTACTTGAAATATTATTTAATTTTACTTATAAAAATTTAAAAATAAAGAAATAATTTTCAGAGAATAATAATACAACTTTAAAACTTACCCCTCCTCCACCCTTATAAAAACATAAAAAATATCTTTAAATATTTTATGCGTTAAAATGCTAATTTAATTTTAATTTTATATTAAAAAGTATGAGTTAGCAGCTTTAAAAATTCAGTTTTATTTAACAGAAAGATGAGATAATTTTTTTATTTTTGAAAAAATTAGCAGTTTTAACTAAATACTTTTATCATTAAGCTTTTTGAAATTAATTTTATTTTTAAGCAAAATTAAATTATTTAAATAGAAATATTTAACAATAGAAATATAAAAAATGCATACAAAAGCTATTAATAATATTTTAATTATGTTAATTTAATTTTTTATCAAAAAGATGATACAGTTTTATTAACTAACTCAGCTTTATTTAACTGAAAGATTGATTAATTTTCTTGTTTTTAAAATGAGTGATTTAAATCTCTGTTGTGTTTTTTCCTCAAATTAATGATAGCTTTTTATATAAATTATTTTTTTTTATATTACTAAATTATTTTTGAGTTTCTTTATAAATGAAATGTACAATTAATTTTTAATAAATAATTAAAAAATATTTAATTATTTATTGATACTAACCAAAAAATAATAAATAAATATTTTATCAATCATGATTTAAAAAATTATTTTTTGTATTTATTTTATACTTTAAATATGCTTAAAGCATTTATATATTTAATTAAAACAAATAAATAAATAAGCAAATTATATTTACCCATAAATAATTTCTAAACCCTATAAATTAGAGAAGTATTTTAGAACAGATCCTAAATGAATTAAACCCTATTCATCAAATTTGTTCTAACTTTTTAAATATTAATTTTATTTTAAAACATTTACAAATCAAAACAGATTTAAAAATTAATTAGTTAATTAATTGTTAATATTTTTTTGTAGCTACTTATAAAATATGTATATTTTTACCATATATTTAGAGCCAAATTTGAGATATTAGCACATTTTGTCAAAGCAGCAGCAATAGCCTTCAAACTTGAATCAGAAAAGTCATTTTATCTTTTATTTTTAAGTCGATATTTTTTTAGTTAATTTTTAAGATAAACTTAAATTTTTATGATATATTTTGATAAAAAAATATCTAAAAACTCAAAAATATTTACGATAAATTAAGAGCAAGTTTTGAGAGCTTAGTGATAGATATTAAAGAAGATCCTAAATCAATAGCAGCTTATTCACCAACTTTATTAAATCTGTTGAAATATTAATGGTTCAATTAATTTTAGATTATTTAGATAAGAAATAAAATAATAAAAATATTGGTTTAGAAAATAATATATTTTATTAAAGATAATTGGATTTTAATATTTTAAGAAAAAAAAATAATTATATAAAAACATTATTTTTACGAAATGTTAAGAGCCAAACTTTAAAGGTTTGAGTGTTTTTCTAAAGCAGAAATTATTGATGTGACACCTTCGTTAGTGATAGAGTTAAAGCTTTAAATTATTTATATGAATGAATGACATTTATATTATTCTTTTAGTTTCTTTCAATATTTTAATAATAAAAATAAGTCAAATACTGAAATGAAATGGTTAAAGCTGATAAATTCTAGAGAATCGCTAAGCTATCACTTAACATTTTTACTCCTGAGACTCCAATTTTATTTCTCCTTTAATGATATCAAAACATAATATATTATTTTTAACAAAAAACTAAATCACCATTCAATCAATATTGAGTAAATAAAAAGAAAAAAGAAAATTAAACAATTTATTTTTATTCCATGATTCTGTTGTAAATATTTTAAAAAATTAATATATTTTTTTACTCTAGATCCATAGATAATGTTTAGAGATTGATTAGTTTTGATAATGCAGAAGCCAATTATTATAACCCAATATCTCCAATCTGATTGTATCTTTTTATAGGTAGTTTTATTAATTTTTAAATAAAGGTAGAAGTTAAAATAATAAGAAATATATTTAGAAAGTAACTAAGTAAGAAAGATATATATAAACTTTATCTAAAAATAAAATAACAAATTTAAAATATAAAACAAATAAAACTTATTATTTTGCTTTTAATTGCATTGTAATATTTTTACCCGATATTAAGTTCTAAACTTTTGAGGTTGACACACTCTGCTAAAGCAATACTTAAATCAGTTGCGCCTTAAATTTTTATTTTGTTAGAGCTTTTTAAGATTAATAAATAAATATATCAATTTATTTTTTAGATAGAAATATTTTTTTGTTTATTAAATAACAAACTAATTGTGAAAATTTCAAATTATTTCAACAACATAAGTTAATTTATTTATTTGAAATAATAAATTAATTAATAAAAAACTCCTTTTACCTAAGGTTAAGAGATAGGTTTGAGAGGTTAGTAAGCTTTGTTAAGGCCTAAGCAAGACCTTGCACTCCTTATTCTTTAATTTAATTCCATCTTTTAATAAATTTTATATTTTAAGTAAGAAAATAAAATAAAATATTAAACTAAATATTAAAAAAATAAAAGTAAAAGTTAATTTTAAAAAAGCATATTTTTTATTTACAATTAAATGAGAAATATATGTAAAAGGTTTATTAACTCATTAAAAATTCTGATATTTTGATCAAATAAAACTGATAAAGTTTCTTTACCTAAAATCTAAATTCAATGTTTAAAGTTGAGTACAATTTGCTAATCCAAAGCATATATCCGAAAATCCTTAAGATTCGATTATATTTTACCTTTAAATTTATTTTTATAAAATGTAATAATTTAATTTCAGCTAAATAAAAGTTTATAAAAATACAAATTATTCTAAGATTTCAATTTAAAAATTAATTAAAATAAGAGATGAAATTTAAATAATATTAAAACTCTACATCATCTAGAGAGTAATTATTTTGAGATTACTGAGCTATTTAAAAATATTTGCTAAGCTTGTGGCTCCTTGCACTCCAATCTTATTTTCTCTTTAAATAAAAAAGGTAAAATTAAATAGCTTTATAATATTTTCTTTTTACAATCTAAAACCTAAAAAAAGTAGAAAATTATAATAATCCTCACAAGTATTTATATCAAACAAAATAGGTATATAAAGAAATAATTAAATTATTCTTCAATAAATAAATAGATTTAGATTTTAATCAATTTTTACTCAAGCGAAAGCACAAATTTTTATAGATTTATGCATTCTGATAAAGCAGAAGATAGCTCTTATGTACTCTCATCGTTGATATCATTCAAACTTTTGATTTTTAGTATATTTAAATTTGTAGTTTTTAAAAATGGAGATAAGATATAAAAAAAAAAATAATAGTTAAAAATAATAATGCAAAAATAGATAGAATTACTTAAGATTGAGTTCCAAATTTAAAAGATTTTTGCAATTTATTAATAAAGAGCATAACTTTTGTACGTCTTATGTTTCTAATTTACTATTACTATAAAAGATTTGATACATACTATTATATTTTCCATAGATTTTACTTTAGTTCTACTATGATGTCAGTATGAGCTTAGAAAGAAGAGCTCACTATCTTTTTTATTAAAAAAAATATTTTTTTATAACACAAGATATCATTTATTTACATCCTCAAACTGCTTGTCGAGTATTTTATATTTTAACATTATTTAGATTTATTTTAGACTATTTTAAAAATATTAAAAATTTTCTATAGATCAATTTTGTATCTGTATATTTAATAATGTAAATAAATAAATTTATCTATTTGAATATCTTTGAAATTACAAATTTATTATAAAGGGTTTACAAATAAACATAATTTTAAAAGCAAAAAACCTCTAATTTTTGAGATTAAAAATTAACCATCCGCCACGTTAAATTACATTATATCTCAAAAAATGTATTATTTTTCTCTTGGAAAGTTATTTTTTGAAAATTTATATTTAGAGCAGATTTGGTTAATAGTAAATGTTACTACCTCACATAGTTTTAAAACTAAAAGAGACTTTTATTTTTTATTTTTCTTTGCTTATATTTATTGCTATTGACACAAAATTTGATATTTTTTCTCCTATCTTAACTATAAAACTATATATTGTAAGCCAATCATAATATTATTTATTAATAATCCTAAATAACAACTCTATTCCATTATTAATTAATTTATTCAATTTCTTTCTTTTTTAATTTTTGTTCATATCTATATTTCTTCATTTCTAAGCATAAAATTTACATTTCCTCTTTTTTTACCATAACTCAACTCCATTTGTCAAATATATTTTATCTCTTAATTTTTAATTAAATTAAATATTTCCTTTAAAACACATTTTGACATTTTTGATAAAATATGTTTATTTATCTCTATTTTCTCAAAAACTCATTCCTCATAATTCAATTCTAGCTTGAATCAGTTTGCCACTTTACTTCTAAGATTCTTCTTAGTTACCAAAATATTAATCTCATTTTAATATATGATATCATATTTTAATTATCCTTCATATCTATCATCATCATTTCTCTGTAATAATTATTTGATCTCAATATTTTTTATAATTAATCCATAATCATGATATTTATTTTATCATTTTTTATTCATTTTTGTGATAAAAATTCCCTTTTCTATGCATTTAAGAATTTTTTATAAAACATAAATCTCCATATTTACTTGTCTTAATTCTTAATAATATATTTGCATACAAACTCTTTTTCCACAGAATTTCTTTAAATCTTCTTAATGATTAGAGTAGAAAGTTATTTCTATGTATAAAATTTATTTTAAATCATCAATCACATTTTTTTATTTTCTTGCAACAATAATTTATGCTCTCTTTTTACCATTAATTATTTATAAAATATTTTTTATTTTTTTAATATAATTATTTCATAAATAATAATATCACCTTTGAGCATAAGTAAATGGCAAAATTTCAATAACAATCTTTACATTTAATATAATTTTTTAGGTATTCAATTATTCATTTAGATTGATTAACCAGAATTAAACAGCTTTAAAAAATACTGCAATTTTTTTTCTTTGAAAAGAAAAATTTAATTTTTGAGCCTGAATTTTAAATATAAATTTAGGTATTAAAATAAGAAAACAAATTGTTTTTCAAAAATCTTAATTAATGAGTATATAAGGTATTTATTTTTCATTTTAAAGATAAAACCATTTAAATAAAAAATCTATTTAAATTCCTTACTTAAAGAGTACATTTATTTTTTGTTCTTTGATATTTCTAGAAATCTAATAAGTAAAAATTTTAGTTAATTATCGATGATTACTATTCTTTTTAAAAATTTTGATGTAATTAGCGAAAATAAGGAAGATTAATCAAATATAACTTTCTATTCTTTTTTTGTGTACTGAATGTAATTAATAAATGTATTAGATGATGTTTGCTGGATGTAAAATCATAAAAATAGAATAAAAAATGATTATATTTCAAATACCTTATTTTAAAATAATTCTATTAAAATTTGAGGAATAAATAAATAATTTATTTTCAATTTAAATTTAGTATATATTAATTTCTTTTCCATTTAATATTTATCTTATGATTGAAATTACCTTTATCAAATGTATTAAATATTTATCTATTTCAAATTTTAAGTTATAAAGACTTTTTACTCATTTTATTACCAATCAATATTAACATTTCTAATTAAATTACACTCTTATTGTTTTAAAAAATAAAAAAAAATAATTAATTATATTAATCAGTATAAGCTTAATTTCAATGAATTAATAATATTAATCAGAATAAGATTATACTTACAATTAATTAATTATTTGTTTGAAAACAAAATATGTATTAATATTCCAAAACATTTAGATTTTATAACCAGTATCTGTAATCAAAATTTTTTTGATAATTTGATCTATTTTTATGAAAATAGAAAAAAGTATCAAAATATATTTTTGATAAGATGATATGTGTTTTACTTAAGATCTACTAATCCCTTGAATCCTAAACACTTTTCTAAAACTTTTTATACCTTGAAAAATATTAAAATTATGATATTTTAATTCAGATAAATTTATTTTAATTTTTTTTGTAATTCTACTTAACAATTAAGAAAGAATGATTTGTAAGATAATTTAATTATTTTTTTATTCAATTACATTATTTTTTTCTAAAGAGGATAAAAAATTAATGATTTAGAAATAGATTGACTGAAAATTTAGATTAAATGCATGCTTAAAAAATTAATTAAAAAAAATAAATAAATTAATTAATTATTTAAAATCAAAACTAGCTTAGTAAAAAAAGAAAAAGTATAATTTAAAGCAAAAAATGAAAGTTTTAAATATTTTATTAAGATCGTTCCTATTATTCCTATTTACCTTAAGCTTTTTAAATTCTTAATAACTTGATTAATCTGTTGTTCTTACAAGTAATTATTAAGATAATAACTAATATTAGAACTAAGATATATAAAAATGCCTTTAAATTAAAACTATTTGTTTAGCCGTACCTTCATAAATAGGATGCTGTGAGAATTTAAGATGTGCTGTATTTTCAGTTGGTATTATTGGATAATGTATAAAAATTTGACCCTTGATAATAAAATATACTTTTGATATAATAAAAAAATTATCCCTAAATTTTAATCTACTAAAAAATACTTACTTTATATGTAAATTTCTATATTAATTCTATAATAGTTTGATTTACTTACTAATTTAACTTCTTTAAATTTAAATTAAGACTATTCATACACTAAAGAATATCATGTATATACTTAGTAATCTCCATTTAAAGGAATAAAGGATTAGTAAATTATTAATAGTCTTATTTTAATGTGAAAGTTTATTTTTTTCAGGTAGCTTATGCAAGAATGAATTAGTGTTGAGGAAAGATATAATTAATTTACTTTCTTTCAGTCTTTTTTCTTTTAATGATTTTTGTTGAAAGAATAAATTAGGGGGAAATTTTAAGACCATAGGGTCAAAATGAAGCATTTCATATCAATTTTTCATTTTTCAAATCTTTTTTTGGAGGGTTATTTCAATAACTTTTTTAAATAAATTTTTGATCATTTATATATTTTGAGAATATACTTAAATCCCACATATTTTTTTAAAACCCATCATCCATTTTATACTTAAAGAATAATAAATGAAATAATAAAAATATTTAATGAATTAAAAAATATTATTTATTGAATTATTCTTTCAATCAAAAAAATAAAAAAAAATAAAGGTTAATTTGAAAATAAATAAGTTCTTTTAAATTTAATTTCTTAACTTTTACTTTTGATCAATAGAATAATTCCATAATCTTTTTTAATCCATTTTTTATTTTTATTTATATTTATACACATATTATTCTTTAAACATAAATTGGCTGGGCTTGTAAAACATATGCTGTATTTAAGTATAATTAGATGTATTTTCAATATTATAATTTCTTAAATATGTATTAAATCTTTTTCAATATATATAATTATTCATCTAATGACTGGACTAAATCAGAAAAATCTGATAAGTAAAAATTATTTTATAAAAATTTAAGCACATTAATTTATAGAATTTTATAAAAATGTGACTACCCATTTTTGATTATTGTTATTTAAGTTTTAACAGAAATTTTAAGATTTAATAATTAATTTAACACTAACCTTTTTGTGATTCCACTTCCTAAAAGCAAATTTATTAATTTGTATTTGATAGTTATTAAATTTTATTTGTTCTTTTTATTGAGATTAATTTGATATAAAAGTTCATTCATTTTTTAATATATTTATAATTAAATTTCCATAAATTGTATACAATATTTTTGAAAAATAAAAAAATAAATGATATAATAAAATAATTATTTTGATGATCTAGAACAAGTTAATATTTATTTTTTTATTAATATTATTTAAATTTATTTTTGTTAATTAAATAAGTTTTTAAGCTCTTAACTTGAATCATTTTAGATTCTCCACATTCATATGAAGCATCGGTATATTTGATATATTAATATTAATATTATTATTATTAATGTTTTTTATATTTAATTTTCATCTGATTTTAAATGTTAACTTATTAAAAATATCTTCTAATTTAGTTCACTTTTATTAATACAAATATTTTTTAATTATTTAACTAAATTTTCATTCAATTTTTATTTTGATTATTAACTATTTATTTTTTGTATTTTTTAATTTATCTTGATTTTTCCTTATATCTTACTAATTAACTTTATATTTTTTATTCAATATTTAAAAAGGTAAGGTGCATCAGTATTAATTTCTGGTTTAGAGAAGTGTACTAATCTCTCAAATTTGACACTTAATTTAAGGTAAAAACAGTTTATTAATTTTTGATTGAGATATTTTTGAATATAAAAATTATTTAAAAAAATTTAACTAACAATTTTAATTTTTCCTTCTTTATAACTAATTAGTTCTTTATTTTTTCTTCAAAATTTAAAAAGTAAAAATTAAATTGGTGATAAAAGTGTATCAGGATTAGGTTCCGGTTTGGCAAAGTGCACTAATCTCTCAAATTTGACACTTGATTTAACGTAAAAACTTTTTTATTGTTTTGGATTGTGATATTTTAGAATATAAAGATGAATTTAAAATAAAACAACTAACTCTTTTAATTTATTTATAAGCTTTGATATTTTTATTGTTTTTTTTATTCTTCCTTTTTTTATTTATTTATTTTTTAACTTAACTCATTCCTTCATTTTAAACTTTTGCTTGTATTTTTTATATTTTTTCTTCATCTTTTCCTTCTAAATAAATAATTAATTAAATATATTTTTCTTTAATATTTAAAAAGGTGGAATTAAATTGGTGCAATTGGTGCATCAAGCTTAGGTTCTGGTTTAGGAAAGTGCACTAATCTTTAAATTTTGACACTTGCTCTTTAGTAAAAACAGTTTTTTATTTATTACGATATCATTGAACATAAAAATGAATTTAAAACAATATAACTAAATAACTCTTTTAATTTATTTATTAGTTTTTATTTGATTTATTTTTCTTTTTTTTTTAATTTTAAATGTGTTTTTTTAATGAATTTATTTACTTATTTCTTTGTTTGTTTGTTTGTTAATTTACTCATTTTTTCAATTTCAATTTTTGCTTGTATTATTAATTAATTTCTTAGTATTTCATATTTTTATTCATTTTTTCCTTTTTTTATCTAATTAATTAACTATTTATTTTTTTCTTCAACATTTAAAAAGGTGGAATAAAATTGGCACATCTGGTGCATCAACCTTAGGTTTTGGTTTAAAAAAGTGTACTAAACTCTCAAATTTGACTCTTTATCTTTAGTAAAAGCAGTTTATTTGTTTTCGATAGTGATATTTTTGAATATAAAAAATGAATTTAAAATAGTATAATTAATTCTTTTAATTTATTTATTAGCTTTTTGTTTGATATATTTTTCTTATTTTTTTATTCTGCTTGCCTTTTTTTACTAATTTAACTCATTTTTTCAATTCCTTCATTTGATTGGTTTATTAATTAATTTCTTATTATTTCATATTTTTTCTTCATTTTTTCCTTCTAACTAATCAATTATTGTCAATCCTCATTAATTCTCACCAACCCTTCCCCCCCCTAACTCAAAGAGCACTAAATGGTTGTTTATAAATATTCAGAAAATATGGTGAATTTTTTTGTTGTTGAGAATTTATGAGGATTTATGGTAATTATATATATATTTTTTTAATATTTTAAAAGGTGGAATTAAATTGGCGCAAATGGGGCATCAAGCTTAGGTTCTAGTTTAGGAAAGAGCACTAATCTCTCAAATTTGACACTTGATCTAAGGTAAAAACAGCTTATTTGTTTTGTATTGTGATATTTTTCAATATAAAAATGAATTTAAAATATTATTACTAATTCTTTTAATTTATTTATTAGCTTTTTATTTGATTTATTTTTCTTTATTATATTCTAATTGTATTTTTTATTGATTTGTTTGTTAATTTAACTCATTTTTTCATTTAAAATTTTAATTTTTATTATTAATTATTTTCTTATTATTTAATATTTTTTCTTCAATTTTTAAAAGTTGTAATTAAATTGGCGATGAAGGTGCCTCAGGCTTAGGTTTAGGTTTAGGAAAGTGCACTAATCTCTCAAATTTGACACTTAATCTAAAGTAACAACAGTTCGTTTGTTTGTTTTGGATTGCGATATTTTTGAAGAAAAAAAATGAATTTAAAAAAATTATAACAAATTTTTAATTTATTTATTAGCTTTTTATTTGATTTATTTATCTTTTTTATTTATTTTGCTTGTATTTTATTTATTTTTTATTTATTTGTTAATTTAATTAATTTTACATTTCAAACTTTAGCTTTTATTATTAATTAATTTCTTATTATTTCATATTTTTCTTGATTTTTTCCTTCTAACTAACTAATTAAATAAATATTTTTTCTTCAATATTTAAAAAGCCAAAATAAAATTGGTGCAATAGGTGTATCAGGTTTAGGTTTTGGTTAATAAAAGCCCCTTTCTCTTATGTAAAAACAGATTATTTATTTTGTTTGGATTTTCATATTTTTGATTATAAAAATAAATTTAAAATAATATAACTAACTCTTTTAATTTATTAATGAGCTTTTTATTTGATTTATTTTTCTTTTTTTTAATTTTGTTTGTGTTTTTATTTATTTTTGTTAATTTAGCTCATCTTTACATTTTTAACTTTTGCTTTTATTATTAATTCATATGTTATTATTTCATATTATTTCTTCATTTTTTCCTTTTAACTAACTGATTAACTTTATATTTTATCATCAATATTTAAAAAGTTGGAATTAGATTGGTACATAAGGCTTATGTTCTGGTTTAGCAAAGTGCACTAATCTCTCAAATTTGATACTTCATCTTAAGTAAATATAGTTAGTTTATTTGTTTTCAATTGTGATATTTTTGAACATAAATATGAATTTAAAACAATATAACTAACTAATTCTATTAATTTATATTTATAAGCTTTTTTATTTTATTTATTATTATTTTTTTTATTCTGATTGTGTTTTTATTTTTATTAATTTTTTTTTGGTTAATTTAACTCATTTTTAATTTTCAACTTTTGATTTTCTTATTAATTAATTTCTTATTTATCATATTTTTTCTTCATTTTTTCCTTTTATTTAAAAAGTTGGAATGAAATTGGTGCAATTGGTGCATAAGGCTTGGGTTCTGATTTAGGAAAGTGCACTAATCTCTCAAATTTGACTATTGATCTATGGTAACAACAGTTTATTTGTTTTGAATTGCCATATTTTTGAATTTAAAAATGAATTGAAAACAATATAACTATCTCTTTGATTTATTAGCTTTTTATTTGATTTATTTTTCTTTCATTCTGCCTGCTTGCATTTTAATATATTTCTTGTTTTTTTGTTTATTTAACTCATTTTTTAATTTTCAATTTTTGCTTTTAATATTAATTAATTTCTTATTATTTAATTTTTTATTTTTATTTTTTGATTGTAACTAACTAATTTACTCTTAATGTTTTCTTCAATTTTTAAAAAGTGGTAATTAAATTGGTGATGAAGGTATATCAGGCTTAGGTTTAGGTTTAGGAAAGTGCACTAATCTCTAAAATTTGACACTTGTTCTTTAGTAAAAGCAATTTATTTGTTTGTTTTGGAATGTGATATTTTCGAATATAAAAATGAATTTAAAATAATATTACTAACTCTTTTAATTTATTTATTAGCTTTTTATTTTATTTTATTTATAAATTTTTTATTCTATTTGTATTTTAATTTATTTCTTTTTTTGTTAATTTTACTCATTTTTTCATTATCAACTTTTGCTTTTATTATTAATTCATATGTTATTATTTCATATTATTTCTTTATTTTTTCCTTAGAACAAACTCATTAAAATTATATTATTTCTTCAATATTTAAAAAGGACAAATTAAATAAATGTAATTGGTGCTTCAGAATTATGTAATAATTTAAGAAAATGCACTAATCTCTTAAATTTGACAATTGATCTAAGGTAAAAACAGTTAATTTTTTTTGTTTTGGATTGTTATATTTCTTAATATAAAAATGAATTTAAAACAATATAACAAATCTTTTAATTTATTTATTAGTTTTCTTTTTATTTTTTATTGTGTTAAAGTTTATTTATTGGTTTAAATTACAGTATTTTATTTAAAATTTTATTCTATAACTTTTTTAATTATTAAATAATTTATATTAAAAGTATGAACTAAATCTATTAATCAAAACAATTGAAAGGTAAGTGTATTAAAGCAAAAAGATTAGTTGCCTTAAAAGTATATTAGTGAAATAAAAAAGGGTGAAATAAAACAAATAAATATAAGTATATTTGATATGCTTTATTTTAGAATATTTTGAAATTGGATAAATTTACCTAAAATATAGAAATATCGATTTATTATTATTTTATATATGTAAATGTATATTTTGGAAAGTTAGTAAATAAATAGCTTACTAAAAAAACTAAATTTATGAATTAAATTTACTTAAATAAAGTAAAGCTAAAGGCCTAATTAAATAGAATTTATAAAATTTTTATTAAATAATTATTAATGTTTAAATAATGTGTAATACAATTAATTTTTTTTATATTTTACTAAAAAACAATAAAAATTGCAATCTAAATTGAAGATATATTCTTAAACCAGTTTCTTGAATAAATTATTAATCAATTTGTAATTTAAAACTAATTGCAGTATTTATTTTTTTATTTTTACTCAATCTTAATTAATAATTTTGATTTTGATGAGTATTAGTTAATAAATTGTGTTAATAGCAAGTAGTTATTTAATAAAACCTGATAGGATTTAGTTTTAAATTATTTAAAAAATATTATGGAGTTAACAGACTAATTTACCATTTTTGATGTTCAACTCAATGTACTATTTTTCTTCGTAAGCTGAATTTTAATGAATTTAAAAATTAACCAATCAATTTAAGATATGAATAATAATCAAAAATAAAATTTAACTTATTTTTAAATCATTATAAGAAATTTAAAATTAAAAAAATACTTAATGTTAAAATCATAATTATTCGTAAGTAAAGATAGATTTTTTCTCTCGACATACAAGTACTTTACTAGATATATTATCTTTTTTTTTGAGCAAAGATTGTAAAAATAAAATAATTTTTTCTTTTAAAAATATCATATTTTATTAAAAAACAAATTTTTTCAATTTAATATATAATCAAATGAGAAAATACAAATAAATAAATTGGTTCTTTAGAAGCTTAGTTATTATATATAGACACAAATTGATCAATTTAAAGAGCTTAGTTAAAATGACAGCTATGGCAAATGTGGTGAAGTGAATTTTTTTGTATAGTAGGATGCAGGATTGGCTCTCAGCCCTTATAATTTGAGAGCCAACAAAATATGAAGAAAAAAATTTAGTATATAATTACAACAAAAATTTAAGGTGTATAAAAAAAAGCACAAGGCTTAAAATAAAATTAGAACATTGAACTAATTCATACTATCTGAAAAAGACAGCAATTATTAATAGAAATTATTAAAGATTACTCATAAATGCTGATCAAGGATTATGAATCAAAATAGAATTTAACTTCTTAGATTATTGGTTATTAAAATAATAAAATTTTCGAGTTTGTTTGACCAATTGCAGCAATAAACAAACAAGTTGCTAACAGAGAGATCAAGCTTAGAGCTAAGATATTAGGAATTTTTATCCAACAATTTTAAATCCTAAAAATCCTCAGAATTTTAGAATATATAGTGAATAGCAATCTGTTGGCAATGAACAAATAAGCATCTTTAATTATGAAGAACTTCTATCTAAAAATAATTAAGCTAACTTATAGGAGCTAGCTCAGGTGTAACATTAAGTTAGCTCCTATCAATAGAAAGAAGTTTTGGAAATAAAAAATTAAGAATTGAATCAAGCAATCAGTTAGAAGCTTGAAAATTTAGTTTTAGATAAAGGAAATTAAGTAGAGCAGCAACCTTAACTATAATCAGATTAAATTTTGCAACAAAAATAGGTTTAATAATTATGAAATTAGGAGATAAAAGAAGCAACAATTGAGCCAATTAAAATACCTGCCCTAAACCAATCAAAGCAAGAATCATAATAAACACTGTAACATATAGATAAGTTGCTGTATTAATAATGAAAAGCAAATAAAAAAGTTGATATGAGTAACAAAATTTATGAAAGTTAAAATCTTAGTAGTAATGCAAGTTTATAAGAAGATATGAAAGTCAAAATAGATTAACTAATTTATAATCATAACAGCTGGAATAGTATAGCTTAACGCCTAATTAAAATCTAGTGGTATGGCAACCTCTAGAAAGAATGAAAAAGGAAAAATTAATGTAATCTATTTTAGTAATTAAACTTTTCTAAACTGTTCTATTATCTCTAATCAATAACAATTTTTATTATGCAGTGATAATATAATTTGATATTTATATTAGTATGATAGTATTATTGGTTAATGTTTATTTATGGTGTCTTTGTAGTAAAATAGGTATTAGAATCATATATAATTAGGTTAGATTTTTAAATTAAAAATTTTAATTAGAAAATTATTAAAATATTTAATTTTTATGCCTAAATTTAAAAAATTGATATTTTAATCTAATTTACGGAAGTGCTATTATATAAAAAGCATATGAAGATCTTAAGTAATAATTAAATTAATATTTTAAAATACAATAAATAAAGTAATATTTAATTTTATTATAAAATGAAGTGATTTATTTTTCTTATTATTATTAATTAATTAATGAATTTATTTAGTTATTCAATCGCTGGAAATAGTATTTGTGCTGACAGGTAGAACTTTTAATTCTTATTTTTGATGATAATTTTAGATGCTATCATATAAACCTACTGCTTTTTGTCCTAATATAAAAGTAATAAACCAGCAAATTGTAATATGTAAGCTAAATATATTTATTAATCCTAGACCAGTTCCAGGGCAGAGACCAGAAAATCCCCAAGAGAGACCAAAAATAATTGAACCAATTATCAAACGCAAATCGATAATTTTGTTTTGTGGAATAGATAGAGAGTCAGCTAAGATAGGTTTCTTTTACTTTTTGATAACAAA